GAGGAAAAGGTGTCAAATTTGTGGATAAGGGGAGCAATTAGTCTTGTGCTTCTTATGTAAAATTTGTCGCTTGGATTTCCTCGAAATCTTGGAGGTGTAGTTGACTTACATTAGGCCGTAAAAACCTCGAAATTTGAACGTTCGACAAACCGAAAAATTCGACAGGCCTTGCTAACCAAAGACTGTGAAAAGCAAAGAATGACACGTCAAGAAAAAAAGTTTGTGTGAATTGTAAACAGTAGACATTAAACAAAGTCTCACATGCCAGGCCGAGCAAATTTGAGACTGCACAGGTCACCCATGAAACTAAGCGTCAAAATGTTTTGCAAATGTTCCAAATGATGGCCAAAGTAAAGGTAAGTCAAATAAGCAACCGTTTTTTCCAGTTTTTCAAAAAAAAATTGTTTTGTTGGCTGGCACCAATTTCTACAAATCCAGAATCAATTTTTTAGACTGAAGATTTCACCAACATTTTTCAAGTAGAAGCACACAAATTCAGCACCTTAAAAAAGTGTAAAATCCAAATTTGTATCACATTTCATCAAATTAGGAGGGTGGAATTAACCCCCGTTTCTCTGGAAGCCTCAATTTACCTCAATTTACCATAACAGACCTCCGAAGAGTCGAATTCTCTTTTTTCTATACCCAAAATTCCCAATGCAAACTGGTAATCTGCGCTTTGGTTTGAAACACCTCCAACAAAACCCGGAATCCCATGTATGCGCAAGAAACGCTTAGCCCGAAAGCTTGGCGCTGGCAACTTGTCAGAGTGCATTTGTCACTCCGAATGCCGGCGGCTTCGGCGACAAAAACTTTTATCGCGCTTAATGTGTCGACAGGAAAAGATTTGTGGGGAGATTATGAGCAAGGGCATAACAGAAAAGCCAGAGTCGAATATCTGTACGACAAAAATTTCTTGAGGAGAATAAAAGTAAAATTATTATATCAAAATAAGGAAATAAAAATAAGCTTAAAGGCAAAAGATTATGGCTAAAAATGTAAAATACGTCGATTCTAATGCCCTTTGAGAGTAATGGTCATCTAAAGATCCCTCCTCGAACAAATATTGACAGAAAGAACATAAAAAGAAAATCCTTTTGTGTCCAATACCTTGCCGTCTTCCGGATCCTCAAAGAATACATACATTTGAGGGTCGAAGGAAGGCCGGGACAAAGGCCAAGTGCGCGGTAAATCTGTGGGAAAATGGAGGGTAATATGCAAAGGACAAGATGTTTTGAGAGGAATATGGGTTGGAGGAGTAAATCGTTCATATTTTTAGAGAAAAAGGAGAAGCATTCTTTGGCTTTTTAGATCGAAATAGAGAAAAAAAGTAAAATTAAATTTGGTACAAGGATATTTCAAAGACTGGAAACTCTAGAAAATTAGGAGAGATGGACAGAGAAGAAAAGTTTTTTGACCATTGCCAATTTTGCGCTGAAAAAAACCAATCTTTCTGTACCGGCTAAATAAAACGCCAATAATTACTTTCACTTTGAGCCGGCTGTTTAAAAAATTCAACAAATTCACCTTCAAACACCCCTAGAGCCAAAATTCTAAGCCCCAATAGACTTCGAACACCCCCCAAAGGACTATTATGTTCCCCTCCGTAAATTTGCATAATATAAACAACAACCACGCCGGAAAACATTAGGCTCTATGTTTGAGGAGTAATGGAGACGAAAGAGGAAGATGAAGAGGTTTGATTAGGCCATGAAATTAGAATACGACCACCAAAACAAAGGCAAATTACAAGCGCGGGGAAATTAAATCGGGAAGATTTTTGGAGCGAGGGCCTAGAGAATGAAATTTTTTTATAGACCAACGTCAAGTACAATATAAAAATTACTTTTTTCTCGGCCAAAAAAACAAAAAATACTTTTTTAGAAGCAACTACCAGTATTTTAGATATCAGAAACGTTAGAATTGACTAATAAATCCAAGAGGAATTGGTCTAATTTCCTTGTTTATTAGGCTTGTTCTTCGCGTTCGGAAAGAGTCATAAAATGTGTTCGAAAGACAATGGCAATGTCGTAAAATCATCGAACAAGGAAGAAAAAAGAAAGATACAGTAGGTTAGAGCGGGATTGAATATTGTTTTTCGAGTATACAAATTTTAAAGATTAAGTTTTTTGGACAGAAATTTATAACTTTTCGCGTCCAAAAAATCGTTAAAAAAATAAAAAATAAACTTTTCTTATTTTTCCTTTCACCGATTGAGAAAAACTTCGTAAGCCCCAAAAATTCCGACGGCGCTCTAATTTTCGTCCAGTACATAGATAAAACTTCGGAAATCACCCAGCCTTACCCTCATTTCCCTTCACTTTTACGACCACGCCAAACTTGGGAAACCCAAGTTTTTATAAACAAAAAAGATAAAAATTCCAAGGGTTCGTAAAGGGTGAATAAGAGTTGGATTGGGGTTTGGAAATTACTGGCTTAGACGATGAATTTACCAGTGGATTCAAAAAATTAAAAAAATCAGAGAAAATTTAAGGCCGAAAGTAAAAAACTACTTAAAAAAGTACAAAAAACTTTTTTTTTTGAATTTTGAAGTGAAAAACTCCCAAAAAATCGTCAATAATTACAGTAATCCCCATACACAAATTCCCACACCCATCTCACCTAACAAATTGCCGAACCCTTTATTAAAACAAGGTTGTTTCAAAGTTCCGACTCTTTCTTTTCCCTCTGATTTTACCGCATTCCAAATAAATGACCCCACTTGAAAAGGCAAACAATGAGCGTTCGAAGGGAGAAGAGGGCTTCTGGGAGGGGGATAAGAAGAAGAAACAATAAACTTTGGTTGAAAAAGGAAAGCAAAGCTCGAAGTGCCGGTTGAAATTTTAAAAATTTTTATTTTTAAGGGATTTTTGGCATTTTTCAGAAAAAACCTTAAAATTCAAAACAAAGCAAATTTTTTGCGATTTTTTGTGGAAAGACGGCATTTTAGAATGTCTCTACAAAAATAAATAATTTTTTTTTGCAGCTTCACTAAGACAGGCCAAAAAAGCTTCTTTTTTCCTACCATGTCTTCAGATTTTCGGTTTTCTATAGTCTTCAAAGATCTTTCAATATCTCGGCTGTAGTAGTAAAGCGAAAGCTGAAATTTCAAGCGATTGAGAAGTGCTCTATGGAGATTATTTCAACACAATTTCAGAGATATCGGACCATTGCCTCAGGCAAAAATGGACTTCAAATTTCTGACCTCCTGGACGGTCATTTTTTTTTAATTTTCTGTTTTTTTCGAAAAAAAGATAACTTTGTTAAAAAAAATCCCATCACAACAGATCCTCAAAATAATGGAAACCTCTAAAATCGCCACGAATTTTCAAGATTTGCAAGGATTTCCAAGAATTCAGCAAACAAACCGGTCGGTTGCAGCTTTGAAGATGAGGGAACACCAGATGAGCCCCGGGGCCCTCGAGGGTTTATAAATGCGCAAAATCGGAAACAAAAGCTCGCCCATAACCCGTTCATAGGCCCAAGAAGAGGGGGACACCAAAATAGAAAAGATGGACTAATTTGGGTTGTGTTGAACACAGGCTGAGGATAATTAATTAGGTCCGAAAGTGGGGCCAATTTTGCGAAATTCGAGGGAAATTTGGAACGGAAATCGGGGAATTTGGATCAGTCATAATAGAGGTCTTAATAGAGGGACTATTGGATTGGTAATCAAGGGGTGTTACAAAGCAAGTTTGATGGACTATGAAGGGCGGGTGCGGCAAGAGGAGACCAACTGGAGAGATTTAAGAAAATATCAAGAAAAAAATTGCCATTTGTAGCGTGCTTGCACCTCAGCGATCAAATATAAAATCATATTTTTTCCCTTGAAAATTCCAAAAAAAGAAACATTTTTTGATGATTTTTTGGAAAATTGAGGTTCAAAAATAACAATGATTTCGCACAGCGCAAAGTTAAAATTTTGCATACAACACGTAGGTGTTTCAATTTTAATCTACGCCAATTTTCAATCAAAATATAGTTTTTAAAAAACTCTAAAAAATTCACAACAAGAAACTGCAAAATTTCAAGGCTTGTAGGCGTTTTCAATTCATTGCCCAATCAATAATGTTCCCATTCCGCCCAAAAAATTCTCGAAATGCCATTCTTTTTTTTCCAAACTGTAACACAGTCCATAAGCCAGCCCCTCAAATATGCAAATTGGCCCTGTTTTTAAGGCCCACTCCGCGAGTGAATAAACAAAAACGGAGACGAAAGTGCTTACAAAAATGGAAATGAGCAACATTTTGAGGATAATCCGAAGAAAAATGAAAGTCGTCGGGGAAAAATTTGCTAAAATTTTTCTGAAATTTAAATAAAAATAGAGTTTGAATATAAAATTTTGGAAACTAATTTTGAAATCGAAAAAAAAATTTTAATAAAAAAATTTTTTTATGCAAAAAAAATCTCAAATTTGCAAAAAAAACTGTAAAGTGAAACCCGGAAAAACTTCCAAACCCTCGATTCATTTACGTTCTCAAATTTAACGACCTTCTGGCCATCCGTTTGGCTCTTTTTTCCCCACTGAAACCAGAGACTTAATTTCCATTTTTTCAGCCAAGAAGAAAGTGGTCATCGCAGGGGTTTTTGGACTAATAAAAATCGGATTAGAGCCACTTCAGCCGATAAAGAGTGCATTCTTGGCATCTGAAGTGGCGTTGGCAGCGTCGATTTCTGGGGGGAAATCGTTGAAAAAGTCCCAATTAGATTAGAAATCAGGGCAGAATCGGAGATACTTGATTTTTGAGGAGAAACTGGGTGAAAACTGGGTCAAAAGGCTTTTTAGGGCAGAATTCATAGGAAATTTCAATTTTTGCACCAAATTTGGAGTCCCAACGTTCTTTTCCTAATTCTTACGAATTCTACGACACTCTTTAATAGCAAATTAAGGTCTATGTAATCTCTTTTTTGGCTTTTCTATCAATTACAAAAAAATCTGAATTTTTGGACAAAAAAAACGAAAATTTTCAAAATATTGGCATCTAGGAATTCGGTGTCAATTACAGCAACTGACCTCGTGGTTTATTTGCCAGTTTTTTCTGGGTTCCATAGGAAACAAATCGACTGACGTTGAGGAAAAGGCCGATCTGTGAGTGAGGAACCCGAGCGGAATCGAACTCGCGAGTTTTGGATTGGAAAGAAAGCACGCTATCCACTCGACTAAAAGTTCATTTGAAAGAGATTGAAGGGAAAAGGGTGTGGAATTGGCGGGAAAATTTGGAAAGGTAGATGAAAGTTTAGCAGATTTATAATTTTGAAAAAATTTGCATAAAAATTAAAAATTTGCATAAATTATAAAATGAATAAAAAATAATTTTTTTTCGAATTTCCAAAAATTACTATTCGAATATAAATATATATTTACGATTTATTAACAATGGAGTTACTTTTAGTTCTAGCCCTCGGAAACTCAAAAGCCTTTACAAACATGGTTGTAGCAGAATTTTCTATCGTAAACTTTGTTCCAAACGTCAAATTGCAAAGTTGGCGGAGATGGGAAATCATGGCTTTTCGGTATTGCCTAACGGCTGGAAAAGTTACAATTGGATCCAGAATCGGGCCAAGTACAAATAAACTTGAGGTGAAAGCGATTTTTGGGCCCATTGGAGCACATTGCGTAATGTAGTAACCATAATACTGGCTGGGTAAAATGATTGTAAAAATTGGAGTTATTGCCTAAAAAAGTGTAAAAATTGCAAAATAGTTTTCGCTGGGTTATTTCCGACGAAATTAGCTTACCATGCAGACAAGTAGAAGGTTCAGCGCTCGGTTCCGTCTTTTATTGGCCGTCATTCGGCCCGGTCGGCTGGTACTGTACCAAATCCCTAACTGGGAGACGATAATCAAAAGGTACGAGTACCAGGTCAGATAAGATTGCAGTCTTGTTGACACGCGAGGCTCGTACTGAAAATTGAGAAATCAAATAAAAAATGGGGATCGAATTTGAATGTATTAATCGATATGCATAGTGAGGGACCTGATCCATTGGCAAAAAACGTATAATTTTGCATTTGAAAAATAAAAAAAATAAAAATGTGGCAAAATACCTCCCACTACAATAAAAAACTCCGTTTTGAAATGCCCGCCCTTTCCCTCACAAAAAGAGCGGGCGCGCTTTTGAAATCGGGTTTTTTTCACTTGGAGAGGGAGGTATTTTGCTGCATTTTTGATACTTCCCGGTTCCAAATTGGTACGTTTTTTGCCAATGAATCAGATACGCCACTGTAGCTTGAAACTTTGTTATGCACACCTTTTGAAGAAAACCTTAGACTCCGTCCGAAATTTTTGGAGGCTTTACATCCGGAAAAAGTTGCAAGTACTCACATAAATAGCTCCGTTTATTACTCCCGGCTCCGGAAATCCATCATTAATAAATATGATCTCCCCAATTTCCTGCAAATTACTCGCTCGATACATGTAAAACTGAATCTCGGCTTGTGTAACGAAGGCGCATAAAATAATGGAAGGTGTTGCGTACCAAAACATCCGCTGAACCGACGGCGTTTTTCCCGTGAACATCAAATGAAATCTGTAGACGAATTGCATCGGGAAATAGGCCCAACTGTAGTCCGATAAACAGCCCGAAATTACAGCGAGCGTTCGAATTAGCACGTCCGGAAAATTGTTGTAACCGTTGGCGAATGAGATGTAATGACTGAAACAATTTTTAAGAATTTCCTATTTTAAGAAGTCGGTAGAAAGACCGAAATTCCGTACCCATAACTGGCCGTGATGACAGGTTGAAGGAGTAAAATTAAAAGAGCCAACATCACGTCCATGCCGACATGAATCATCATCATATTACCCATACCTTTCATTCCATTCGAGAACTTTTGGATTATAAACATCAGCCAAATGTTGGCAAATGCGGCAAAAAGCATTGTCGCGGTGTTGAAAATATTGTGCGCATCTGAAAGAAAAAAATTTTTGAGGTGATATGACTCTCTGTCTCAAAGTAAACTTTCAAATTCTTAAAAAATTTTATCACCATCTCTTGCCTAGGCAACAAGTTAACTCCCAAAAATGTCAGCATAAATTTTGTTTTCAATCTTAATCCTCTGGTACCTTTGGTTTTCCCAAAAGATCTAGTCTCTCGTAAACTGAAACCAACTTACTCTGATAAAACATATCCTTTGGCCGACTACGAACCTCATCGAAGTCAAACTGAGGCAATGTGCAGTTGAATGACATTCCAATGTCAGTCAGTCCACCTCTCACGGGCATAAAACCTTTCTTCCGAAAGGCGCCAAAAATTATCAAAGGCTAATTGAATAGACCAAATACGAAGTCGTTATAGCATTAATTCTGTTACAGATTTTGCGTAGGAAAAAATATTCAATTACCAAGCTCTTGAAATACTTTGGAAGTTCAAGGCAACGGTTATTACGGTTGAACGTGGCTAGTAGAGTGTGAGGCCAATATTAATGTTTTCGAGGTCGGAAAACTCTCCATTTTGAAGGGCAAGACACCGGTTTTGGGTCAATATGCTTACAATCAGCGGCGTTCTTTTTCTATGCTTTTTATTATGTCTGACAATAAGGCTTTGATATATGTACACATACAGTCGGGGGCCTGGTCCAATGGCAAAAAACTTACCATTTTGCCCCCGGCAAGTATCAAAAATGTGGCAAAATGCTTCTCTCTCCGAGTGAAAAAGCTCAGCTTTCAAATAGCGCGCCCGCTCTTTTTGTGAGAGAAGGGGTGCACCCTTCAAAACGATTTTTTTCATTTGGAGAGGGAAGCATTTTGCCACATTTTTGATGCTTCCCGGATGCAGAATGGTAAGTTTTTTGCCACTGGATCGGGTCCTTCACTGTATAAAAAGAGGTCAACAGTGAATAAATACAAAAATGCATAACAAATCTGACATAGAAAGTGCTGTGAAATTTAACACTCAGACTTTGATGAAGGTTGGCGGAAACCTGGATCAAACTTTTCTTGGTGCGACATTCCCAGCTCGCGCCTTGGAGAAACAAAAAAGATTTATCAAGCAAAAGTTGTCGGAAATTTTTACCTGGTTTCTAGTCAAAAAAAACTATTATTATTCAAAATATTTAAAATTTAATAACAATAGAGTTACTTTTAGTAGTGGCTCTCGGAATCCCAGAAGCCATCACAACCATGGTCGAAGTAGAATTTTCTGTTACAAAGCTTGTTCCACATGTAAAATTGCAAAATTGGCGGAGATGGGAAATCATTGCTCTTCGGTATTGGCCAACGGCTACAAAAGTTACAATAGGATCCAGAATTGGGCCAAGAACAAATAAACTTGAGGTGAACGCGATTTTTGGACCCATTGGAGCACATTGCGAAATATAGTAACCATGGTACTGGCTGGGTAAAATGGTCGTAAAAATTGGGGTTATTGCCTGAAAAAATGAAAAAAATTACAAAAAAGTCATCAATGTGATATTATCGACAATGAGATGAGCTTACCATACAGACAAGTAGTCGGTTGAGCGCTCGATTCCGTTTTCTATTGGCAGGTGCCGCCATTCGACCCAGTCGACTGGTACTGTACCAAATTCCCAACTGGGAGACGATAATCAAAAGGTATGAGTACAGAGTCACACAGAATTGCAGGTTTGTGGCATTTACCATCCGATGTTCGTACTGAAAATTGAGAAATCAAGTAAAAACTGGGGATTGGATACGATTGCGATGTTTTTCTTTAAATTTTGCATACACTTTGGGCATATGCGATTTATCAATTCCTGAAGGAGCCTCGGCGAAAAAAAATACTATTTGTAAAACTTTACACCACTAGGGGGGCTGCAAGGCGTGAGTTAGGGATTTTGTATTGCCTAAAAAACGCTATGGGAGTTTTTTTATTGCCACTGTATCTTTGTGTTAAGTTTAATCAAAATTTGGGTTCCTTTCCTTGTAAATTAAGACTTCACTAAAGATCTGAACATTCCACTTTTTCGCACAGCTCAAGATTTTCAGAATTTTCCGTTCAAAAGTTGCAAGTACTCACATAAATAGCTCCATTTATTACTCCCGGCTCCGGAAACCCATCATTAATAAATATGATCTCCCCAATTTCCTGCAAATTACTCGCTCGATACATGTAAAACTGAATCTCGGCTTGTGTAACGAAGGCGCATAAAATAATGGAAGGTGTTGCGTACCAAAACATCCGCTGAACCGACGGCGTTTTTCCCGTGAACATCAAATGAAATCTGTAGACGAACTGCATGGGTAGATAAGCCCAATTGTAGACAGATAAGCAAACGGAGACTACAGCGAGCGATCGAATTACTGTGTCCGGAAAGTTGTTGTAACCATTGGCGAATGAGATGTAATGACTAAAACAGGCATGAATTTTCTATTTTAAGACGTCGAAAGAAAAACTGAAATTCCGTACCCGTAACTGGTAGTAATTACAGGTTGAAGGAGCAAAGTTAAAAGAGCCAACATCACGTCCATGCCGACATGAATCATAATCATGTTACCCATACCTTTCATTCCATTCGAGAACTTTTGGATTATAAACATAAGCCAAATGTTGGCAAATGCCGCAAAGAGCATAGTTACGGTGTTGAAAATGTTGTGCGCATCTGAAAGTTCCAAAAAGTGATCCGGTCCAAAAAGTGAGTTTTCATAGTGCAATTTGGATTTTCCCCCTGTACAGTCGCGTACGACTTTTGGCAGCGACAAATTGGTGATGTTTGTGTTGCAAACAGTAGTCTAAAGTTAGAAAAAGGTCTCGTGGAGACCTCAACGCCGCACACGGATCCTTTCTGTTGTAAATCAACACCATCTTTGGATTTAAAACATTATCTTCTGGTACCTTTGGTATTCGTGAGAAGATTTAACTTTTCGTAAACTGAAACCAACTTACTCTGATAAAACATATCCTTCGGCCGGCTACGAACCTCATCAAAGTCAAACCAAGGTAATGTGCAGTTGAACGACATTCTAATGTCAATCCACCTTCTGCTGACATAAAATCCTTCCTCCGAATGGCGCCAAAAACGATCAACGGTTAATTGAATAGACGAGACGTCTGAAGTTATCACAGCGTTAATTCTGTGGGCAGTTTTTGCGTACGAAAGAAGAAAATTGATTCAATTACAAAACGCGTGAAATGACTAGGGAATACGAAGTAAAGGTTAGTGCAGTTGTACGTGGCGTAATAACGGGATACGACCACAAATATGAACGTTTTCTGTAGCCGGAAACCCCTTGATTTGTAGGGTAAAATATTAATTAAAGTTGGCCAGCTGGTTCAGTTTCTTAAAATTAGCGGTGTTCTTAACATTCATAAGCCTGCCATTTTGAAATATACGCAAAAAGGTCACCCACGACTTAATAAAAATTGCATAGCAAATTTAGCGTAGGATGCACGGGAAATTGGCACCAATTTAGAACAAACTTTTTTAAAAGAAAATCGGGTTTTTGGGCGTTAGAAAAGCATTTTTTCTTTCGCGCTGATACATCAGTGTCTACACACAAAGCGGAAAAGATTTACAGTAAAAATCCCAGAAAATAACCCTCAAACTTGGGCTTGAACTTCGAGCTGGCACAAGCTCGAAGTAGCACAATGGGTTACATCATTTAGCTTATTGTTAGACTTGGACTTGAACTCGGCTGTTAAATTTTGCGGAGCCCTAGTCTGGAACACATTTCAGACTGGTACCAACAGACACGGCGTGAATAATGAGATTGCAACACAGAGGGCATGTTGGGATGGCTCGCCTCTACGGTCAAAAAACTAGAACGATCTCTTAATGGCACAGTAAAAAGTTTTGATTAAATCTTGACTAAATTTGGTTTTCCTGTAACCCAATAATCTTTTCATGGAATGCATTCAAATTCAACTGACTAGAAACGACTTGACTCCAATAAAGTTTTCCATAGTTTCACACACTCAAATCTCTGTAGAACAAGTTGCAAAGGACAAAAAATAAACTACTCCTCATAGGTTCCTTTGCATAGAGATTCCTTTAGGCCTAAAATTGGCATGTGAGGCCAATGAAAGTGTAAGTTATGAGCAGGTTTTGTACAGAGCCCCACATACGTAAACAACAGTTCGTAAGAAGTTCCATACAAGCATAAAAGTTGGTGGGCAATACGTCTGGCAGACAAAGTACGCATTAGAATAAACTAATTTTAAATGTTCAATGTAAACGTTTTTTTTTTGTTGTTGTGCTTTTGGCATACGGTTAATATGGCGGGCCCACACATGTGGGCAATAATTTTGATGGCAGCTAGAAGAACCATGGAGATTCTGCGGGCGCGTTTGGAAATCAGCCAACATTTGATGACAATAGGAAATTCTAACGATGGATTTGGCGGTGAGATGTTGCGACCAGGAATTTATCAATACAATATTTCTATTATACAGGGCGAGTCACTCGAAACTAACAACTTTTTTCTTCGGATTTCTCTGCGAAGACTCCGCCGATTTTCCTAAAATTTATATTTTTCAGGAGCTTTCTCGATTAGCCCACCCTGTACTATGGACACGCCAATTTGTTTACACGCAAAAAAAGTCAAAAAAGGGTCGGGCCAAGTGTTGCTCTAGCCCGTCTGGTCAACTGTTTCGAGTAAAAAAACATACCGTATGTAAAAAGCAAAGTACCGAATCAGCACAAAGGTCGCATACTAGTCGCGGAAAAAAGTCCTGGGATTTTTCTGCGACTCTGCACTGTGCATGAACCCGAAAAGTGCTTTTGCACAGTGCAATTTTGTTGATTTTGCCTTATTGTCGCGCGCGATTCCCGCGACAAACCAACTTTTCGGAGCGCGATGGAATTTGGGGGGGGGGTACGAGAAAGTCCCAGGACTTTTTTCCGCGACTAGTAAAAGGAGCTGATTTCGATAGAGATCGTAATCATATCCTGTCAAGAGCTTGGAGGCAATTTTGGAGTCAGTTCTGACGATTTTCATTTTTGTATGGTTTGTACATGGTGAGTTTGATGGGTACGTATCTTTTCGTTTTCACGTATATTTTTAATTTCTTTCTATGAAGTTGTAGGGAATTCAATGTAGATTTTTTTTGTTTCATCATTTTTAGGACCTAGCATTAGGTTAAGCTTATTCTTCTATTGTTATAGATATTGCAAGTAAAAAATGTTGTACTCTTTAGTGCATCATGTTGTTTTCATGACGTTTTAGGTTCTAAAATTACTTTTTAATTATTACTACTTGATTTAAGATAAATTTTAGGTAATATGGAGCCTGAATGTTCACGCACGACACCAAATGATAACGAGGAGGTCCCAGTAAAAGTAAGTTATCTTCTGTAAATTATGCAGGGGTCTGGACATTTCTGCGTAGGATTCTTCAGTAGACATATGAGCATGTTTTCGAAAAAAAATCTGGAAAAGATACTATCAAATAAAAAAAATCTACAGTTACGTAATGTTACACTTGGTGCGCAATTCCAATTACCTCGGGCGCAACTCGGAAAACCTCGCGAACCACTTTTTCGACGAACACAAATTGGCGTGCTATGGGGATTACGGGGGTAAAATCGCAATTCTAAAAATGTCGGCTGCCCGCAAATTTTTTTATACAGATAATACAACAACACCTCAAGTTCAATATGGCGACATATTTATTCTGACTTATATATAATATATACTTTATCAAACAAATATTAAAAACTCGCAAGAGAAGCAATCGTAATTTGCAAACAAAAGATTAGAAAAATAGTTTCTGAGGAATGTCGGATCGGATTATGTACAATCAATCGGAATACAAGATCGTATGTTTTGTACTGAATACATAGTGGCTAACATTATTAGAGGATATTGGGGGTTTTGATGACAAAACGGGATTCAAACTTCAGACACCGCATGACCCAGTAGCGCCGTATTCTGAAGGCTCTTCGACACCGGCAAAGGCGTATTGTTCTCGGCGTCGCTTCCCAGCGAAGCCGTATGACTGGAGCTCCTTCGACTGCTCACCGATCCACTGGTCGCACTATGATGATCGGACGTCGGCGACGACGGATTCCCGTTGTTGTCGTTGATGGAATCGGCCGGATTCTCGTCGAACGCCGAGTTGGAACTCCTCGACGAGACCGTGGACTCGGAGGTCCAGGAATGCGGTCGTGAACTACTGTTCGTCTTCTGAACGCTTTCCTTCTGTTGCTGCGCATGCAAAACGGTCATTTTAGCGAGTCGTTGGATCCATTTGGCTCGGGCCACCTCGTCCGACGCGAAGATTGCGAATCCATCCGATTTCTGTTCGTCCCAAATCTCGAAACGGTCCGCCGACTGCTTCGAACACTCCGCGAAGCCCAAACTCTGCGCGTAAATGCACAACTTGTGCTCGTAGAACTCCGGTGAGTAGGGAACGGGCTGGGTTCGCTTTTTGCAGAAGAGAATCCCACCGTCGAACAGGAAGAGATGACGTTTTTGGCATTTGTTGGAGAGACGACGTGATTTTCGCTTGAAAGTGTAGACTTCACACTCGGTTTGGAGGCGGAGCGGACCGAGAAGACGGAGATCTCCCTGAAAAAATATAACTTATATTACTGAGTCAAGATGGGAGGTATTTTTAAAAAAATTTGCTCGAAAATGAAAAAAAAATCAATAATTTCGAAGTTGACATTTCGTCTAAAGCTTCGCCACATGTCTTTATAAATTTTAATTTTCAAATTACCATGCTCAACAGATCTTGGGGAAGCTAGACTCGACAAAATTTTTGAAATTGACATTTCGACACAGTTTTTGACGAAATGTCACAAAATTATTGGAAACCTATAAAACGATTTTTCAAGCAAAAAAATTTAAAAAAATGGAGTGGAAATACAGTAAATAAAATTTAAAATACGGGAGAACAGGTTTTGAAATAAAATTTACTTTATTTCGATTTTTTTCAAAAAAAAACTAAAAATTTTTTTCCCATCGAAAAAAACTTACAGCATATCCCAAGATGTGCAGTTGCTGCATGTCCGCGTTAATCTGCGCCAACAAGTCCAACATTGAACCCAAAGCCGCTTGAACATCATGTTTTATCTCCTCATTTCCCTCGTCTTGGCAATGCCTCAGCAATTCCTTCAACAACAACTGATATTTCGTGATCCGTTGGATAGGCTTCAGCAAGTACGCACTCAACGGAAGCTGATGACCGGCTTTCTTTTGGCATTCGGCGAAGAATCGGCATCCGTCGGCGGCCAGATCTCGCCGTAAGGCTTCGGATTGGGGCTTGTTTTGGCAGTAGGGCCGGTAGAGTTTGAGGAAATGATTTCGGAAGTTTATCATGATGTGGCACAAGAGCACTGGAGAGTATTGGGCTTTTTGGAAGTCGGGGAGGACATGGCGGTTGTGGAATTCGTACTGAAAATGAGAAAAATAATTGAAAACTCTGAAAAATAAAAAAAATAAAACGTGTTTAAAATTAAACCTCAAAATTCAAAAAAATCAGCTTACCAAGTCTCTAAAATTTCCAAAGATAATACTCGACTGCCCTCGAAGACCTTCTGGAAGATGTTTCTCATTTTCTGGATTCTCGAAAGGATTCACATAATATTCCACTATGCTTTCCAACTCTCGGACATACGTCTTCTCGGTGGTTAGCTGAAAAAATAAGTGATTATAGATGTTGTCAGAGAGATTTTTTGCACATATAGACCGAACTTTAAAACTTTAAAAAATCCAATAAATTTTGTGACATTTCGTCAATTTTCTTGAATATTCTCCAAATGGCGAGAAAAGCATTCTTTTGTATTTGTGGAGTTTCAAAATCAAAAAAATACGTTTTTTTTTGAAATTTACAAAACGCTCAGTAACTTTCCAGCCAGATTATGGGATCACAACCTACTACAATATCATTATTTTCTTATCAATTTCACGCCCGAAATTTCACAAAAATAACCTTTACGCCCTCTCCGATAAAGCCTTTACGCATTTCCGCCAAAAAGTCGTAAAATTGCCATAAAATTAATTGCAGATAATGATCGAAACATTTACGGCCTTTTTTTGGAAAAAAAAATTTTGATCGTCAAATTTTTTTTCGAAGTCTTTGTAGTCGATAACAATCAAAAAACTTCTGGCGCCAGCGGTTTTTTCATGGTCTTTTTTCGACATAAGGAGCTTTGTCTCGTCCTCTGGCGCCGGTGTGGGGAAAATCATCTGAGCCAGCGTGATTTTTAGAGCCGAAAGGAGCAGATCTTGCAAAAAATGGTGATAAAATTTGAAAAAGAGCAGTTAAAATTGAGAAATTGAGAACACAGAGAAATTTGGGGATGGGGAGAAGCGTATTAAAGCGATTTTTGAATATTTGACATTTCGTCGAAAAATTTGACGAAATGTCACAAAGAGTTATTGGATTTTTTTTTCTTTTTCAAAAACGAATAGAAATGATTTCAAAGGCATAATAAATCTTTTTTATAAAAAAAAAACACAACTGAGGTCGTATTTTACCAAGAAATTCTCAGAAAAGCAAAAAAAGTTCTATTTTTTCGCCAAAAAATCATAATTTTATTTTTGAAACCTACCAATTCATCGAGCACATATGCCGCCTTGGAGGTGCTGGCCAAACAGTGGTTGTGGTATTGCTGCGGACTCGCCAATTCCATGGCCGCCATTCCTCGGGTGGGGGAATTTGAAGCGATCGGAGTCGAAACTTCGGAACTGGTGCTCGGAGGGAAGTCGGAGAAGTCGTGGAGGACTTCGATTTGACGCTGAAAAGAACAATCATTATACTTACTCAAAAAATTCTTTGAAATTTCCCCAACTTTGAGATTTTTTGGCCAAAAAAACTCAAATTTTTTTCCGATATTTGGTTAAAAATCTCGTTTTTCGGCCAACATTTAATTTTATTTTAATTTTTAACAGTCGCCTCACATTTCTACTCTTGCTCCGGCTCCTCCGCAACACTCTCGGACTCAACGAAAAGTTCCGACGCTTGGACAACGCCTTTCTCTCCATTACTTCATCAAAGATATAATTTTAGTTCCTCCAAAATATGAAAATATAACTTTTTGCGGCCAATTGTTCGGCCGCAGAAATTTTTTTGCCCAATCCTTTAGTTTTTCGCCTCAGGCTGCACCCATTTTGAAGACGGAGCGAGAGTTTCACAGCAAAATCCCCCAGGGCATAATAATCAGAAGAATGGGCCTAAGCGGTTGAACAAACATGACGGAACAGGGATCAATCAATCTCCAAGAAATTCGTTAGAGGCTTTTTTTAACCGTTCCGAGAGGGGAATTGTTGGCTTTGGGGATTTTGAAACATTTCAAAAATTGGGATTTTTGCCAAAATTGGCATTCTGTTTTCATGATGAAAAATGCTTAAAATTATGCTCAACTCCAGGAATCATTTTACAACAATGGAAACTATTCGAATTTCAAAAATTCAAATTTCCCACTAAGTTTGGCATTCCGGTTCAAGCACTAAAAAGGTTTGTATAATTGCCAAAAGTGGCTAAACATACTCAAAAATGGCCAATAGAACTCGTTTTACTATGCCAGAAAATTTTTAAAGTCAAAAAATTCAAATTTCCCGGCAAGTTTGGCATTCTGTTTTAAGCAGTAAAACCGTATGGAAATTTGCCAAAAATGCCTCAAAATACTCAAAATGGCAAATATAGCTCGTTTTATTCGGCCAGAAAATCTTTTAATTTCAAAAAATCAAATTTCCCGCCAAATTTGGCGTTCTGCCAAACTTCCCCAAAATTCCGAAATTTTTTTTTAAAACAGATTTCAGCCAAAACCAATAAAAATTTCAACAAAAATCCTCTACCTTCCCCAAACTTTATCCCACCACCATTACAACCGCCAATTTCCCAACGTAAAAGAACCCTTGACTAAAGTTCCCCAATCCCCATTTCTTGTCTAATTTTTTTTTGTTTTTTGCGGTTTTGTAACGCGTTCAGGATTCTTTTTGCACACTTAATGACCAGGAGGAGGATCCACAAAATTATCCCACAGCGCCCGGAGAGACGGTTCTGTGCAAATAGTCCGCACGCGTCAAACAGAAAAAAAAGATAAATATTATATACAAAAAGTGGGATCTTGGAGGAAGAAGCGGGCGGAATTGTAATGGATATACAAAAAAGTTGGAAAATTATATTGCTATATTGAAAAGTGGCCGATCTAGGACTCCGAATTATTTTTAAAAAATTTGAAATTTTTATTTTTTGGTGGAAAAATTTGGAAAATCTCAAAAAATTTTTTGCCATATTTGGGTATAAAATCATATTTTCTGTCCCTAAATCTATCTTTTTGTTACTTACTTTTTCTAGAATGTCTCAAAATTCCCTAAAATCCCCTAAAAACCCCAAAATTCCTACCATTTCGGCGCATTTCACCACCCTGTTTGGCAATCTTGCCCTAACTTTGCCAACAATTGAATTTCTACGGAACAACATGTTACCCGTCTACTTGTAATTCACCCCAAATACCAAGACTTTGTTGTTCCGAGTGCAGAGAAATTCCATTGCGCAACAACCTAATCAAAGGAAAGGAGGAAATTACTGGGAGGTTTGAGAAAAATATTCTGAGAATTGGATCACAGGAAAAAAGGTTTTTTTGGAAGGAAAGGAAGGTGGATATTCTAATTTAGAAGTTTTGTGGTTGAAATTGAGGTAGAAAAAATTTTGGATTTTTGAAAGTTTTTGAAAAATTAAAAAATCTCGTTTTATTGATATGAGAAAATTTTTTTATTAGAATAAAATCATTGTTTGTGGTATTTACACCTCATAACTTTCGATTTGTATGTTTTTATGACCAAAAAATCCCATTTTTCTCCAAAAAATCCCGAGTTTTTACCTGACAAACAACTGATGCTGGTTGAATAAAAAATAATTTTAGTAGATCCTTCAACATTTTTGAAGTATTGGCAATCACTCTATGTCCAATTTTATGTTGATTTTTACGTAGAAAAACTATAATTTTGCCAAAAAATCGAAAAATCTCAGAATCAATAGCTCAAACAAGGTTCCAATCTAATCCAGCTTCAGAATAGACAAAATACTTTGCAAATAATCTTGTAAGACAGTAATCAGTAGAGCAGGTAACCTCCTCCACCTACAGCTCACAATTTAATGGGCTTCTCCGACTTTTATTGAGGTTTGATTGGCGCCACGCGAGAGGTCGCTGATAAGAGGTGGGTGTGCAAAAACCCGACCATCTCCTAATGTCTTGCACGTTAGGGCACGGGATTTAGCGTAGACTGACAATGTTTTAGTTGCAAGTTTTTTGGAGCTGATAGTAATTAAAAATATAAAAAGGTGCAAAAAATTTCCGCCACTCTAAAAAAAAATTTCCGAGCCGCGCCCAGCATTGAACCGAAAGTTTTTTGATTGATATTGGCTGAGATTTTACGCTTTGTAGACATCATGATGATGGGACATTAACCATAACTAAATAAAAAACCAAGGGCACCATCATTAAACGATTTTTCTTGCAATTTTAGAATTAACGCGACTTGCAGCCTGCAGAAAAATCAAAAAAATTAAAGTAAGCCAGATCCAAGGAAACTTTTCCAAAAATAATTTTTGTAATTCCCATGGACGAAAAAAATGTAAAAATATAAAATATCTGAATTCTTTTTATGAAAAAATAAAGTTTAAAAATTGAATTTTTTGAGAAAAAAATATTTAGAAGATCTTTCTAATTCTTCGATTTTTTCATGTTTCAAAATTCCCAAACATTATAAAAATCCCATAAATTTTTTCTACTCAATCAAAATCCCAAAATTTCTGTTTCAAAATCAATAAAAACCCCATTTTTCGCCCACATTATCCCTCCAAATCACCCAAAAATCTGCGAAAACAATCACATACCCAAGATATCCTTCGCTTCTAACAGAACCTTGCAGTAAGCAAACTTTCCCCCCGTTCGGAAAATCCAAACAAGCCACGAATATACAAAAAAAAAGAAAGCGGGCGTCGCGAGGGGAACGCGCTAAGGAATAGGGTAATTATTGCGCAAAAATATTTCGATTTTCGGAATGTTGAAGATGATCTGGGCTGACAGAGAGCGAACAGATTCGTCTGCGGGCTGATTGCCCCTCGTCTTTTTGTGGTGAATATGGGGTTAAGGAAAGGTTGAGCGAGACTTAAAAAAATCATATTTTTTTTTTATTTTTTGATTTTTAAAAGATATCTTTTTTTTGATTTTTTTATATCTCCCTAACATTTCATCTCCCGAAAAATTGTTTTCACCGGAAATATGACTCTTTTGACTGTAAGATCATAAGAGTCTTATGTCAGAAATAATCATCGTATCACTAAAAAAAGTTCTTCAATGTCAACAAAAAATTTTCGAAAATTCGATAAAAATAATCCCCAAATTTTTGTTTCTATCAGTAATTGCACTTTATGGTATGTATACTATGTGGAATAAACCGTACGAAATATTTTGAAAGTTTGGAGATAAAAAACCAAAAATTTAATTTTAAAAATTTTTTGAAAAAAGATCGAATGCACATGACATATCAGACTGTTTTTGAGACCTCAGGCTCTCATATATCATCAAAATTTCCCTCAAAATTTACCGCGGTCACATCAAATTTACCGTATCAAAAAAATCGCGGTTGCCATTTTCGTCGTCGCTCTGCAGTTGGACCCTCTGCAGTCTTCCACAATAGTTGGCTTCAATTCCCTCGTCCTCGTCCTCAATCTGAATCGTCGTCACATTCGGATACTCGGACGCACTCCTTCGCATCGACCAACTCCGATTCCACGAATACACCGACGCATCCACGCTTCGGCTGCTCGCCAATCCCCGCTCCTCTTCTTTATCGTCCCATCCTTGAACCCGTGTGGTCTGACATTCGCCGTTGACTTGGCCAACTTGTTGGCGCCGCTTCGACGAGCGGAATGATGACAACACCCAGGGCAAATGACGCTTCATCTGCTGCGTGAGTGAGGACCTTGCCGAGAACTGCTGAGCCGTCTGCGATCTGCAGCGACGAAAGTTGGTTAAGCCCGGCTGCGACGGGTCGAGCAGATCCTGCGGCGGCAGAGTCAAGAGCATCGCGTTGGGAGCCACACAGCGCCGCGACAAATGACCTTGCTGCATTTCGCCGGCGTCCCTCTCCGTTATCAGAATATTGGGGAGTGAAAATTAGAGGAATATTGAATAGCGGGAGTTAATCGACTTTTAGAGTGTGACAATTAGACCACTGAGGCGCCGTAAGGCGTGAGTTGGCGCCCTGAAGGTGTGAAAACCTTCGTTGCAATCTTATCAACGAGAAAATTGCTTTCTCAGCCGCGCTTTATAGCAATAAATATTGTGCTTGACCTGTGCGGGACCTGAGCATGAAAAGAGATGAGAATCTCTCCACTTGGAGTCGCTGATAAGCCAGTATTAACAATATTAAAACAACCTCGCCTGAGGGGAATGTAGAGACGAGAGAGCGCCCCCCAAACCTCGTGCGGACTGGATTCCGGCGAGGGGAAATGGGGAGGAGGGGCCTGAATCGGGTCGGATGTCGGGCCTAGGTTTGAATGGACCTTGACTACGTCGCTTCCATTGCTATTGTCTGCAAGTTAGCGCCTACACTCTTCGGCGTATTCTACTTGATTTCAAGCCGTTCTAGTTTGCTGAATAGCCTTCAGTTTTCCCGCAATAAGCTGTTTTTGACAACCTGCTGAGAGGCTGGAAATTGCCTTGGTCTATGACTTTTTGATGCCCTTCCGGAATTCCAAAACACTCCGTGCGAACACATTCTCCATTTTTTATGATCCAAAAGGAGTGTTTTACAGCTCCATGAATCTCAAATTAAGTGCAAATCTGCCTGAAGCATGCATTTTGCCTCTCAAAGAATGTGTTCGTAAGACAAACGCTAAATCTGGCGGTGTAACCTTATTTTACAGAAAAAATGATCTATTTCGAAATGGAATTTGGTCAAAAAACACCTCAGATTATCTGATTCTTTTGTGTTTACCAGGCTTTTCGCTAAACCGTCCTTTGAATTCTGGCTGAACCGAGGGTTTAGGGGAATTTGAATAGATTGTTTACCGACGTGAACTATAATATTTTTTCGAATTTCTGAGGAATTTAAAGAAGGTTGGTAAACAAAAACTTTAGTTTTTTTTCACTGGTCAATAGAGCTTTTAGGCTAAGCTTCCATTAGGGGAAAATTACGGTATGTACTTCTATGGTCAAGTGGCAGCACAGACTGGCTAAGAACTGGAAGGTTGCGGGTTCGAATCGCAGCTCAAACAAAAAGTTTTCTAGAAATTTCAGAACTTTTTTTGAGGAAAACCAAACCTTGTAATCTCCATTCGACCTCCGATTTATCAAGTTTCTCCCATCTATTTGCCCTAGCTTCTCTACACTCTCTCAATTTTCAGCCCGCTCAAGAGTCCCACCCAATTCTGATAACGGAGCCGAAACGCCAGCTGGATGCGGTCTATTGTCAAAGCTTCCGGATTCACGCAAAAAAACGCGCGTAATCAGAGCCCTCTGGCGGTTTCGAAGAGCGGAGGGAAAACAAAACAATTCGGTTTGGGAAAACACTTCCATCATGCCGATATAATTCGATTTGGTGGTAACATGGTAATAATTTGAAAGGGTGAGCCAGAATTGGCTGGAGAGAAGGTTTTTAAGAGGAATACCAAATTTGGAGATTTGAGAGATCAAAAATATTGATCATGAGCATAAGCACCAAAAATGCCTAAAAATCTCGGTTTCATTATGAACTTTGACGGTGAAATCTCAGTGAGCAATAAAAAAAACATAGAATTCTAGTAAAAAATGGGCCAGAAAAATATCAATAACAATTATGAGCCATAAAAGTTAAGTGTAAACAAATTATTAGGTTGGACGGAAAGTTCGTACGATTTTTTACTGCTGCTATTTTTTCTTGCGCTGATGGAAAAAGACAAACACAAATATATGGTGTCGGTAGGGGACAGGCATCCCTATCTAGCAGTACAACCTTCAGCCATCTTAAGCATTTACGAACTGAGAACTTAATTTAGACATTTACCCATCTTTGGTCCAAAATTACAAATCCTTGGCTGGTTTGTTTAATAAGGCCTACCAGGAAATTGTTTTGGCACTGCTAAAAAGCCTTCTTCTGTAGCTCTTAATATGCGTAAAGTCGCCGGGGACTAAATCAAAACATAGCCATAAAATTTGACTTTTGCAGGACCACCCCAAGTTTGAATATAACTGCAACCGCCGCTTTGCCGGTGCATTTCTATGTGTAAAACTATGATATGCAGAAACTAAGGACAATCCCTTACACTCAGCTACCCCTCAATAGCCAACTGTTTTGCCGTACGACATAATAGAACTAAATTACTTTTCTCAAAAAATCGTTGGTGAACTGTTGGATCATCCCGTACAATTCTAAAAAGAGCTCATAACATCTTTCCACTCCTCCCTTTCTTGGGTGCAAAATAGAGCCGCTTTATTGCTTTACTACCTCGTGAAACAATGGGCTACCATTGTTGACTGTCACAAAATTACGCGCATTGCTCTACAGCTATAATTTTTGGCAATTTTGTCTCTTTGCGGATAACCCGAGGCATCTGTGATCCGGTTTACTCATGTTGCACGTAAAGGGCTCTCTATGTGCCTTACTGCACCCTATTACAGAGACAGACAATAAGAAATACGCGGAATAATAAGAAAAAGTTTTCATAGGGGGCCTTTGCTGAAGACTTGGTTGAAAGTGTTGCTATTATTTTATCCGACACGCTTTTTTATGATTTCTAATTGTGTTTAACGTAGTCAGAAAGACCACTGGACATTGCCTAAAAAGTTTCAGAGCTTCATCGAAAGCGATCTGGAAACTAGAGTTTGCGTTCTGGACCCTACCCGAAATAGCCGCAAAGCGGAAAACCTCTTATAATTAAGCTCGTTTTGGCGGAGCTAACGATTGGCACGTAGCATATAAATCTTCACACTGCACTCTTGTATATGCTAGGTACTTACGGTGGGCAATCGGTCTTGGCGCGAAAAAAATTAAATTGAAAGTTGGGTAAAAAATCGTACGAACTTTCCGTCCAACCTAATAGTTAAAGAAGTCGTAAACTTGTCACATTTCGAACGGTAGTAAAGTTAACTTTAATAAAAGGACAGTAATTTCAGTTTTGAAGGTCAAGTAATGCATTCTGAAAAAAATAAAATAGAACGGAAGCTGATTTTCAAAATTTGACGAAATGTCACAACATTTATTGGATTTTAAAAACAGTATTTTTTAATGGTCTAAGGTAATATTTGAGACAAAGACAACTTAAAATAGTTCAAAAAATGGGATTAAGGATCTATACCACTCATTGGGTTACTGTAATTTCATAAACTTCTTAATTTCGAAGAAGCTTCGAAACAAAAAAATAAAAAAATCTATTCAAAAGTTCAAAATAAACCCTCCTTTCTTGAACATCGCCGAACTAAACCACCGAATCACATAAAAAACCAAATCAGAAGATCAATTTTCGTCTTCAAGGGGATTTTTTATCTTTTGGCGGGGTCGGAGGGGTTCTTGGGGTCAGAGAGTCATAAATATATTACGAATTGCCGACTCATGGCTTCTGAAGATCGTAAAAACTAATGCAAAAAACCTTGGGTCGAGATCAGAAAGGGGAGAAACAAAAAACTTGGCCTTTCAATTATTCGGAAATGTCAAAAATTATTAATTTTTGGTGGTTTTTTGGAAGAAAAGGGGTTGGAAACCGAAAGTTTAGGGGAATTGCAGGATCAACCTTAGCATTCATCATATGCAGAAATAAATTTAACGCATTTTCAGCCAAAAATATTTTGAAAATTTAAATTCCCGCCAAAAAACAATAATCCTTGGCATTGTGTTGCAAGTTGATAAAAGACGCTTTTCTCTAAAAAAATTTCAATTTCACAAAAATTTTTGCTTCGAAAGTTCTTAAAAAACCTGACAAACCTCTTCATAAGACCAGTAACGTCTAGGAAAATACAGGTTGTAAAAAAATCTTTCCCAAATTAGGGGAGAAACTCATTAGGAACATCAAGAAATGAAGCCCCGAATGTCCTCGAAAGGTGGTTTTCCAAATAAAAAATGGAAGAAACCCAAGGACACTTGGCTCTAACCTTGTCAGCTTTGGCGCAAGAAAACAAAAAATTGGAGCGTCCAAATTTGAAAATTATTTATTTCGAAATTTTCTAATTTTTTAATTTTGTTACAGTAACCCGAAAATATAGAATAAATGAGGAAAAATATGGTTAGGTATATGCAGCGTATTTTACACTTACAAAAAACAAAAAAAAACTACATTTTACAATTTTTTTATATTACAGTACCCTAAAAATAAAAATTTATTAATACTTTTTTCCCTAACCTTTTTTTTCTTTTTCTATTTGCCGTATTTTACATTTTTCCAAAAAAAAATTTTTTTAATATTACAGTAACCCAATTTTTTATCTTCAACCCACACAACTCTCGATGTTCGACCAATTTTTGGGCCGTGGAAGCTAAGGTAATCAAATAAATTCCCGGTGCAGAACCCCGGAAGCATTCAATTAAATCCAACAATAAAAATTCTGAAAACTCTCAAATGTGGCGTGAAAATTGTTGTTGTTCACGGTCAAAAACCACTTTTGGATTTTCATTTTTTTTTCTTCATCCCGACAAAAAAAATCCTAAACAGGCGATTGCTGGGTAAGAAGAGTGAAAACGAAACGAACAATTTGTAACAATGGACCGGCTGAGAGGAGGGATGCCCTTTTTTGATTTTTTGGGAGAAAAAAACAATTTTGGTCTTACATGAATGAAGTGACAATTACTCTTTTGGTGGGAGGTCACGTGAGGGAAAAAAGAATATTTTTCGAATCCTTGAAATATCATCAAAATTCAGGATGAAGTCAGCACAACAATACCAAAAATAACATCATCAAAAAATGAATAAAAAATCCCCTCAAGCGCTATGGCTGCGCTTAATTTTTGAAGATTCAATGTATGCTCTAGGCAGTAAATATCAGCAAAATTTGAAGGCAGTTTCCACTATCGTAAACTGAAAAATTTTTATTCCTAATTTTCCCCTCAAAAAACCCTAAATTTCCAAAATCAACAATCAAAACTAAGACTATGAACCCTCTCAACAATCCAGCCATCCCATCAAAAACCAAGCCAATGAAGCTTCTCCTCCTCCGCCCCATGCCACTTCCTTTCTCCCCGTACCCAACCTACAAAAGCAACTTCAAAAAGAAGTTGAGTCGTCCGCAAAATTGAATCAAGCCAAATCCGCCGTTTGAAGGGATAGGCGAGCCTTTTCGGAAAACCTTACTGGATTTATTCTTGCCCGACTCTGGGAAGACGCTACAATGCCAGAGATGGCGAAGCGAAAGTGACTGCGCAATCGAGAAATTAACTGGAGAATATCGCGTTCAAGGACATTAGATTGGATTAGCTCGAATTTTGGGGGATATTTGAATAAAATGAAGGGGAAATTTAGTGAATCCTGTTTAAAAATTTCATACAAATCATTCAATTATATTCCTTGAATATTTTTAGACAAAATTTCAGAAAGCAAAAAAACCAATAAATTTTGTGACATTTCGTCAAAATTTTGAAACACCCAAAAAATATCAATACTTGACTTCTGCAAAAGCTTCTAATGATTTTTGACTGAAAAATCAAATTTTTGAAAATCCAATAATTCTTGTGACACTTCGTAAAACTTCCGAAACGGACTCGAAATTAATAAAAAATGCAGCTCAACTAATCTTTGACTGTAATAGAGACACTCTAAACGAAAAATACCATACAAGAGGGGACACAAACAATGACAAAAAAATAAAGTTATTTGACGGTGACTTTCCGTATTTGACTTGAGTGTTTGAGTTGCGAGTATAAGGTAAAAAAAAGAGTTTGACGTGAAAATAGAGAGGGGTAGGGACTTCAAATGGTATGAATTACCTAGTATTTGGATGGAAAGTAAAATTTTGAAAAAAAAATAAAAAATAATTGCCAAAATTTTCGGAAAAAAGATGTAAAAATGATGATTTTTGGTGTTAAAGATGATATACAAGGCTTGAAAAATATTTGAAGCTCATGAAAAATATAATCAATTAGGAATTCATGACATAAAAAATCAATAATATAAAAATTTCCACTAAAAAGTTGAGTAATATCGCCTTAAATCCACCTACATGCTTCCACCTTCATTAACCTGCGATTTCGGCTATTCCTTTCCCTAATTTTCTCCCCAAAAGTGTCCGCTCTCGCCAGCCTCCGCTGCTCTCTAATTTTCGCCGCCTCCGATGCTTATCAACGCGCGCAACAAACATTTTATTTGTTTGTGAAATCGGAGGGGAGAAGCATGTTTTTATCGCCTCTCAAGTCAACCAAATGCAAATCGCCGCCCGCGGCGACAAATGTTGCGCGCGAATTTTACGGATGCGAATGTGTGTGAGGAGGTAATTTGGAGTGGATTTTCGAGATCACAGAGTTATAGGGCTTCGAAAAATTTGGTGGTTGTAGAAAAGTCATTTTAGCTGGGGTTAGGTGACTTTAAACGGTAAACCCGGATTTCCCAAGACTCTTTAAACCCAAAATTGCCCAGAAAAAGAAAGCAGAGCATGCAAAATGCTATAATTTTACATTTTAAATAGCTTTACAACTGAAAAAAATTTCGGTTTGGCCAAAAAATTGAATTTTTGCTTGTTTTTCGGGAGAAAAATTAAATTTTGAAGAAAAAAGGTGCTCAAATAAGGTGAAATACGTGCTCTGCAGCACTAAGGAACAACTACAATAGACTTGCAAGAACTTTTAAAAGTATATATTGGTAAAACAAGCCCTAGATTTTTAATTTTTAACCCAAAAATCGACAAAAATTGCCTTTTCAAGACAAAAAAATCATTTTTTAGTCCAAAAAATTTCAAAATGACCCCGAAAACCGTCTGCGAATCCCGGAAAAACAATCTTCAGACATTCCCAGCCACCGTAAAAGCCCTAAACTAAAGTCCACCAACTAAAAAATGATTTTTTAAAAGCCCTTTCCTTTCCCAATGCACTTAAACAAAAAAAAATTGAGAATACAATAACCAAAATACTCGCTCTTCTCACTTGTCAAGAGCCTTGGGTTTAAAAATTCCAAGCCTCACCTGTCAAGTACAACATGAAAAGTCGCAGAAAGATAAGAGAAACTCTGTTTTTTGACAAGTAAACATACGAAAATCATATAGGAAACAATTTTTTCGGCCATCAAAACTCTTTTCTTTGATTTTTTTTGATGACTAAGAGAATACAGGGGATGTAAATAAGGGAATATCGCAACAACTTGTCGACTCTTTGGTATGCAAATATCGGAAATGACCCAAAAGTTTTACCCGCCATGTCATAAAGGCGGGAAGATTAACAAAAAAAAGTTTAGAGGTGCGCTGACAGGTCGTTGAGGTGTCGTAAAGACGGAGGAAAGGGAAGTGAGAAGTGGGAATATGGGGATTATAAGGGAATTCAAGGAGAAATAAGAGGGAAATTTAAGACCTTTTTTGGATTCTTGGTGGAAAATTTGAATAAAATTTGAATATTTTGATTTGCAAATTTGCATGAAAACCGGGGAATATTGAGATTACGACTTTCGAAGACATATGCGAGACTCTTAGCTGGCGCTTTGCAGAAATAACTGAGAGTTTTAGGTTAAAAGTTGGCAAAAAGACAAAAATTTTTTGCCATGAAAATCTTTGTGCCTATTATTACCAGGAAGGGTTATGATTTCATAAAAAATAAATAAATACACTTTTCAGCGAAACTGAAAAAGATATGGCCAAAAAATTCTCTGTGGCCGCTCTCCGCGTTTCGTATTCTCGCTAGCCCGCAAAAATCTTTGAATTTCTCGGCTGCACCAGCAAAACCCGAGCTAAAAATTTCAGGAATTAATGTATGACCTATTACCGACATATTTGCAAAATCTAAGGAAAATCTGCGCGCCTCAATTGGGACTTTTCCCTTGTCAACAATTTATCACATAACATTTTTAATCCTCAAATGCTACGCTTTGCTATACGCAGAGCCAACTCTATTTCCCTACATCTGTGTCCTGAACAAACCAAAAACGGTAATTTGCTCTTCGTAAACCGAAAAATACGAATTTTCCCCCATAAAAGCTAGAAATCGCCAATGGCCACTCCTCCCCTTGTCATATGACACATTGCTCTCCTGAATTCGGAGAACCGAAGCCGGAGAGGCGAAAACTCGTTTATGTAGTGCGGAAAACCCATTGCAAAACAGTCATTTGGCGGAAAGCGAAACAAGTGATTGCATGGGTCGGAATTACGACGAAAAAGTGGTTACAATATACCACTTTTGACTCAGTTTTGACTACTTTTTGAAGAGAAAAGGATAAGATAATGGTGGTTGCGGAAAGTAGCGAGCAGGAGAAAAAAAATTTAGTAGAAAAATCAAAAAAATAATGAAAAAATTTTTACTAAAAATTTTAAAAAACTAAATTTATAAGACCTCAAAAATTCAACCAAAAAATTTCTGATCCCTTCAATAAATTTTCACCCTATTTTTCCCCCATTTCACCCTTCTATTAATGACCCTTCTGTAGCACAAACCTCCATCTCCGGTCAGCCGTAATGGTCAGTAGCAAAAAATAATTCGCAATAAAAGCAGAGAAGGTGTGAAAATCGGCGCGCAATGAAATAACGCCGCAGGCAGCAATAATATTTTTATTTTTGGAAAAGAAATCCAAAAAATGAGAAGGTTTTTGAGAAGGTTAATCCGATTTTTTTTTATTTTTTTTGTACAGTCTATGTGCATTCGATTTTTTTTTGTAATTTTTTAGAAAACGAAAGTCTTTTTCGTAAAAAAAACTTTACGAAAAAAGATTATTTTGTTGCATTTGGGGATTTTTTTGGCAGATAAAAAAATTGACCTTCAAAAAACAATTTTTGCAAGGTCAAAAAGTAAAAAAAAAAATGAAAAATTTTTTTAATTCTTAATTATTTTAAAATTTTTTGCCAAAATAAGGCTTTTTGACTTAAAAAATATTTTTTTTTGATTTAAAAATCCCAAAAATCCCGTCAAAAAACTTTCAAACCAACCTTATTCGGGCTATTCGGCTGCTGTGGATGTCTGACTTTGCTGGCCTTCTCCGGACTGACCACCTGAACTGGTTTCTTATTATTACTGTCTCTTTCGACAATCCTTTGCAAGGCCTCTTTTCGGGCGAAGCCGAGCTTTTTGATGTCCTCAATTCGCTCGGCCACATGCGCCAAAAGACTGGAGGTCTCGGTGGTGGTCAGCAAAATGAGGTTGGTCATGTTGGGAGGCATCTGGTTGAAGGCGTCAAGCTGAAGATTAATTTAATTAAGATTTTTTTATTTTCCTTGAGTTTATGAAAATTTTGAAAAAGTAAAATTTTGATAAAATTCTGGCAAAAAATGAGATTTTTAGGGAAAATTTTCATTTTTTTTCTTTTTTTTTTTTTTTTTGAGAAATTTCATTTTTTTTAGTTTATGCTCAAAAATTAATATTTTATTTGAAGCGAGAAGTAATTTTTCCCGCAAAAAATCATTTTTTGGAAAAAGATGAGAAAATCGAGCACGTATTTTACAACCATTTCTTTACCTGTAAATTGGCTCCTTCTGCCAGAAACTCGTCCAAACCCTTTGCCGAAGAGGTCGCTGCAGAATTGTTCAATTCCAATGGGATATTGCTGAGGATCTCGACGCCTTTCCGACACCAAGTTGTCGCCTGAAAAGTCAAAAAAATGAAATTTTAAAATTTTTATTTTTTTCAGAAAATAAAAAAAATTTAATTGCAAAAAGTCCCTAAGAATAAAAACAGACTGGTTCAGAAAGTGCCAAACCCTTTTGCTTTTGATCAATTTCTTTTGTTTCGCTTCAAAAAATCAAGAAATCCCACGAATTTCGGGGCTAATAAATCAAGATCACGCTTATTTTTGACGTTTCAAACCCATTTGGCGGGACTTTAATAGATCGGGGTTTAAATTTTTCTTGAGAAAAATCAAAAAATTTCGACTCCAAAGGACCTCAAGGAAATGAGAATCAAAATAAGAGCAAAATTACTATCGAGTAGCCTCTAAAAATACGATTTTTGATAACCTTTTCGTCTCCAACGGTCGTAAAACGAGAAAGCAAAAAGATAAAACGGGAATGGACGGTCGTAAACATGTCTGTTTACTGTTATCAGTAGTGGTCATTTTTAGTCTAAACAAGATGTTCGAAAAATCGCCAAAGGAAAAGAGAGAAGAGAGGTGTGTAATTTTTGACATTTTTACAACCGAAAAAGTAAGAAAAGGGCAAAATTTAGGGGTTTTTGATAATAAAAGAGGACTAAAAATCCTTTAAAATGATTTGTAGTTTTTATAACTACTATCTATTATCCAGTTACCCCAAAAAAACCAAGAAAAACAGACAAAAATTCAATTTTTTGAATAAAAAATTAACTCTTTATTTGGCATGTATAATATAGAAACCTCCCGCAATCCCCATAAAAACCTTTATTGAGCCGGAAAATATCATTTTCACCCCCCTCTGGCCAAGCTTGGTCAATTCCGAATGCCGGTTTAAGACCACAATCTCCCCGATTTGAGTAAACAAAAGGACCCACAAGAATTAATCGGAGAATGCCGGAAAATCTCTCTTTTCCCCCCGATTTTATACCGAAATGGCCGCTGCGGCCATATGGGTTGTATTTCTGGAAACGATTTACAAGAATGAGAACCGTTTCCTCTGGTTCAAAAATGAGGAGGAGAAAATGATGAGAGAAATAAACAAGGGGATTTGTTGCGGAATAAAAGAAGAATTTATGTTACCCTAGGGGCAAATAAATCTAAAATTTTATGTAAAGTAAAAAGCTAGTAAACTGAAGGCCATACCACCAAAAAATTTTTTTTTAAATCGCAAGTTAACAACAAGATTTTTTAAAAAATTTTCAGACCATCCGAGTGATGAAAACCCTCTAAAATTTTCATTTTTTGCCACTTTTTCAATTCGACTAAAATTTAAAAATCACCTAATTTTTCTCCTCCTTTCCTCTTTTACTCCTAGTTGCGTTAAAGATCACGCTTTGACTAAAAATGACCACTACTGATACGGGTAAACAGACAAGTTTACGACTGTCGACTTTTCCGACGGTTGTTTTTAACTTTTCTTGATTTTTATTTTTTACGACCCTTGGAGACGAAAAGGTTATCAAAGCTCGTATTTTTAGCGGCTTCTGGGAGAAGCTAAGCGGACTTCATGCAAAAAATTAACTCCTGATACGGAAAACAACCAAATAATTAGTGGAGAAGTCATCAGTCATAGCCTAAAATTGATTTTTGGCATGTTGTTTCTCCGAATCGGTCCTAACCTCAAGTCTTCAAAGATGGCTGAATATCTCAGCGTCTTGTAAAAATCATGGGCTCTAATTTTAGAAGACTGGGACGAATTTAACATAAAACGTCTTTACCATCCTCAAAAAGTATTTCAAAAACATTTACTTCATTTTATATCTCGCCAAAGGCAAAATAAAAGATTTCCCATATAAACTACTTTGATAAAAATTTATAACCAAGCCAGCCAAAATTGGGACTCTAGAGTCTTCGCAGAGGTCTCCGTAACTATTTTTGTGGCCTACTTTCGTATCCCAGCCTCTAAATTACCCCCTCGAAATCCCAAGTTTTGACAAATCCCCTCTTCCCCAACCTCATCCTCCCTTCTGCTCCTCCTATTTTCAATTCTCCCTATAGAAACCCCCCAGAAACCCGCAACATCGTGCCTTGTGGCCATAAATCTCCGGTATGCTAATTTGTCTTCGGCCCGGATAAAAGGGCCAGAAGAAGAGGGGAGAAATTAGGCGGACATCCTAAATTGCCGCAAATGAGCTTGCTCTCTCGTTCTTTCTTGTGTAGCGAAAGGAACGAGCCCGGTTCAAGGACCTAGATCCCATCTTTTGAAGCGTAGGGAAAGGCAAATAAAGGAAGAATGGGATTACAAGCCGGATTACGGACACATGGCACGCAAGGTTATGGGGAATATGGGGAATATGGAAGAGGAATTGAAGGGAAATTGAGCTTATTTTGAAGAAATGGAATTTTTAAGCAGTCAAAATGTTGATGACTTGCAGTTTCACAAAATTTTTATATCAAATTCGAACGAAAACGTCCCAAAAAAAATAACTTTGAATGTCACCTTACCTCGCTGATTTGTCGATGCATATTCACGCTCAGCCTCAGCACTTGCGCCCGCCGATCCAACGCCGACGTCAGCGCGTCCGCCATCCGACTCAACTCCTCGCATTTGGGCGCCAAACTGTCCGACAATTGCCCGTCCGCCCCCTCGGCGGACAACATTTCACCGCGCGAGTGAAGATCGCGGGCCGCTTGGACGTCGCTCATCGCCGTCTCGGCGTATTCGTCGTGGTCCTCGGCCAACTTGCGCGCCTTCTCCACGCCGTCGCCAACGTCCCGATGCTCCTCCAGATAGATCATGTGTTTCGCGAACGAGGATTGCAGCTGGAAAATGGGAGGGTTAGAAAAAAAAACGTTGTCAAATATGAACGGGAATCTCATTTTTTTGATAAACAAATCAAATGGATTCGGAGTCTGGGGAAACGTTTTTTGGAAAGGCTCCAAAAGTCGATAGAGAGGTCCGAAAGGCAAGTTAGAGTGTGTTTTCAAACTTTAAAATTAACGCAAAGCCATAATTTTGCCATGTTCGGCAAGAAGACGAAAAGTTTTGTCAAAAAATCGTATCTTTCTGAAATTTGCCCTACAAATTTTGGCTGGAAATTTTGCAGACTATCATATAAATTGATAAACCATCGGTTTCCACACTTATTTTTTTAAAATTCAAATTTCCCGCCATTTTTAGATATTTCTGGCATTCTGTTTCAAGCCGTCAAAAAAACTGAAAATTAGCCAGAAACAAGGTAAAAATTAATTTAAGACACTTTTTCTAATTTAATCCTTAATTTCAAAATTTTAACGGCCCGCTACAACATTGATAAAAAAAAATTTTGTTTCAACTTTTTTTCTTCAAAAACTTCCCGAAAAGTGCCAAAACCTCCCTCAAAACAAACAAAAACCCCTTCCGTATGGATGATAGATCGACATAAAGGAATGCGAGACATGTTTGGGTTATGAGGTCAAGGGTTATACCCACAAAAAGAGGGATATAAGGAAGGAAAAGCGAGATCATGCCGAAATATCGCCAGCATATGCGAGAAATAAATCGAAGAAAAAAGACGGAATAAATGAGGTGGTCGCGAATAATTTGGCTATGACTAATGGACTCGATGGATTGGGCCCGGTTTTGTCCCCACCCCGGTTTTGTCCCCAAGACGGTTTTGTCCCCAGGACGTTTTTGTCCCCACTTTTTTCGAGCCTTTTTGTCCCCAGACCGGTTTTGTCCCCAGGACGGTTTTGTCCCCAAGACGTTTTTGTCCCCACTTTTTTCGAGCCTTTTTGTCCCCAGACCGGTTTTGTCCCCAGGACGGTTTTGTCCCCAAGACGTTTTTGTCCCCACTTTTTTTATTTTTTTGTCCCCACACCGGTTTTGTCCCCAGGACGTTTTTGTCCTCAAGCTGGATAGTACAATCATAAATTATGCATTCAGATGTTAATGCTGTTGGTTTGGTGCACAGTACTGCTCAAACAACATGTACTTAGCACTTGGTACTGCATAGTACAAGGTGGTACTATAGAGCACGAGGTAAAAATTAAGCTATAACGCGTGAATGACGTAGTTTTGGTATGCAGTACTGATCAGACGTTCATTTTGTGCAAAAACAAATTCGTGCTATATAGTACCATGTGCTAAAACACATTTTTGAGAAGTACTGGGCTTCAAACCCATAGCATTGACGTGTTATGGCTTAATTTTTACCTCGTGCTATATAGTACCACCTCGTACTATACAGTACCAAGCACTAAGAACAAGTTGTTTGAGCAGTACTGTGCACCAAACCAACAGCATTAACATCTGAATGCATAATTTTTAATCGTACTATCCAGCTTGGGGACAAAAACGTCCTGGGGACAAAACCGGTGTGGGGACAAAAAAATAAAAAAACTGGGGACAAAAACGTCTTGGGGACAAAAACGTCCTGGGGACAAAACCGGTCTGGGGACAAAAAGGCTCGAAAAAAGTGGGGACAAAAACGTCCTGGGGACAAAACCGTCTTGGGGACAAAACCGGGGTGGGGACAAAAACGTCCACTACGACTCGATGGCATGTGGGATGGCCATAAATCATAGAAAAAATGGAAATTTTAATTTTTTCTAATTTCGGTTTTTTTTGGATTTTTCATTTTTTTTTAAATTTTGACATAGATTTTTTAGATAAAAATTGTCAGAAAATCAGTTAAATCGCAAAAAAAACAAAATTTTTCCCTTGAAAAATCCCATACCCACAGCAAAAACCAGCGTTTTAGCCTATGAAAATGGTGTTAATATTGAAAATGCGAAAATATTCGGGACCCATTTTTCTCATGCACACAATGAAATCCACTTAAACGTCGGGCCTTCGAGGGCGTATTTCCGGCTGGAATGGCCATTGGGCAGTGCGAAAATGTGTCTTTATTCGCGGCTGGGCTTGAGAAAACATGCCCCAGTCCTCAAGGGCCAATTTATTGGGGATTTTCATGATCTTAAAGGGCCCTTGAGGGAGTTTCTGCGAGTTTTTAATGGGCTTGGGAAAAATTTTGTTACAAAAAATATGTTGGATTTTGGAAAAAAATAAATCTTAAAAATACCCAATATGGTGCCAAAAAATTATTTTTTTATCTTTTTTTCATAAAATTCCGGACTTAAAGTAGCAAAATCACACTAAGTAAGCCAAAAACTACTATTTTTTTTTTATTTTTAATATTAAGGTATCCCACAATAATAATTTCTTTTCTTTGCCCTTTTAATTTCTCAAAAATGACATAACCCCAAAAAAAATAAAAAATAAAATATTAACAAAAATATTAACGACCAGCCTCACCCCTATTTCTCGATATTAAATCATCATAAACACAGGCCTGGAGGGCAGATCACTTGTGCAAATAAAGCGCCGGGCCTGGTCCGGAATAACCCTCGAAAAACAATAATCAGAAGGGCCAATACACCTGAAGGGAACACGTAGACCTTTCCCGAAATAAAACTTATGATGACAATTTATTTAGGGAGATTGACTAGGCCTATCCTGAAGTTAAAGTTTTTTGACGTATTTTGTGGATCATGGAGGAAGAAATGGTTGGAAAAATAGGTGATAAAGAGAAGACGGAATCTTAACCAATCATTTTAGCAGTATTTCAAGGTATTATTAAGCCATAAAATCACTTATTTTTCAGTTATTCTCTAAAAATTTTAGTAAAATTTCACTTTTTTCCATATTTTCGATAAAAAGTGTCAAAATTTTATCAAATATTCGACAAAAACCTGAGAAAAAAATAGTTGAACTATCATAAACAGTCGTTAAATTTCTCTAATCTTATTCTCAAATATTCAAATCTAAGCAACTGTTTCAATGCCCGTTAAAAATTCCAAAACAAGTCATCTTCTCGAAATTTAAAAAGTTTCCCCTCAAAAAATCCTTGATGTTTTCTTCAAATCGAACGATAAAAATCTCGAATATGTGTTAGAAGATTCTAATCTAAATTCGAGCCAAGTTTTCTTAAGAAGATTTCCAAATTGAAAAGCAAAAATTAAAATTTCAGCTGCTAAATAAAAAAATCTTTTGATTTGTTCAAAAACTTTCATCCAAGTTTTCTACACTTCCTGAAATTTGCAAAAAATAGTAAAAAAGTGAGCAAAAGAAAAGTCGTCGTTTCGATTTGGGTTTGGGAACGTTACTTTTCCGACACCTGTGAGTCCGAATTATAAATTCAAAAAAAAGTGAGAATGCGAAGCGATGCATAACCGGGCTGTTGTCCCCGAGGAATAGACTTTATCGAAAAACATAAAGCGAAAAAATAAACTCGGTTCGAAAAAGTAATCAAGTTTCATTTTCGAGGGGATAACTGATAGCAGCAAGGCGCTTGCAGTGGGAATTATACAGAGCCTTAGAACACCGTTCTCATAATTTTCATATTATGAATCTGTGTTCTACGTAATGAAGCTATAAAATGACTATGAAAGGAGTATACATAGAGCGGTTATTGGTCGGTAAAAATTTTAAATTTTTCTTTCCAATCATAGCCAAGATATTCAACGTTCTTTGCAGAAAATAGACCATGTAAGATGAAGAGAGACGGACACAAAAATAAAGAGTTTTCTTTCGAACCTGGGACTATAAAAATCAAGGGCTAAAGTAACGCAAGTTACTGAATTTTGGACCACTTTATGGAATTTCTTTTGCATCAAAAAAACCGGGGGCCAATGAGCTATCTGAAAGTTTGCTGAAAGTTAGCTGAAAATGGTAGGGCGCAGCTCGGAAAACAACGTTTCGCGGCTCGCCGGAGCTAAGTTTAGGCTTGTTTTCGAACTGCGCCCGTGCAAATTCTCCGAGCTGCGCCCTATGATTTTCCGCAAACCTTCAGATAGCGCATTGGCCCCGGGGCTCAAAATTTGACAAGTGGTTTATGAAGCTATAGCCTCTAATCAAAGTCTGAGTTCAGCCCGCGATAACTTCTTTAAATTACGAGATAAAAACCCTCACATTATCTTGTTAGAAACTTAGGACCTTAATTTTTACAAAGCTTTATCAAAATCTAATCTTCGTATTTTAAAATCTTCTAATCAAACAATTAGCCCGCCTTTGCCCTATTCCCAAAAAAACACCTACTTTCAACTGTTTTCTGTCTTCTCAACCCAATGGTATTACAATAATAATACTGTTCCCTTTTTCTTCAATTCGCCCCTACAAAAATTAAAATCGAATTTATGAAGCTACTCTTTAAAACGTCTTAATTTTCTCACCCCCTTTCAACCCCACTCTTCCCACGTTTACAGCGCAAAATAATGGAGAAGAGACGGCGCTAATTCGGTTATTAATTCCGAAAAAAGTGAAGATACCTGAGGGCATTTGCGGATCCTCAGATTATTTCCCTTCTTTCAGGTTATTCAGGGCGCAGGAGAAAGGAGAGGAGTGGATTTCTGGAGGGGATAAGAGCTTCCGAATGAACTTTTTTAAATCCTTTTGAAGGAAGCGCTTACAGGTGTCGGTATGATGGGTTTTTCATCGGTAAAGAGGGGAAAGAGGGTGGCAAATAGGATATTTATGAAGATTTGAGATACTTATATGTAGAAGCAGCTCAAATCATAAAAAAATTTGAAGAGTTGAAAAAAATGTTTTTTCAGAGGAAGTGCCAAAAAAATTATGTCTGTAGATAAAATTTTGGACAAAATAGGCTAGGATATCAGCCTGTCGGGAAAATAATGAGCAAATCTTTTGAATCGAAAATTTGCATCGCTGCTGGGAAAATGAAGTTGCTTTTCACTTCAGCGACGCGATCGGCGCAGCGACAATATTCTCATTATTTTTCCGACAGACTGATGATTTAAAAAAGGCATATAAATTACAAAAAAATTTTTATAAAAAATCGAAAAAAAATTTTGGTTCGCCTTGTTGGTAATTTATAGATAGAAAAATGATGATTTTAAATTCTACTAGCAATAATATTTACGCATAAAATACGGCACAACTTCCGATCTCCTTTTGCAAACACATTTTCTGCACTTTACTTTACAAAAACGAAAAAAAACACTTCCTGAAAACAGCAAACAACGTAGAACCCCGGAATTCACGGTCAAAAAGGGAAGAAATTTGGCCAATTTAGCCCTCCTCTTGTCTCTTGTTCCGAAAAGGAGATCGTAACATAATTGAAAGGTTCTGTTTGGAATACCGACGACTTTTGTCTTGTTGTCTCCGACGCAAAATGGAGAAAACAAAAAAGAATTAGAGGGAGAAAGCACTCTTTTTGTTTTGAAAATGATTTTTGAGCGCAAATCTATCGGATTTGAGTGAATTCTGGCATAAATTTAGACTAAAAATTTTCTCAATTTTTGCCAACTTTTGTTGAATTTGGAAAGAAATTAGAGTTATATTAAACTAACCAAGTTTTTACTCAAAAAAAATCAAGACAGATCTCGCCTTTTTCGGTCCATAACCGCACCTTTCCAGCCGCCTTTGACCGCTTACTCAAAATTATTTTCTTTTGGTATTTTGATTCCCTTGAATCACCCAAACAACAGTCATTCGAAGAGCACAGATTTTTAATCCACGGCCCTTTCGAAATTTCCATATGGAAAAGTGAAAATAAAAATGGCCATAAAAATAAATTCGATTCAGACGTTTGGGAATCGAAAGTGACGTCATTGACAAGAATGAAATTTTGATTTTTATGGAAGATAATTTTTTTTACAATGCAAATCAAAATTTTGAGGCTCTTACCTTCAAATTTTAACTTGAAAATTTAGATATAGAATTTGACAGGGGAAGTACTCCAAATGCGACGCTCAGATTTTCTTTCAATTTTGCACACCCGTCGGGTATGAACTAAATATAAATTCCTGAAAGTTTTAGCTCGCGCTTTGCGGGCGCCGCCGAGGTATCGAACGATTTTTGCCGCCGAAAGAGCACGCTGAACGTGGAGAGCGGTCAGAGAGAAAAGGGCTTTTTGGCCATAACTTTGGCAGTTTCGTGCGGAAAATTTTGATTTTTTGTAGAAACATTATCCTTTACGGTAGAAACAGGCATGAAACTTTTTGTGCCGAAATTCGGCAAAAAGTCCTAAATTTTGGCCGACTTTCGACCTAAAAAGCTCGGTTGTTTCTGCAAAGCGCGAGCTAGGAGTCTCGCATATATTTTTGAAAAAAATGTTCTAAATTTGTGCCAAGTTTCATCGAAATCTGAGCGTCGCACTTGGAGTACTTCCCCTGTTAGAGCCTTCCAAAAACCCTCTCCTAAAACTACAGTAACCCACCTTCCGGAAGCCCTCCTCGAAGCGCCTCAACTTCAGGCAGTTCTCCAGCTTCTGTTGATGTTTGGACCAGAACGCGTCAAATGACTTCTCCGTGTCCTCGAGCTGAATCAGCATCCGCTCGATGGCGGTCACGTTGTGCAGCCGTGTGGGGCTCAGCTGTTCCGCCTCCGGCTTCTGTTCGAGCTGTCGGACTTGTCGGAGAAGTTGGAGACCCTTGCGGATGGAAATACGGAAGTCTTCCTGGAATTTCAAATAAATTTTTTGTTTGAAAAAAACTGAATTCTTCAAAAATTCAATTTTTAATTTTAACAGAATTTGGCGACGATATTCTAGAGAGTGTCGTAAAAATAGCAAAATTTTCAAAAAAATTATTTTTAAAATACGTTTTCCATAGAAAAATTTATTTTTTCGAAAAATTCAAAAAAGTAATTTCCTACAAAAAATAATAAAATATTATATCATGTATACAAAAAAGCTTTCTCATCGAAACGAAAAACCATTGTAACAAAAACTTGACGTTACTTTTTCTCCGACGGTCAGTTGATAAACAACTTTCTCCGCTTCTTTTTGTATAATGTATCTCTCTCTAGGGTTTTATTCATGTCAAATTCCTTTAGAATCAAAAAAACGAAATAAAATATAACAAAATTTTGTGTTGAAATTCCTTAGAGAACGATAAAATCTTTGGTAAAATACGACATTTACTACGATTCAAAATAATATCAAAATATTAATATTTCGTATAATTTTTAGAATAAAAAAAAATGTTACTTAAAATTGATTTGAAAAGCAAAAAAAAGTAAAAAAAGTAAAAAGAACTCACTTTGATTGCGTCCCTCTCGGCAGTTTGTGCTTCCAGGATCCGTTGCGTGGACTCGACATCGTTCGGAAGCTCGGTTTCGCGTAAACAACGGCCAAATTCACTTAGGCTTTCCGCAATTACTGCCGCCGAACTTTTCATTCGCTCAATGTCCTGAAAACAAATTTACAGTTAAATTTGAAATTTTTATGCCGAAAAAAGTTAGAAAATTTTAAAAAATAATGATGAAAAAATCAGAAAATTATTTTTGAGCCCTCAAGGAAACTTTATGCTCAAAAAGCAAAAAAAAAGTTTTCTTCCCTTTTTCAGATCGTATTTTAAAATTCTGTACATTAAAAAACATTTATTAACACGAAAACTTTCACCCACCATTCGGTGCTGAACCCACTCCAAGTGGTTGTATTTGAGGATCCCGCCAACATCCATGGTGAGGCAGTCCTGACCGAGGAAGTCCCGCAATTCTGTCGTACTCTGACAAGGCACAACCTGAAAAACAACTCGGGATGTAAACAACTCAGCCATAACAAACACATCAAAGAGATTCTTCTTGGATTTTATTGGGAAAGTTGATTTACATGATCTGTAATGTATAATGTAAGTGGAATTTTGAAAAACCTTGATCGTTTTGAAAATTGTTGATAGCATTTTTATAATGAGGATACTATAGTACAATAAAAACAAAATTTTTGTTGCCAACCGCCTAAGGCGAGATGGAGAAGAATCGATTTAGTTTTGAGGGCCAAAATTTTGAAAGAAAATTTTTAATTGTCAAAAAAAATATGTCATAATTTCACTGCGGAAATCAATAAGTAATCTCAGAATTTCTTAGGGTATCCTAAGTAAAATTTAACAAGGAAAGTACTTTTATGGGGGCTCCTACTTTTTGACGGGACATATCTCAAAAAATCAAAAAAAATGTGCTGATCAAGGATATATAAATCTTAGCTGCCCATTTTAGGTTTTTAGGGGTGAAAACTCAATCGGAAGTTGACTTAAAGTCCTATATAAACCCCTTTTCGCTTAATTTTTCACAGGTTTGCAATTTTTATTTTGGCTTAAAATGATGTTTATTGGGTTTCTAAAACGTAATAAATCAATCTTGGCACAAAAATTTATTTTTCCGACCTTCATCTCCAAAAAAAGTTGATTCGGCCCAAAAGGGAAATCGAACCCGTGCGGCGTTCCCCCTCTTGATTCCCAGACTACGGCACTTACCACTCGGCCACACCGCCCTCTTCCGAAGGAAGAGACCGACTGCGCTTTTTATCGTTTCGAATGCCTGCGCACGTCAAGATTTTGCGCTCAAAGGGTTATCTCTCAACACGAAAGTTGGCATTCTGTTTCCGCTTACGGAAGTGTCCAAAAAATCCGTCTCAATGACAGTTTTTTTGGACGAGGTCAGAGGAAAGGCGAAATATTGCGCAAAATGAAGAGATTTTCTATCTCGAAACTGGCTCATTTGATTTTTTTCGTTTTAGGCTCAAAAAATCCGCCTTGTTCCAGACTATGTTTCCACGAAACTTCAAATAGGGGCGAGGGAAAATCTTAGAGAAATCATCGAAATCGCAACATTTTTTAGGCGTTGTTAGTTTAGGCTTCAAACAGATAGAAGACGACTGATTTTTTATATGAAATATATATGTTCAGGTTAAGCAGGAGCCCAGCTTCAAATTTATGTATGCAATAACCCCATTCTACCCCATCTTCATCGTGTAATCAGGCTATCTTTGGAGCAAAAAATTGTCTTTGAGATCAAACAGAATGCCAAGAATTTTTCATTGCTTGAGCGCTTTTGTTTTATTTTTTCTTGACGTGCTGCGCCTTTTGTAGGGAAATTAAGCCAGTTTTTGGGAATTTTCACCCCTAAAAACCTAAAATGGGCAGCTAAGATTTATATATCCTTGATCAGCACATTTTTTCTGATTTTTTGAGATATGTCCGGTCAAAAAGTAGGAGCCCCCATAAAAGTACTTTCCTTGTAAGATATCAGCGGGGCTGATTGCCTAAGGGAAAATAGAAAAAAAATGGTTTTAAGTTTTCCTTCAAAAAAAATCTTTTTTTTATTATTTTGTTTAAAAAAAGTATTCTAACTACAGTATCTAAGCGTTCCACCCTCTGCAAAATTTCCGTTTGCCCCCTAAGGGCAAATCCAAATATCTTTTTTGAACTTCCACTATAGACAGATCCGTTAACACCCGAAAATTATGGCGTCACAGAGCACACCAATTATTCCCTCCGAGAAACCGTTCAATTTTTCCGTTTTCCCCCCCCCAGAGGAAAGAAAAACGGATCCACGGAACATAAGGCGTTTTAGAGGACAGCAATTATGGAAAGACAAGCAAAAAAAGAGCTGATCCGTCTCTTGACGTGTCTAAAACAAAAACAATTATTTATAAGGGGGGAAAAGTCTCGGAATTCCGGGGAAATAAACAAAAATGGATACAAAATTAGGCATCTGAGGGGTCTCAATTAGAGTACAAAACTTTAATGTCTTTTGAGAATGATTTGTCAGCGATTTTGTTGTCTGGGTGACATTTTATACGCAAAATTTCAAAAAAAAATTTCGTCAAAAAAACAAAAAAAAAAGATTTTGAAACATCTATGATCCTCGCAATGTGTTTTACATCTAAGCGACATGTTATACGATGAAAAAAATTTTGAAAAATTATTTTTCGTATTTTACACAATTTTTATAAAATTTTTTTATCTAAAAGCCTTAATTAACGCAGCTGTCAAAAAACCTTTTCGCCCGTTGAATCCGAATTTTCACGCGAATCCGGCGAAAATTGGAAAAAATTAGTCGGAAAAACGGCACGGCCTTCAGAAGAAGAGGTTACGCAACATTAACGAAACTCGGTTCAGCAGGCAATTAATTATCAGTCTTTTTAAAGGTCAACACATTTTTTTTTTGATGTTATAAAATTTGTTGGTAAATTTTGCAAAATTAAAAAAAATATAACTATTTTAAAATATTATTTTTATTTTTTCAAAAAAAAACGTAAAAATTTAAAAATTTCATATCGTTCACTTATCCCGTATTTTCCCGTATTTTCACCCCCAAACTCACGTTGTATTGTCCGTTTTCGGTGAAGTTCCTGTAGCCGACCTCGAGAGCTCGTTGAAGAACGCCTTCCGGCTTCAAAAGGAAGATGACGTGGACTGGCTCGGGGAAGTAATTCTGCAAAAAAACAATTATTGTATTTTGCTCAAACAAAAGAAATTATAAGAACAATTAAAATATTTAAAACATAAAAAAGCAAAAAATAAAAAAATCCCGTTTTATCCGAAATATTTTTGCTTTCGAAACACAAAACTTTTTGCCACAAATCCTTGGAACCTTGCCAAACAATAAGCCGTAAATTTTTCTCTAATCCCCTAAGGCATTTTTCGGCAAATTCCAGCGTTTATTTGGCCCTGAAAGCCCTTCATTCCTCCGAAGAGCGGTTTTAAACGCCTTATAAACAAAGCCCTAAGGGCCGAATGTTTTGAAAAGCGAGGCGATCGTCTTCACGAAATTTTAAAGAGCCTTCGGCAAGATTTTGAAAGCCGTGAAAATGACCAAACATGGAGAGAAAAGAGGGGGGAAAGGGATTGCTCTAGGACATCTGCATCCAATAAATTATCCAAAAGCGTGGCTTCGAAATGCGGGCGAAAACAAATTATGGGATTATTCAGCCGAATGGAGCCGGAGGAATGACCTGTTGAAGGGGTGGGGAAAGGATTGTGGACATACGAGAGTGGTGTTGAAAAGTATAGAGGAAAAATTTGAAATGATAAAAATTTGAAAGGTTATACGAGTCGTGTTTTGGTAAAACTTGGTAAGCTAGTAATCGAGGCCATCATGTTGCAAGATCTCTACAATATGCTTTACAAAATCCTTCTTCCACTCCGTTGTATCCTCAAAATTTACAAGTGAAGTACCACCACTGCATCGCTCAAACTTTCTTTAAATTTGGCACATGTTTAGGGTGTAAGCCACATATTAATCCCAGTAAATTTAAGCTTGCGCTTTGCAAGGGCCGCCGAGATATTCAACGATCACTGCGGCCGACTGTAAAACGCTGAAATCGGTCACAGAGAAGAACTCTTTTTGACCATATTATTACCAGCTTAGGCCGGAGGCAAAATGATTTTTTTTGAAATAGTACCACGGTATAAAAAGAAAAATAGATATGAAACTTATCGTGCCACAATTCGCCAAAAAAATCGCATTTTCACTAACTATCGACCTAAAAATCATTCCGTTTTTTGCAAAGCGCAAGCTAGGAGTCTTTCATACCTTATACGAAAATTTATTCTAAACCTGTGCCAAGTCTGATCAAAGTCTGAACGTCGCACTTTTTAGACTCTCCCTGTCAAGATCAAAAAAAGAAACTCATTGGATTAGAGTCGGAAAGAACCAACTCGGATATCCCCTCCCTCAAGGAATGGAAAGCGATAATTGAAGCTCGTTTTAACGAACGGAAAAAGAAATTAAGCGAAAAGTGTTGCGTAATACCCTGTCATTGTTGTTTCGGATGAGTAAATTGAAGAGTCGTGCAGGTAAAGATTGCTATTTCACCGGATAAGCGAAAGGATTTGGGGAGGTCTTGCAAATTGGCCGCCATCTCTGCGGAAACTTTCTCACATGACTTTCTATCCACCGTGTGCGCAAAAAATATATGTATACATCGAAATTACCCTTCTGGTATCTTTCATAACATACCATACCAAAAAATATACCATTTAATGGCCATTAAATTTCAAGCTTGAACACCCAATGATAACCCCATTACCCCCATTATATGTATATGTATCTACCGAGGGTTCCCCTCTATAAATAAGGTGTCGCTGAAAAGACCATAAATTTTAACAACTTTCCCACTGAAAACCAGTGTTTTCTCGGAAAGATCATCCAAAAACTACCTGTTTTTACACTCTAAATCAAACAATCTCCCCCGTTGCTAAATAAATCTTCGGACAATAGCAATTTTTTATTACAATGTTCAGCGAAAAAGTTTAAAAATCCCGAATTTTAAACAAAAAAATTCCCGATAAAAAGATAGAATTTGGATTAAAAAAGAATTTTTGGTCGGACAAGCGATTTGGCCAGCGATTTGGCCATGTTTCTCCCCGAACGGAGGCGAATAAAAAACAGAGAAAGAAGCGAGGTGTCGGCGGTTTTGAACCCTTTTTTCTCTCTCTTCTTTTTCTGATTTTCATGGATGGCCGTCGACGCGGGATGACACGAAAATCAAATGGCCATTGGCCATTCGTATAAGCGTTCTTGGACGTGCATAAAAAATCAAAGACAGATTTCTTGGGAATGGGTTGGGAGAGAGGGGGAGGAAAAGAAAAAGAATATTTCAATGCAATTAGAAACTGGAGTTATTTTCAGAATTTAAAATATTTTAATCTTGATGACATTTAGAACAAATTTATATCATAATTTTCTAAGCAATATTCAAGATTTTCAGCCCACGCGTTGCTGAAATTCCTCGGATTTTTTTATCGAAAATCGCCGAAAATTTGTTTTCTTCTTTTTTATGCAAATTGAAATTTGGCAATTTTTTGCAATGTAGGTAGTCAATTTCTTACCAAAGGCAGCATTTTCCCACGACATATTCGCAGAGAATCAAAAAAAAAAGAAACCCCTGGTTTCTCTGACCGTCCCTCCTCATTTTCCAGAGTCTCTGGTAGGCAAAAATTGTTGAATATATTGGGTATGCTGGGAAAGCAGGAGTCAACTTTTCTAGGATTAAAATATGGCATAGACATAATTGAAAGTCAATGCTGTAAAACTGCTAAAGAAAACAAAGGGTAAAATACGTCCAGCAATGCATTGTCATACATGAATGACTAAAAGACTAATCCATATACAGTAAAGACCATCTAAAGCAACTTCAACTTCAATTATATTGGCCATAGAGTCACAGAAGGCCAGAAAAAACATATTTGGCTGCTTTCAAAATAGGACTATTTGAACCCAAAACCAACACTCAACCTTCCCGCTAAGCCTATAACTGCCCCACCAAAGCCCATTAAAATTAACCCGCAGGCGCAGTCGATCAACGGAAAGTGTCGGGCGGACGAGCGGCTTAACGCATCCAGCGACAAATTTCGTCAATAAAACCCCTTCGCCGAAACGAATCCGTATTGCAACATTAAACGCGTTAAACGAACATAAACAATTGAATGGGAGATCCGCTTCATTCATCCCCACAACGTTATAAAGAGACTTGTCGATTTTTTTTTCATTCGCCACCCAAGCGACAATAAAAATCGCTGAATAAAAATCGCTTTCCGGAGTAGATGAGGAAGGGCTCATTGTGGTGGAAAAGTGGGGATGGAGTTTAATGGGATCAGGAAATTATTATATCACCAAAAAGAATTTTTTTGAGTGGCAAGATTGCTGCTGAGAAAATTGGAAATGTAAAAAATATTAGCTTGCAGATATAGCTTAAAATTTTTTAGCGCAAAAATTTAGGCCTACAGCCAAGATATTCAACTACTTTTTACCGCCAATAGAGTGCGCAAAATTCGGAGAGCAGCCAAAGAAAATAATGGGTTTTGGTCATATCTTTGCCAATTTCGAGAAGAAAAAAGTTATTTTTTTTGTGGAAAAGGTGCCCGCGGGAATAGAAATGAAAGTTTATATAAAAAAATTCGCAAAAAATGTCTTATTTTAGCCAACTTTCGACCTAAAATTCGCTAGTATTTCTTCGAAAATCTTGATCTAATTTCATCACAAGCTTTATCAAAATATATTACCATTACTTTTAAACCCCAAAAAAATTATGACAGCACCCTCATTAAACCGGAAAACAAAGGAATTACAAGGTAATTTTTCGACTTTTCTCTCCCCTCATCTCCCAACGCAAACTCACGCGCAATGTCCATTCACACAGGCCAGTCAAAGGTTTACGCTTTTACTTACAATAGAACCCAGCGAAATAACAAAGGACCCGCGCTATTCAATTAGCGAAACTAAGCTCCTTTTCCTTGTGGACAGGGCAAAACAGTAGAAAAAAAATATTTTTTTGAATAAAATTATTGAGGAATTTTGGCAAATTTTTTTTGGAGAGGTAAGTAAAAAGGGCAGTAAATTTAATAGACGCTTATAATTTCAGAAAAAATTACAAAAACTCAAAAATAATTTTTTTCCAAACACACAATTTATCGTATAAGATGTCGCTAACAACCCAAAAAATAGATAAACTTTTGCAAACAACCTTTTTGAACACCTTTCACCTCAAGACGCCTAAAAATATCTGAAATATCATCAAGAAAATTCCAAATCCAACTGCTACCCATATGTTTGCTGACATTCAAAATCCAAAAAAAAATCTCAAGAGGAAATCTCGTTTTTGATGATTTTCACACAAGTAATTTGTTACGGAATTTTACGGAAACACTGGGAATTTGCTCGTTTCCTCAAGAAGCTCTCGATGAGATTTCTTTTATTTTTGGGAGTCTTGGTTCCTACAAAAAAAAAAGAAAACGGTTCCGAAACTGTTTTTGGAACAGTGAGGAGGTCGAGAGTCCAAAAGGAGGGATTTTGTGAGAAAATTAGGGAAATCGAATAAAAAAATTAATGAAATTTATGAAAAAAACGTAAAATTTGGAAATTTTATTTTTGCCCAAAAAGATTTTAAAAATATTGTTTTTGTAAAATTTAAAAAAATAAAAATTAAAAAATACCAAAAAGAAAATTTTTGTAGCCTTTATTTCTGAAAATTTAGGATTTTTCCAAAAAAAAATACCAAAAATTATAGTTTTTTCTTTTTTATGTAAACAAAAAACCAAAAATTTTTTCACAAAAAATCTCACAAATACAATAAAAAACAAATTTACAATGTTTTACCAAAAATACAATTTTTTCAAAATCAAAAAAAAACAAAAAATATTTTTTTATTCCACCAATCCAAAATACCCCTAAAATCCCCAAAAATCCCATTCATTTTTTGTAAAACAATCCCCTTATTTCACTTTTCACGCAGACCTCATCCTCGTTAACTCACTCATCGAAAACTGAGTAAATAAAAAAACTGTAAACCGGTCCTTCCGGGGGAATCATTTTTTCGCTTTTTTCTAATGCCCTCAAATGCGCTTAAAGGGAGGGGGCGACAAATGTCAATGGAATTTTCATAAATTTTTTTATTCGAAAATGCGATAAATCCACAGAAAGTCATCTGTTTCGAAAACGCCAAAAACTTTGGGGTTTCCGATTTTTGGCGGGAATTTTGCAAAAAAAATGGAGTTTGAGGAATGGGAAGGATTTCAAAATACGATAAATAAAAAAATAAATATAAAGAAAATTACTCTTTTTTTTATTCAAAAAAGCAATTGGGAAAGCTCATTTTTTAATATTTCGAAGACTATGGTCAAAAAAATGTCTTTATAAATTTGTAGGCTATAAATTTCACTGATGATATACAAAATGATGATCTTCTTGATTAAAAAATTTTTTTTAACTATTTTTTTTAACTTTTTCGCCATAAAAATCACAATTTTTTCTGCACACAACAGGCTAAAAATCCAGCAAAAATTTCACAAAGAATTTTAATGTATTTTTGTTCCCAGCTTTATCAAAAATCACATTTTTGTATTTTTAGGGGTTCTATTTTCCGACATGACAAAAAAATCATCAAAAAATCAACCCATCTCCCAATTTGCGCCCCAAAAAAAACCGGCATATGCCAATTCCAATGACCGTTTCATTAAGTTCTCAACGTTTTCAAGGCCGTTCCGTCAACGATCCGTCTCAAAGTTTAATGAGAAATCGAACAAAAACCGCTGATAAGATCTCGGAAAAACAATTCGGTATTCAGAAGCCACTTCTCTAAAGTGTTTGCGCAATAAATAAAAAAATAAAAAATTATGACAAGAATCCTCACAAATCCCGCGAAATCCCAAGAGAAGTCGATGAAATTTCCCTCATAAAATTGTTTTATTTGCTTAGGGGAATTTTGTCTCTACTCGAGTGAACTTTAATGCAATTAATGCGCGAAAGGAGGCGAGTTGCAAAAAGAGACGGGAAGAGGTTTGCCTCATCTTGTCTAAACTTATTTGACGCTTAATTGGCTTTGGAGCTTTGATGTGGTAAAATTAAGGAAAGAAAGAAGGGAAATTACGATTTTTAGGGGAAAACTTGACAGATAAGCAAAGAAAGCAGCAAACTGTGGCGTATTTTAAAGTTCGTTTAGTATGTAACATAATGGTAAAAGCAAAATAAAAAAAAATTTTCTAGAAAGAACCCATTTTAAAGCCATTTTTGGAGATTATTAGTAAATTGCCAAAGGCAAAAAGCTTTGATTTTCTATGAATTTGGCTCCCTTCTACCACCTATATATCCTATATGCGGAAAAAAATTTATTTTACGCTCTTTTTCACCAAAAATTACGTTTTTTAATAATGCTTTTACGAAATTTTTAATTCAATTAAAATCTCCGTTCAAAAAATTGTTTTCTACCTACAATAACACCCCAAACGGTTAGTCAGAAAAATAATAATAAAGATTTTAAAAAATGGTTCAAGACCCTTCAAAAATTAGACCGCTTGTCGTAAAATCCACTTAATTTTTTTTTGGAATATATCTGCTCTATATTCCTCCAGAAAAATTTACGGAAGTTTTGGGCTGTCAAGTGGACACTCAAGAATCTCGAAAAAATACGAAAGAAAAAAAATTACGTCGGATAAATTGCAAAGGCAAACATGATTTTTTTTTTGAAAATTTTTTAAAAACTTAAAAGAATGATAATGAAAGAAAAAAATGATAATTAAAAGTTTTTTGAAAATTTAGAAAATTAAAAAAAATTATAATGAAAGAAAAAAATGATAATTAAAAAAACTGAACATACCATGAGATAGCTGAAGAGAACTCGAACTGCTGACCATTTGTCGGTTCGTCGGTCGATAATCAGGACGTATCCTTTTTTATTTTTCTTCTCGCCTTCGTCATCGAGACTGAAAAAAAATAAAATATTTTTTTTTTAATTTATAAACTTGTTTAAAAAAAATATTTTTTTTAATTTTTAAAAAATTTTAAAGATATTTCTTATCTTAAATTTTCCAAAGCCAAAAAAAATTTAAATTGAAAAAAATATACACTTTTTTTTAAAATTAAACAAAATTTTTAAAATTCTGTTTCAAAATAGAAAAAAAAATAAATTTTAAACTTACGGAGGGACCTGGAAAAGATAAGCCAACAATATTTGATATTCCTCAAAAGTGAGCTGAGATCTGGAATCAGGGAAAGTGAGAATCGGATTCCCCTCATTTGTCCGTAGGCCAGAAATAAAAGCAAATCTGGAGACCAGGATTTGACTGAGATCACGGACTTTGATTCGCTGATTTGCAACTTCCATATAGCCATCTGAAAAAAAAAATATTTTTAAAATGATAAAAATTAAATGTCGTTTGATTTTTTTTATTTTTTGAATTTCATTTTTTTTTATAAATTTTTTAAAAAATAATTTTATATAGTAAGAAATTTGCATATTCAAAAAAATTCCAGCGTCTTTTTTTGATTTTTATACCAGGGATATCCAATTCATCAGCACTGTTGATCTCTTTCAGCTCGAATTCCTCGTTTTTCGCATCAATTTCGGCTTCAAAATTGAGCTTGACTTCAATGGAGTCAATCAAATCTATAGTGGTCATTTTACTTTCCAGATTTTTATATGCATCTTCATGAGGACTCAGCGGGGCCAGATTTGCACTACAAAGTATTTTTCTTTTTTTTTTGAGTTGTGAAAAAATTACAGTAGCCCGTAAAAAAATTAAAATAAAAAAACAATAAAAAATCATGTACTGGTTATTAGCAAACAGCAAATATCATGTAATAGAGCGCCAATGTTTGTTTAAGAAACGTTGAAATCGAAGTGAAAACCACCTCTTCAGAGGAGTAATATTATCCTACTTTACGTAATTGGAAAGTAAAAAGAGGAAAGAATGGTTTTACAGACATTTGTATCCTAATTAAGGTTGCTGGAAAATCATAATTTTTTAGGGACAAAAGGGTTTTTACTGATTTTTATAGGAATGAGGGACAAAGAGATGGGTTGAAAGGTCGAGAAAAATTATGATTGGAAAAACAGAGGAGATTGAAAATGGGTGGCGTTCAAATTTTGCAAGGGCTTGGCAGAAATTAAGGCTAGAATTTTCTAAGGCATGACCGAGATTTTTTGCCTGTGTTTTTCAAAAGCCGTCTGCAGTAGAAAATTCTAGAAAAAAATTTTTTTTTTACTTAGGATCTTCATAGACGCAGTCGACATAAATTTCATGCTACTCGTCGCCAGACAATTTCTATAGTCCTTCGTCAGAAAAAAATCGGTAAAAACCTAAAGTGTAAAGCCTAAATTCTTTTTGGCTTGACCAGTAAAAAATTCGAAGGTAAAATACGGTTGATTCTTCTTTTTTTGACAAGATTGGCTCTATTCAGCTTTTATAAAATGTTAATAAATCTCCATGTTCAAATAATACCCACAATTATGATGACTTAGTCGTAACGTCCTTTTTAATAACGACCGATTATAAATTTAACCAAACAGAGGAAGTACTCCAAGTGCGATTTTCTTTAATTTTTGCACACACGTCGGGTTGGACTAAATATCAATTCCTGAAAGTTTTAGCTCGCGCGTTGCGGGCGCCGCCGAGATATCGAACGATTTTTGCCGCCGAGAGAGCACGCTAAACGTGGAGAGCGGTCAGAGAGAAAAGCGCTTTTTGGCCAACCTTGGCAGTTTCGCGCGGTAAAAAAATTATTTTTTTTTGTTGAAACATTATCCTTTATGGTAAAAATAGGCATGAAACTTTTCGTGCCGAAATTTGGCAAAAAGTCCTAAATTTTCGCCGACTTTCGATCTAAAAATCTCGGTTGTTTCTGCAAAGCGCGAGCTAGGATTCTCGCATATATCTTAGAAAAAATTACTCTAAACTTGTGCCAAGTTTCATCAAAATCTGAGCGTCGCACTTGGAGTACTTCCCCTGTAAAATCTTAACCTTGTCTATCCTAAATAACCAAGGCCAGCATCCTAAACCAGAAAAGACCCGTTCAGAAAATTGTTGAGACAAATCTGGCCGTTCTCCAAGAAAATTAGGCTTTTCAGGAAAATTAAATTAGAGAAGGAGGATTCCGAAAAATATTTAAGGAAACCCGAGGCATTTACTATCTTTTGTAAAATAATTAAGACACTAAAATTTTGAATTTTAGTCATCAAAAAATTAAAAATCTCTTAATTGTATTTTCTAAACTTCAAAGCCTCCAAATCCCCTCAAGCAAGATGTTTTTTTCGAATTCTGAAAGAACGTCTTTAGCCCGTAAAATTTGTGAATTTCAAAAAAACAACCAAACGCATCAGCCTGGAAAGATTTTCCTTTTCTTTTTACCCTCTCATCACCCTTTTTTGAAAGTAAAAAAGTTTGCAAAACATTACAAAATCGTTGAAATCTCTCTTTTTTTTAATTCAATTCAACCGAAATCTCGATCCAGAAAAAAAAGTTTGCGGATGACTGGCTCGGAAAGCCGCGCTTGCAATAACTCTCCGAATTGGTCAGTAAGAGCTTGGCGTTACGCAAAATACGGACTTGTCGCATAGACTGAGTGGATTAGAAAACATATTCCTGACGTTGGAATTTTTTGGCGTTGAGAAAATTTTTTTGGAAGGCTTTGAAATGGAGAGCAACGCCGAGCTTTGTATTGATGTTGTTGTGGTGGATTGACGGTAGATGGGAGGCAAAATTGAGCTTGATATTGATATTGTCGTTGGATTGACGGTAAACAATGGAGAGGAAAATATTTGAAAAGTGTTTTGGGAAACCTGTATAACGTATATAAAAGAGTAAAATGTACATTTTTTGGTGAGATCAAGAATGAAAAACAAAAATAATTTTTTTTTGTTGGCCAAATCGAATAAAAATTTAGATCAAGGTCCAAGGCAAGAATGAGATTTTTATTCGCAGAAATAAACGATATTTTTAGCCCAAAGGACTGCGAAAATGCGGCATTTTTTTAGATTTTTTGTAACATATTGGCATTCTGTTGCAAGCGTGGAATATAATTTTGCCACTAGAAGTCTTCATTTCTGCCAAAAAGCAAATAGCCATAGCCGAAAAATCATTTTTCTGGCCGACTCTTTTCTATCAGTGGTCTCTTGTCTACTAAGGTTGTTGAATATCTCGACTTATTTTTCAAAGAGCTAACTAAAGTTTTCTGGCCTTGAAATATGGCATAGATAGATCAAACGTATAAAAATTGAAGAAAATTTCGTACAGCGTATTTTACCATAAAGGACGACCTTTTTAACACACCTTTTTGAGCGAAAACCCCCTTTTGACCCCAAAAAACTTTATCACATAGAAGTTTGCAACCTTAAAGTTCAGAGTAAACCTCTCAAAAATTTTTAAATTTTGAAAAAACAAAACTCGCAACTGGAGTTGGAGAAGACCCGAGAACGGTTCATCCAAATCCCATGAAAAGTTTCACCGCTCGAGAAAATTTGTGTCACAAACTGCGAAGAAGAAGAGAGGAAAGTGCCATTACAAAAGGCGGAAATTACGATGAGGTTAATCGCCCGATTTTCGCCGCTTTATGACGGAAAACCCTTGTAAGACGATCAGACGCTGAATCCGAAATCGAAAGAATAATGTAAAATTTGACATTGATACCTTGAGTATCGAACTTCACTACTACGAAATCTCCCTATAACATACAATTTCAAAGGTCTGAAGAGGTAATTTTAGGCCGAAAGGACCTCTGTGCTAATATTTCGAACAAAATTTTGAATTTTTGCAAGCTGTTATGCAGAGAGATGACTGAAATTTTGGACCAAAACAGAACTTTATAGATGTAGAATAGAAAATAAAAGTCCTAAAGTGATAAAACAAGGCCTTACGGATCAAAAAAGATGATATTGATAGGCGTAGAAGTATGACCGTGCCGTTTTTTTAGTTGTGCATTTTTTACAGATAGAATTAAACTTTTGGTACTACTGTTAATATCACTTGAAAGTACGTTGCAAACGCTATCTATTAGTGTATGCTATATGTGGTCAGGCTTAACATGGTGGTTTTTATAAAGCTTCAAAGATGACCAACTTAAAAAAAAATGCCATTTGCGGAATTAAGAAAATTTTAAACGATTACTTTCCAATTTTTTATCAAAATAAGTCTTTTAGGCCTATCTGGCCTTCATTGTATAAAACAAAACCTCTCTATAGCCAACAACTTTTTGTTTCTTCCATAATTCCCATCTTAGAGACCTACCTTACACCCTATATAAACCCCTAAAAAATCCAAAACTCCCCTTAAAAACAAATCTTTTCCCACTTCAAATTAAACACCCTCGACCCGGGCCACAAAAACGACCTTGTCTTACAGAAACGTGCAGAACAATAAAAGGACCGAAGCGAGCAACCTGGTTGGAAACCGAGGTCAACGCGGTGCCAAACATCCCTCCCTCCCTCTCCGCGCCCGGAATGGGATATTCGATCGGTTGCCATGGTGGGCGGATATCCAGGTCGCATATGCAAATACAGCCGGAAAACGTGATGCCTCAAGCGAAATCTTCGAACTGTAAAAGCGATTTCGGAAATAGTAAAAGCCGTAGGTGTAAGGAAAAGGGGAAATGACGGGAGGTTTTGGTTTCCATAGTTTTACGGGAGGGAAATAAAAGAAATGCCTTATTTTTCGAATTTTATAAGGGAACAGTACGAATTTTAAGCGTTACAAGGGCTTTTACGAATTTTAAAGGCAACATAATATACAAAAAAATTGTAGTTTTCGTTTACTACGTATTTTACGACTTAAAATTTTATTTATTTTTTTAATTTTGTGAAATTCCAAAAAATTCCAAAATTTGAAAAAATCGTATTTTAGATTGATAAGGCAAAAATATGTTTAAAATACGTTGTAAAAACAATAACCACCCCTACAGAGACCTTTTATAAAGCAGAGCTTTATGTTTTACCCGATAAAATTTCAAAAAATCCCATAAAATCTCAAAATTCCAAAAATTTAAAAAAATCCCAAAATGCATTTCCAATCAATAAATCATAATTGTCATACCTCAAACGAAATGAAACCTTCAAAACATTGGTTATGCATACAAATTTCCGATGAAAAATACCAAAAGGAAAATTGTTTTACCGCGTGGACGCTCGGAAAACATTTCGTTTCGCTTTCTTTTCCGGTTAACGGGGGCTATTATGTATTTAAGCGTGCGCGATTAAAATTATTATTAAATTTCGTATCCTGGGAAAGGGCTTAACGCGCAATTTGTTAAAGTGGAACTAAATTTGAATGCCGCTGTTGAGAAAAGGATGAATAAGCTCTTCATTGAACCATCATGATATTTTTTTGAATGCGCCTTAAAAGTATATTGACCATATTTTCCAAATGACATCAAAATTGGCCTCAGTTAAAAGAAAGGCATAAATCGACCAGTAGATAACACAAATGGCAAGCATTGACATTACCACTAGAAGCACTGTGCTCTCAGCTTCAGAACAGTATCAATTACAGTGTATGCACGTTACCTCCAAAAGCGTTATTACCCAAAACTCTTTCCTTTGCCCAGTTTTGACTAATGGTTTCCCCCTACCATTTTTAAGGTCGATTATACCAACTTTTAGACTAAAAAAACGCCACTACCAGCCTCCCCATCTCTTCCCATAAAAAGTTAACCCCAGCCTGATGACCAATACTGTGCTGGTCATTCCGTTTTTCAGCGAAAACATTACTGTCTCCCCACGCACTCCTTCGATTCGAGCTCCCCTCTCCCTACCTTACTGCCTAATCCCAAAACAAAATAAACTCCTTCGCGGGAAACTGGGATGTGTCCATGAAAGGGATACAGAACCTTTTCTCACGCCGTGGTGACTAAAGATGAACAAACAATGTGTCCTAGGATTGATGGAGAGAGTCGAGGTGAGGGGATGGCTTAAGTTGGAAATTTGGGAAAATTGGAATTTGAATATCTAGAAAAGCAAGGCCTTCCTTTACTGTAAATTTTACGTGGGCAGTCATAAGTCACAAAATAAGCTAATACGGCACTGATTAGTCCCATAAAATTTTTGCTTTTGCTTGCAAGGGCAGCAAGAAGAATTCAACAAAATTCGCAAAAAGAGATCATGGAAAACGAGGAGAAACGACCAGAAAAAATTTTTAGACTTATTTAGAGGATCCGCAAGACATTTCTTGTATAAGCATTGCATTCCATACATGAACAACAACAACATTTTTTTAGTTAAAAAATTGTAAAAATCTCGATTTTTTAAATTTTTTAGCCAAAAAGTCTTGCTAATTTTGACAATTTGCACGTCAAAAATCTCAAGTACGCCCAAGAAAACCTTTATTTTTACTTGTCAGAATTCTCATCAACATCTTCCGGCATCTATAAAATATAAAAATTCCCCTGAAAAAACCAATATCTTCATAGAAGTCCCACTTTTCACAAGAACCTTTCCCCACTCCTCTAAAAATCGAATAAATCCAAATCTCAAATGAATAAAAATCCCTTCCATATGTGACTTCAGTTTCAAACCTGATCCCTCTGTCTCTTTCTCAATTCCCCACTTAATTCGTATGTTTATTCAGCCGCCTTCCAAATTATGATGAATTATTTTTCATATAGTTTTTCTTTTGACGTGAGCGGAAAATTGGTGGAGAAAAAACGGAAAATATTTTTGGTTAGGATTTTTTGAAAGGTATGGCAAATTATTATTTAAATTTTCTGGTGAATTTTTGAGATATTTATTTGAATTTTTTCCTATAGAAAGCGAAAAATTTAGGCTTTTTTCTGTTATTTTCAAGCTGAAAAATTAGCATTCTACTCAACGTGAGAAGTAAAATTTTGCTACGAAAAATCAATTCTTTCCGATTAAAACTGGCGGATATATGGCCTAAAAATACTTTCTCTAACCGTCTCTCTTCATTTTCCATAGTCTCTCGCTCTTAAAAATTGTTGAATTTTGAGGGCTGCCAAAGGAAAGCAGGCTGTAAATTCCATTCCTTAGCTAAAGCTTCTCAAAAACTCAACTTTAGCCACATCATTTTTTGGTGACATCTTATACGATGAAACATGTTTTTAATCGCAATTTTTGTTTCGATACAATGTCCAAAGTTGATAGTTTTGTTTTTGAATGTCTATTCAAAATTTTTACTTCCAAGAACTGCTCCGAAAAACTTGTTTATTTACGCCACTCTCAGACATTTCAATCCGCGCTTTTTTCCATCGAAAGGACATTCTATCAACTGGCTACCCATCTATTCATATTTTTCTGTCTGCATAGGCTTTGACACGTTTTCGAGACAATCTTCACGTTCATCTTGACGGCCGATGCGTCTTCGTAAATCAGAGACCAATATTCTCACGGGTAGTACGGCGGTTTCCGGTCCGCGACGAATGCCTCCCACAGGAATTCGTGTTGTTTTTCAAAGCGAAGTTTAACTGTGCTTGTTGAAGAGAGAGGTTAAAGACTGTAAAGACAAGAGAATATGGTTGGAAATCACTCAAATTTCTCCACTTTTTTAAGTTATGCAATTAACAAAAGCTAAAAAACATGTTTCGTCGTATAAGATGTCACCTGCGCCAAAAAATCGTTATTGGTCAAGGCAACTGTGTTGTAAATTTTAGCCCGTGTTTTCGGCGAACAGCGGAGATATTCACCAATTTCTTGAGCGAGAGACTATTAAAAATGAGGAGAGACAGTCAGAGAAAAAGTATTTTTAGGTCTTAGCTTTGTCACTTTTGCTGGGAAAAATTGAATTGTAACGGAAAAGTTTTGCCTCTCACTAAAGTAGAGTTTCAATACATTCCATTTTAAAATTTGAAAAAAAAATAATTTTTGTATTTTTCGACCAAAAGAACTTGCTTGAATTTGCGCCAATCTTCATCAAAAATTAACTTTGAAACTTTTGGCCTAGCCTCTAACATAACAACACAAACTTTTCATTTTTTGTTGCGATATGTGCTCCTTGATCACTTCCTTATGGCTACTTTCCACTTTTTCGAAACACCCAAGCAGTTTTCCCGGCTTTCTCTTTCCGACAACCCATAAAATCGGAGATTTTACATAGACAATAACAGTCTCATGAATGATGGATCATCAAAACAATGTGTCAAAATGTTACTGGCTAAGCAAAGGCAAAGCATTTTTTTTTGAATCCCAAAAGTTTTGACAAGTCTCGGCGTAGGCGCGGGATAAAATTGAATTTATATATTGTTTACAAATATAGTTTATTTTTTGACAGAAAATTTTGTAGCATTATACGAAAAAAATTACTGTAGTTTTCTATGAAAAATGCCGCAAAAAAATTTGTCAGCAATCGTATGGCTTCAGTTGGAAATTTAGCCCCAAAGACAGCTTTATGCATGAAAAATCTCAATAATATCTTGAATTTTAGATAGTTTCATACCTTAAAATATAATCTCCTCAAGGCGTCAGAAAGTTTTAACCGTAACTTTTGTTAAATTTCACCAAAACCCACTTCCTTTTGAGAAATTCAAATTTGATAAAAACATAAAATTCTCATAAAATTTCCACCTACCCCAATTCTCGTCTTCGCTGTCGTCGTCACTGATATCTTCAGCCATCATCCAACCAGTTCCGTACAGCTGGCAACTCGCCGTCATTGATGGTTTTTGCGAACTTTCGGATTGACTTCGATATCCGGAGTCTTGTAGAAAACTGGTTGATTTTAGGGCATTTTGTAGAGCTTTGAGATCAAATGCCATGTCGTAATTAAACTTGGGGGTCTCTTTCATCTTCGGTTGGTATTCCGAGCGGGTTAAACGGCTAAATGAATATGATAAGTTTGATTTTGAGGGGAAAAAATTTTAAAAATGAAAATTGCCAGAGGCAAGAGTCTGAGATTTCTTTTTAAACTTGGCCAAAGTTCTGTTCAAAGGGTATTTATGAACAATTAGAAATTTTAGTTCGAAATCTCTACCCGCAGGCAAGATATTTCGTTTTTTCTCCGAGAGAGCATATAAAATTAGGAGTGTCAGCCCGAAAAAATCTTCTTCTGCCCTAATTTTGATCAAAATCCCGGCTTTACAACAGCAGTAAAAGAAAAAATGTTGAAAAAATTGTTTCCATTCCCAATATATATTTATCTCGCGGCCAAAAAATAGAGCGTTCTTTACATATACACTCTCTTCCTTTATAATGTTTATATGCTATGATCTGATAAAAAAATATCCTCTATTCTTCTGGGAATTTTCTTTACACTTGCCAGAACTTTTGGCGGTTCAAATCCAACGGATGTTTTGAACGCACATAGAAGAACAAATAGAGCTGAAATGCCAAGAAAAATGGCCTAAAAAGACGCAGGAAAAATGGCGTATTTTAAAATCTAATTATTGTTTTACAAAAATCAAGTTACTTTTTGGAACTACGATGACTTTTGCGATCGAAAACTGTATTAAAAAATGACTTTTTTGGCTTGAAAATGTCCTCCTATCAAGTTATTAAAAGCTACCTCGGTACAACGAAGCCTCTCTACAACACATTCTGAGTTGCGGAGAGTCGACTTTAGGCCAAAATAACCTCAAAATAACGAAACCCTTCCGTCACAAATAAATTTTTTTGGGTTTCTTGGCGATTTTTTGCGATATAGAGGTTAGATGTGGTTAGACTGCAACGTTTCTGCTCAAAATTCAGAAAAAAATACCGTAAAAATAACTTTTTTTTCTAACCGTCACTCCTCATTTTCTGCAGTCTTTTTTTCAGCAAATGTCGTTGAATGTATCAGACGTGCTTTAAATTGTAAGCTAAAATTTTCAGGAATTGGAAATTGGCCTAGGTCGGCCACAAAATTTTCAAAAATTACAAAAAAATTTGCTGTTTTACCAAACAAATTATAAAATCATCGTTAGGGGGAAAGAACGTATTTTAAAAACAGATTTTCAATCCCACAACTTTTTTTCTGAACTTATTTTTATCTAAATATACAACACAGACTTTCGGAAGAAACTAAACTCTTGAATCTTTCGAATCCCCTCCCAAAAAACGGCCTAAATCTTGAAATCCGGCGCTCACTCCATAAAAATCCCGTCTTACCCAAACCCAAAGCGACTCTTCCCAGCACACAAAAAAAATCCTTGGCCCAATTTCGGCTCTTTTATAAAAACGATTTCGGGATCTACCCCTAAATGTTCTTTGCCCTCCGGGCAAGAGGAATGCGCGTTGGGGGAAAAGGGGAGGGAGGGGGGAACAACATGACTACAACCGAATATTTTTGAGTTATGACATAGTTTTGGGCCCGGGTTAGCGGGTGTTTGCAGAGAACGAGGGAAATAGACGTTCATGGATTAGGAAAAAACAGTCAAGAATACTGCAGAAAACACAAAAAAAATTTACGTGGATTCGAAGTGCAATGCTCAAATTTTCCTAACAGGGGAAGTACTCCAAGTGCGACGCTCAGATTTTCTTTAAATTTTGCACACACGTCGGGTATGGATTAAATATAAATTCCTGAAAGTTTTAGCTCGCGCTTTGCGGGCGTCGCCGAGATATCGAACGATTTTTGCCGCCGAGAGCTAAGCGTGGAGAGCTGTCAGAGAGAAAAACGCTTTTTGGCCATAACTTTGGCAGTTTCGCGCGGAAAAATTTGATTTTTTGTAGAAACATTATCCTTTACGGCAGAAACAGGCATGAAACTTTTTGTGCCGAAATTCGGCAAAAAGTCTTAAATTTTCGCCGACTTTCGAACCAAAAATCTCGGTTGTTTCTGCAAAGCGCGAGATAGGACTCTCGCATATATGTTAGAAAAAATTGGTCTAAATTTGTTCCAAGTTTCATCAAAATCCGAGCGTCGCACTTGGAGTACTTCCCCTGTAAGATTTTTTGCCGTACTAGTTCTGCAATGGCTGCAAATCAGTGCCTAAAAGGTTTAGCTCGAGCTGCGTAAATGTCGCATAGAAATTCCAAGATCTTTGTGGGATAGAAGGTATGTGAAATGCGGGGAGTCCCGAGACGAATAACCCTTTTTTGGCTATATCTCTGTCATTCTTGCACTTCAATTTTTTTATTTTTTATAAAGCCATCGCTTTTTTCAGCAAAAAAATCGCTTATTTTTGAAAACCGCGACCTGAAAACCTGACAGATGCCAGACAATAAAAAAATAATTTTTTGTCCAAATCTATGCCCCAGCTTCATCAAAATCATAGCGTCTCCAGTATGCCGATTAATCAAAAACAATGAAAAAATCAAATATCAAATTTTAGGACGGTCCCTATATCTGCTCCACCGCAAGTTTCCTTCTTTGAGGCTCTAGAACCTTCTAGAAAATGTTGCAATTTTGCGATTGATTCGCGGAACCCATCCCTCTTCATCGAAAAACGGCCAAAAATAAAAAGTTTCCTCGAACATCCGGTTCCGAGGTAATTTGTTTCTTACTTTCTTTGGATAAGCAAATTTTCAGACAGTTTAGAGTAAAATACGTGGACTTTGAGGTTGCTGGATTATTTTTTGGGGCTTTTCAAAAGTTAAAAAATTTAAAAAAAATTAATTAAGCTCCCTGAAAATTCAAAAAATCCCAAAAAAAATTATTTTTTTTCACTTACTCGTCCGGCCTCAACGCCAACTCATTGAAGGCCATGTAGCAACTGCTGGTGGCGGAGTCGAGTCGGGAACGTGAATTCTGAATCCTCGGTGAGGCCGCCGGATTGGAGAGAGCGGCGACCTCGGCCAAGGGCCCTTCAAAGAAGGGATTGGCAATTGACGATGAGCCCAAACCCGCCAATACGGCTGCGAAGAGAACAGGGATTAGGCTTTGTTTGGGTTCATGTTTGCGCACATTTCAACACGATAAATAAAAATGAAAAAGTGAAAAAGTGGAAAAATTATTTTTTTTTAAAAGTAATGTAAAATATGGAAATTTCGGAAGGACAAAAAATTGAAAAAATTTGCCTTTAATGGTGACAAAAATCGAAAAAAATGTAAAAATGAGATATAAAAATTGACTTAAATTTCATTAAAATTCACAAAAAAATTATACCAAAAAATCAAAAAATCTTAATAAAATATAAAAAAGCCAAAAAAAATTAAAAAAATCAAGCTCCATTCTGCGACATTTTATACGAAAAATCAAAAAATCTCAAAATTGAAAAAGCCAAAAAAAATTTTTTTCCATTTTTTTAATCAAGATAAAATCCCTCACAAAAATCACCAATTCGAACTTATAAAAGCGTGAATGCGAGGACAAAGAGGGGGATTTTTATAAAGCGTGACCTTTGGGTGCGGAGAAAAAACAAATCTCAGGGAAAGTGACCAAAACAAACAAAGCAACGGAAAAACGCTCGAAAATCATAATTCTCATGGCCACTCCAAACCTTTTTAGGAAAATGAAAAAATTGGGCGGAGAAGAGAGGAAATGGGAAAAATTAATTTCACTAAACTTTTTAAGATTTTTAATATTTTTACGACAAAAAAATCATTAAAAAAATAAAAGTCATTAAAAAAAATTCGACTTACAGGGGAAGTACTCCAAGTGTGACGCTCAGATTTTGATGAAACTTGACACAAATTTAGAATAATTTTTTCTAACAAGGAAAGTACTTCTATGGGGTGTGGAATTACCGGTCGAGATATATATCAAAAAATTCGCAAAAATTTTCTGATTCAGAATATATATAAATTAGCTGCCTAATTTTGGTCTATCAGCGAGTTTTTTCAATAAATGTTTTTCTCGAGGAAAAAAATCTGCGGCAACAAAAGCGCGCCCGGTCTCTTCCTTCGGAAGAGAGCGGTGTGGCCGAGTGGTTAGAGCGCTGGCTTGGAAATCCGAGGGAAACGGGTTCGATTCTTTTTGCCACACTAGAACCCATTTTTTACATTGGAACTACTTTTAAGGTGTAGTTGTAATCCAATTTGATATTTTAAGGCTTGTCAAGGCCTCAGAATTTAGTTTAGCACAAAACAAAATTTTTTTATTGTTAAAAACACGGTCAAAAAGACACTTGCATGGTGTCGCGAGAAAACTTCTGAGGACAAAAACGTGTCATCAGACCAAAATTAGGCAGCTAATTTATATATATTCTGAATCAGAAAATTTTTGCGAATTTTTTGATATATATCTCGACCGGTAATTCCACACCCCATAGAAGTACTTTCCTTGTAAGATATATGCTGGAATCCTAGCTCGCGTTTTGCAGAAACAACAGAGATTTTTAGATCGAAAGTCGACGAAAATTTAGGAATTTTTTACCGAATTTCGGCTCGAAAAGTTTGATGCCTATTTATACCATAGAGGGTAATGTTTCCACAAAAAATCACTTTTTTCCGCACGAAACTGGCAAAGTTATGACCAAAAAGTGTTTTTCTTTCTGACCGCTCTCTGCGTTGAGCGTACTCTCTCGGTGGTAAAGATGGTTCAATATCTCGGTGGCGCTTGGAAAGCGCGAGCTAAAACTTTCAGGAATTGATATTTAGTCCAAACCCGACGGGTGTGCAAAATTTAAGGGAAATCTGAGCGTCACACTTGGAGTACTTCTCTTGTTAGATCCAAAAGCAATAAAAAAATATCAAAAAATTGTGTTAGATGACGTCACATTTTAATTTTTTAAAAATTTTTCCATGGATTCGTATCTGCTTTTCGTATAATTTGCAAATTTTTTTTCATCTTCCAAAACAACCTTTTTGGACACAACAAAAAATATTTTTTCTATTTGCCTAATGAACGGTTCCATTAGGCCAAAAATGGCAACATATTCTCATAAGTAATGAGGTCATTATTATCTTGGCTGAAAAATGAGAAAATCTCATGACAAAAAAGGGTCAAAATACTATGGTATTGCGCTATAATTAGGTCTAAAAAACAAAAATTGGTATTCGGCTACAACACTGTTAAATTTGAAAGGCCGCAGTATAAAATTTAGCCCTGAAAACTACTGAAAAAGCCCTAATTCAGTGTTTTTCGGCAATTTTCGTCCAACTTGGATCGAAAAGAGTAATAAATAATTGATAGAATTTTAATTACAACCCTCTGGTCGGTAAACAGCGCCATTAACTGCTTCGCAAAAGTATCTAAAGCCGCTTTTTCGCAATTTCCCGTCGAAAACAACAAATAAATAAAAGAATGTCGAAGTTTTTGGATGCAGTTTGTCGGAAATAATGAGCTAAAATTAGGCCTAGACCAGAAGGAAGAAACCAAATGGGACGAGCCGCAAAAAAGGGGGTGGAAAATAAGATTAAACGGCCGAAAAAACGCTGTTTTGGGGGATTTTACGGAAAATATCCGCGGATTTGTGATATTCCCTAGATGGAATTATATTTATGGAAGTGGAATCTATACAATTTTTAGTAAGGTTTCGGAAAACTTAATTTTTTTTTGCAGGAAACGTTGGAGAATAAAAATAAAAATTTTTCGTATAAAATGTCACCATCGAATAGAAGCAAAATGTAGTTCTTGTTTTTTGGTGTCTATATAGTAAATGTAGAAGTTAAAAATTCAAGATTTTTCTTTAGTTTCTGCGAAATGTGAAAAATAAAATTTCCAATAATTTTTGTGACATTCCGTCAAATTTAAGAAAATCACATATTTCGGCGAAAACAATATTTTTTGCACTCCAATGGCCCTTCAAGGCAAAAAACTCCGGTTGGAAAAAGAACTTACAAGGGAAGTACTTGAAGTGTGACGCTCAGATTTTGATGAAACTTGGCACAAATTTAGAATAATTTTTTCTAAGATATATGCGGGAATCCTAGCTCGCGCTTTGCAGAAACAACCGAGATTTTTAGATCGAAAGTCGGCGAAAATTTGGGACTTTTTGCCGAATTTCGGCACGAAAAGTTTCATGCCTATTTCAACCGTAAAGAATAATGTTTCTACAAAAAATCAAATTTTTCCGCACGAAACTGCCAAAGTTATGGCCAAAAAGCGGTTTTCTCTCTGACCGCTCTCCACGTTGAGCGTGCTCTCTCGGCGGCAAAAATCGTTCAATATCTCGGCGGCGCCCGCAAAGCGCGAGCTAAAACTTTCAGGAATTGATATTTAGTCCATACCCGATGTGTGTGCAAAATTTAAAGAAAATCTGAGCGTCACACTTGAAGTACTTCCCCTGTTAGTCGAAAAACCTCATTTTTACAAGTAATCCCCTCAAAATGATGCCTCTAAAGCTTCATGTGACGCGTTTCATGACGCTCAAAAACAAGGCCGTAAAACCAGCAAAATTTCGCAAGAACTCCTCAAACTCGCCCACGGCCATCTGATGTTCCAGAAAACCTAATTTTTGCTGCAACGCGACAGTAAAGCAAACGCTTTATAGCCGGCCCTCGAACTCTCAAACCCCGCGCTCATACTCATTTTGGCGAACTCGAGGCCAATTTTAATCGCGAAAAAACAGCTCCAAATGACCCTGACGCCCCGGGGCACGCCACCATAAAAGTCCGAAATTCCCCTCAACCCAAATTAAGCGCCCGTTCCACCAAAAGGAAACCGAAAAGGGATTGGGCCGTTTTCCGGGAGCGAAATATAAATCCTTGACCGGAAAAATGGAAAAATGTCTTTGCATTCAAAAAAGAATTGCCTCCGGCTACTAATTCATTGGCATGAAGGGGGTAGGGATTTGGGGATTTAAATGGGCATGAGGGCGATAAACAAGTATGGGAGGGAGTTTTGTAATAATGGGAAAATTTGGAAAGCTTTTTTGATAATAATTTGGGTCGGAGTAAAAATATAATAAAAAATTAAATTTCCCAAAAAAATTATTGTTGAATTTTCTTTAAAAAATGTAGATGTACTAAACACAGGCCAAGAATTAATCCATGAAAATTTTAGTTCAAAACTTGCACTAACAACGGAGATATTAAGCGAGATTTTTATGAGAGAGTGGGCAAAATGAGGAGTCTGCCAGAAGAAAAAACTTTTGGCATTATTTTCGCCATCCCTATGAAAAGAGAGACATTTTCTAGAGTATATAATTGGTGGTCAACTGCTACAAACAACGCTTTTTTCAAGCTGAAATTGCAAAGGCAATTTTTTTACAAGATTAGTATTACATACATAATATGTAGCTGCAAAAATCGTAGTTACCAAAAAAAGATCACCCCATCGATTTCCTAAGTTAAGCTCCTTTCTGAATACCCTATGAAAATTTGGGTGCAGACCACCCAGACGAAAATCTAGTTAAAACATCAGCGCAGTCTTTTTTTGGACGTCCGAGATAATCCGGAAATGAAGTTTTAAGTTTTTCTAAACGAGTTGGGACATTGTCTTCATTACCCGGTAATTTCTCGGAGGACTGGCCTTTCCGGGATCACGTAACATGTATCTGTGCCTGGCACGGTGGGGGAAACGTTTTAAAGACGTTTTAATTTAAAAATTGACCTTTGGTATTTTCAAGCCAGACAACTTTTGCATAGAGCTCCAAACTTGCTTCAAATACTGTTAGCAATAAGAGGAAAGGTGAACATAATTCTCCGATTATCTACAGAATTTTCATGTTCAATCTGCCTGCGGAAGACACTAGTTGTTCAGAATATTTGATCATAACTTGCAATAATACTCGAGAGGTTCTGATTTAACGAGGGACTACGGAAATTGAGGAGGGTATGCAAGAAAAGGTGTATTTCAGGCCACGAATCTGCTAATTTTACTCGAAAAGGGTTGATTTCTCTGTAAAAAACTTTACTTCTTTTGGAAAAAAAACTTTCGGATGACCTAGCAAATTTTTAATGTTAATTTTCATCATAGTATTTTGTCATTTTCGATAAAAAGTACACAGAAAATTTAGGCCACTGAACAATAAAAAAATATCTTTTTTTGCAAAAACTCCCTTTGGCATACCGTTGCAGAAGTCCTATTACAATTATTAATCATAAGTATCAAGCTCCTCCACAAACCACAATAAAGGCCTATAAAACCCACAATGTCCTCCTTACATCCCCAATTTTATTTAAAATGATGGGCCCTTTCCGGTTGACTCTCCACTAATTGCGCGCGCCTTTTAATTCTATTACCGCCGGCCACAGAATTAACCCCCTTCTCCGAAGTCTTGGTGCATTAGAAACATACTCTATGGCCATCATTTTGTGGCCTGCTGAAATTAATTTAGACGTTTTTGCAGGAAATTAGAGATTTTTGATTTTTTTGCGGAGATTTCTGGGTAATTTGTGGTGGAGACTCAGTTAGAGGTCATCACAGGTCTGAAGAAGGCTTGGACTATAAATTGTAAGCCTGGCAAAGCCTCTGTGGAGGCTAAGCAGATATTTGCAATGCTAGCAAAGACTAATCGTCGTAATATGACTACCTTGGCAAATTTTAAAATTTTTTCGGCTGTAACTTCCTTGAGCTTGAAGCAATTTATCATAGAAAGGTTTTTAAACTTTAAAAAGAGCGTTGACGCAAAGAATTTTTGTTGTTGTATAAGTTTGATGCAATAAAAAATGTAAATTTTCAATTAAAAAATTTCAAGCGAGATTTTTTACTTTTATTTCTTTTTCAAGTGTTAAGCTTATTTTCCCTGCACATAAACGCGAACTTCGTTAAAAAAATCATTTTTTCGCAGGTAATAGGAAGATTTCTCAAAATTCATGATTCTCCTTGCCGTTTTCTCCTAACTTTCCAATTTTTTCGATATTTGTTGCAAAATATCTCCAAAAATAAAAAAAAATTCAATTGTTTAGGCTTCTTTCTGAACATTGGTTCGTCAAACTTGTTAGCAACCTTTTTTTTCGGTTGGCCACAGACTTCCCGTTGTATTGAGAGTAAAGTCTAAAGAATAAAAGCATCTTCCTCTGCCTGAACGTCACAAAAAATCCGCCAATTTCTGTCTACACAAAAAAAAAGAGAGAGTTTTGCAGAAAATGAAAAATGACGGTAACCGAAACAAATGGTGATAAAGTGGCAGAGAAACTGAGGAATAGTGGACTTTCGTTTGTGTGGGGCCTGTGACAGTGATGATTTTTAATGTCGTTTTCACAATTAAAAAAAATTTGTTTTTTGTTATGAGGAGATTGAAGAATTGGAAAAAATACGGAAGATTGGGCAGGCTCAAAATGGTCTGCAAATGAGAAACTATGAAAAATAAGGAGAGCCAATCAGAGGAAAATGGTTTTTGGGACAAATTCCAAACATTTCTATGAAAACTTTTTGCAGCCAGTCTCATTTCTCCTCAAGGATTCAGCCGTAAAATAGCAAGCTAAAAATTTTGTATGTCTCTTGCAAAATTTTTATTTTTTAGAGCCACCGAGTTTTTCCAAAGTCTTAACATAACACTAATCATAAACTACAATGCTCTGAAAAAAATTAAAAATTGACAAATCTTATTGCTTTCGAAAAAATTTTGCTTCATTTTTTAATGTTTTTTCGAAATCATAGGCTAATATTTTGGTATATGTCATAAAAAGTTCAATTGTATGATCATAGAACGAAAATAAATCAAAAATTTTATTATATTATACCGTCAATCACGCCTAAAATCATTTTCTTGACAATTCATTTACAGGGATCACAATGCAACGACTTTCCTAAAACCTTCAAATCCCGACCCGCTAAACCAAAATTTTTAAATGCCGTTTGCGCAAAAAAAAGTTTGAACCACCCCGCATAAAAACGTCCCATCTCCCCGACTTGTATACGAAACCCGCGAAAGAGCGGTCTCATGGCCGTAAATGCCGGAGGGCAAAGAGAAAGTACGAAATAAAAACAGAAGAAGATAGATAAATGCATGTATGAAGAAATGGGTCCCTTCTTTCTCCCCTCCTCGCGCTTCCGACGGCCCATCTCTCTTCGGCCGCGCCACTATTTCGCCGCGTAATCCCCTAAGGGCAAAAAGACGGGGGGAAAGAATGAAACACATCTCGGGAAAAGAGCGATTTTTTTGGGGGACGGGAAAATTGGCTGGAAGGGAAGAGGGTGGTCAGAAAAGTCAGCTCGGTCAAAGAACGTTACATTTAGTCGTGTTGTACATCAAGCCAAAATGGAAGAAAAATGTCTCCCGCCCACGTTTGAGCTTTGTCGCGAACGTCACATTTGAAAAAATAGACAAAATAATTCCGAGAAAAATCAAACACCACGCAAAGAATTCTGTGGTGTCTTCACGTTTTATTTCAATCGATACTGGGTGGGCCAATCGCCAAAACGAGGCGAGAAACCCTGTCGATTGTGGTGCGCTAGATTTCGTCAAGACTCCGAGGAGCTCCGTGCAGAAAAAGTCAGAATGAGAAGATCTATCAGGCCACTGGAGGAGTTCCCAGTTATGACTGACTAGTTGGGGGTAGAGGTGGCAATCGGCGGATTTTTTTTTTCAATTTTCTTCAGGCCCGGCCGGGGCTTCTCAAATCTGCCCAAGCCATCCCGGCACGGGCCGATTGCCACCTGTATGTAGTTAGGGGTTGATTTTATCCTGCAAAGGTCTTGATGTACCCAAAGAGCGTGTTTTTTGAAGCAAAAGAAAAAAGATTTTAATCACCACGTGGAAAAAACGTACCATTTTGCATCCGGGAAATATCAAAAATGTGGCAAAATGCTTCCCTCTCCAGGTGAAAAAACTCCGATTTCAAAAGCGCGCCCGCTATTTTTGTGAGGGAAATGGGCGCGCCCTTCAAAACGAAGTTTTTTTTTTCACTTGGAGAGGGAAGCATTTTGCCACATTTTTGATACTTCCTGGATTCAAAAAGTTACGTTTTTGCCACTGGATCAGGTCCCCCAATGTAGATGAGGAAGTCTCCAGACATTTTCATTGTATCTATAATACATTATAATTGCTTAATCATGTAGCCAATGAGCTTGGCATCGGAAGAGAGCGACATTTACTGGCATTTCTACACTTCCAAATTACTAAAAAAACAAAAATTGTGTTCCATTTACTACCATAACCCAACACCACTGACATTTCAAATATTATATAATGCCGTCTCAAATATCCGAGACATTTCCAAATTCCCAAATCTGGCCAAAAACAGTAAACAAACCATTCTTTGAAAGGCTGATTTATTACAATTTTAGCGCCCAGAATAAACAAAATTATAAAAACCCGGAAACAGTCGTAAAAATGGAAATAAAATAAAAAAATACTAACTGTTTTCGGCGAAACTCACCCGGAACTTGGAACTCATCTGTTCCAAAAAAATTTAAAGCCGCGTTTGGCCAAAAAAAACAAGTCTTCATTTCAATTACTGGGCCGTTTCGAATAATTAAACCGGCTATTTACACCCTCAAATTTCTGTTTTTTGGAGGAAATACATACTGCAAAAGACGAGATCAAAACAACAAAATTTATTTTATTTTAGTCATCACAGTACAATAAAGGCAGTGTTTTTGGTTACAGTAAAAGGAAATGTTAAGGAAAATTTTTTAAAAAATTTGAATATTCCAATTTTTAATTAGAAATTTTTAGGATATGCAAATTTTATTGATCTTTTTTGAAATGTCATATTCAAAAATTAAGAAAGAAATTTGCATATTAAAAAATTCGAAGAAAAATAAAGTCCGAAAATTTGCATAAATCCAAACATTTGAATATTCAAATTTTGAGTTAGAAATCTCCAGAATATGCAAATTTTTTATTGATCTTTTTTGTAGTGCATATGAAAAAATTCAGACAAAAATTTTCACATTCAAAAATTCGTAAAAAAAACTTGCATAAACATTTGAATATTCAAAATTTTTCGAAATTTTTTTCAACAATTCCGCAATTGTTATGGCGAGTAAAAAAAATAGAAATTAAGCAAGTAATACCAAAGTTACGATCACCGTTGCCACGATTCCAATCACCACCAACGGCGCTACAACGTAAAAACAGCAGTTGAAGAGAGGCCCTCGTTTCTTAGCCGGCTTCCGACCTCGTCTGGAGCTGGGGTTCAGAAGACGTTGTTGGTCGTTCAAACCAGCGTCCACATCCTTAAAATCTGTGATTACGATATTTGAAGACAAGCGAAAAGAGTGGGGGGAGAAGTGCTGGGGAGAGGGATGTTAAGCGTAGTGAAATTTTACAGTCTTGCATGGGTAGTTTGTCGGGAAAATAAAGTGGAATTGTCGCTTCGTGAGGTCGTCTAACACCGCTCTGCGATGGCTGGCTACGGCAGTGGATTTAGTCTGCTATTACGACCAGAAATTTTGCAGCGGCAAATCCATATTATTTTCCCGACAGGTCGATATCCGACAAAAAAAATATTTTTTTGGGACCGTCCTTGTGAATCGAGCATAATGACTCGTGTATTGAAAGTGAAAGCAGAGGATAATTCACAAGTAACATTCAAAAAATCATGAAAGTAGCGACCTTGCGCCCTCTCTTACTTTAGGAGTCAACAGATCGTCTCTAGTGATCTCATAGCCTCGTTTCTCGATCCATCGGCCATCTCGAGTCCCAATGTAGTCGGTTCTAACTCCGTGGACGTCCGTCCTGACATACGGCGACGGTCCATTCTGTCTGTTTGGGTCATAAGACTGTTGAGGGGCTTTGTTGAGACCTTGTTGATACCGAGGGTCAACTCCTTGCCCTGAAATTGGAATTTCAAATTTTGAACTTTGTGAAATTACAGGAGAAAACCTCAAAAATCAAGATTTATCATGGCTTGATAGTTTATAAAAATTTTTTTAAAATACGAATCCAGCCTCATATAATGCCTACCCGAGGTCGGTGGAGCGATTCCTCGACCCGTCCCGGGCCGCAACGGGTATCCCGCGGTCTGTCCGGTCGAATCATACGGATATGGTTGATTCTGCCCCTGTCTGTTCGGATCATAACTTCCTTCTCCGATTGGCTGCCCAATCCCCGAGCCCGGTCTCCCTTGACCCGACTGTTGTGCACTCTGATTCCCCCTTTGTGGATATTGCCTTGTAATCGTCGTATCTTCAATTTCCCGGCCCCGTTGGCCCACCCAATATCCCGGACCTTGTTCTTGGGTGTGTTGAGTGATTACCAGAGGCCGTTGGGGAACCGCGTAACGAGGGTCAGGGCTTTGAACGGGGGTTTGAACCTGCCCTTGAGGTCGATTTGGGTCAAATCTTCCATCCTGTCCAACTTGCCCAATTTGAACGCCCGGTCGATTGGGGTCAACATTTTGGCCATACCCCGGCCCTTGTCGTTGAACTTGCCCGGGAATTTGAGCTTGCCCATTCTGAGCGGGCAACGGTTGTGCCTGCCGGACTTGTTGGCCAATCTGCGTTCGAGGAAGCGGCTGAATGACCGGCCTCTGCGCTGGCTGGCTAATTTCTTGCCCGATGGCATTCGGATCTTTAGTCACAATGGCATGCCGGACTCCACCATGACGAATCGGGCTGTTGTGGAGGGACTAAAAGATTAATAAAAAAAGTTGGACTATAAGCACAATTGATCGTATAAATTGTCACCTCATGGGCCTTTGAAACTTTTTTAAGGGCTTTTAAAAAAGCTTAAACTTCACCAACACGGCCTACCTGCCGACTAGACGAGTTTCTCTCAAAAATCCCGTCTTTGCTTTTGTCCAACGACCGGTCGGGAGAGCCTTGGCTGACCGGAGCTGGCTCGAATTGGGCGCCCTCTCCTATGCCCCGGTTCCTCGAGGTGGGTCGTTGTTGTTGCCGAGATTGTCTCTCAAATTCGTTTGGGTCAAATGGCATTCGAACAACTTGAGGGCGAACTGGAGAAATTGTGGTTCTGAAAAATGGAATTTTCAGCAAGAAAATTGAAGCTTCAAAAGTGAAAAAATCGCCGAAATTCATGAAATTTTAAACCAAAATTTGTCCAATTTTGTTTGTAAAAGCCTTTTTTTTGATGAAATAAAATTTAAACTTACTGTTGTCCAACTCCTCTAGCCGACTCATTCATGATCGCATCTCCGAGTAATTTTTTCAAAATTTGCGGAGAATAATCCAGTCGAGTTTGATTCTCTTTATTCGAGTCTTTCTCCAGGTTTGGAGCACTTGTATTTCGCTGAAAATAAGATGTAACATTTATTTTTTCAAATATTTTTTTCACATATTTTTTTCAAAAAATCTCACCCTCATTCCTCGATTAATATCGGCGATTTCCCCCGAGGAATCACCGCCTCGAGTTGGACTGATCCTCCGGAGATCCGAATAGGAGCCCCCTTGACTGGACCTTCGACTTTCATGGACCTTCACTTCATGGGCGTACTCAATCCGATAGGTTCTTGTGGTTGGATCGTAAATGTAACGGCGAAGAAGTTCGAGGTCTAAAAAGGGAATGCTTGGGATTTTATTTCTTTTTTATTATTTTATTATTATTTTTTTTTTTTTTTTTTTTTTTTTGCTGGTTTCAAATCGTTGTGATTATCTAAGTTCGTTAAAATTTTTCATCGGAGATCCACGAAGGGTTGTGTCAAAATTATCAGAAAATTAAGCCAACCCTTAACAGACTCTGTCGAGATTTTCAACAATTTTGAAGACGAGAGACCATGGAAAATGAGGAGAGACAGCCAGTAAAAAAATGCTGGCCAATAATTCTACATTTTAAAAAAAAAATTTTTAATTTGCAAAGTCATCAATTTCGAAGAAATAGTTCTAAAAATCTAGATTTATCAACGTATATATTCTTTATACCATGAAAAAATCAAGTCTTCTTTTCCTTACTTTCCACAGTCTCCTCGATGTTTTCGATAAAGGTTTCTTTCCGGTTCATGTCTTTCAACGCGGCGCCCTGTCCGATGGGGATATTTGATCGGTTTTCTCCCAAAACCGTTCGTGTTTCGACTCGCTGACCAATTGGGACGGGTTGAGGTTTGTTTACCTAGAGGCAAATCGAATTTAAAATCGTTTTTAAGCCCTTAAAATCGGCTAAATCAATTCTTTTAGACAAAAACAACAAAAAATTGCTAAAAGGGGCCGATTTTGATAAAAATTCGATTTTAACCTACTGGAATCTGAAACACTGTAGATGTTGCGGCACGATGAGTACCTGAATGACGTTTCGGACTTCCAGAATGTTCCGTGAACTCTTCCCGAATCTGCTTCACCTCATCTGTCTCCAGAAGATAGGTGACAGTCTCCTGGAAAAAATGCAAGATTATGCAGAATTCCAGAAAGGAATTGGCAAAATTTAGCTGCCTCCTAACGCCCCACACAATCAATATTCATTATCAGCACCACTATTTTTCGTATCGTCTCAATACAAAAAAAAAGAAAAAACACAAAAGAAAAAAATGTCGGGGCTGACTCACACGGCTCGAACGAACTCGTCGCTCTTCCTCGAAGTCTTGATTCAAGGGTTCGGATTCGGGGGGAAGGCGGCGCGAGATGGTTTGAGGCCGCAGGGATCCGATGTAACGGAGGAATTCGATTATGTTCCGCTCGTTGCGGCTCCACACTTGTCGCTCCTCCGACTGGCGATTCGGATCGACTAAAATAAGATTTCTTGGTTTTAAATGAAAAAACGGGATCTTGGAAAAATTTTTAAAAGCAAAAAATTACAGCAATCAATTTATTAGAACACTCAAAAATTCGAAAAAGGATTTCTGGAGGTATGGGGAATTGAACCCCAGCCCTCTCGCATGCTAAGCGAGCGCTCTACCCCTGAGCTATACCCCCGCACGGCGCTCTCTCTTCGTTTCTTTTACCCAATCTTTTCGGCTCTTCGCAGCTGGTTTTTCCCATTTTTACGAGCAAAAAACGTGGATTTTTGTGCAATTTTCTTTACGATTCAACGAAATAAACTTTTAAAAGAGTCTGAAAGTAAACATTTCGTAATCTTGACTGCTTAGCCACTTGTTTTTCTCCCTCAAATGCCGAAAAAGTGGATCGTTCGTGAAAATCGAGGCTAATATTGGTGGAGAGCCCCGAAAAGCGCTCAAAAAACGTGAACAAAAAAGCTTGCATAACAGCAACTTTTTTTGTTATATTGTATAAATCGTCTAGAGCACAATGGAAGAGAAAAATCAGAAGAAAAAATATAAAATTTTGTAGTGTCAACAAGGTATTTCAATTTCAAAACTATGCAAATTTCGGTTGACCGAGGGCTCTTTCCGATTAAAAATACAAAACGGAGGAGAGGGAAATTGCTTTCCCACAAACGACCGGATTGACTCATCTCCTCAAAACACATTAAAATTTCTTTCGTAAAGAAATCAAGATTATTAAGCGTAAAGTAGCGATTTTCGCCACAAAAAAATATTCAAAGCCAGAAATCGAAGCCCCTGAGGGATTTCCAAGACGCTCTCATGAAATTTCCCAACCCCAGTTTACCGGCTAATGTTGCGCAAACAAACCCCGGAGGCGACTTAATTCCATTTACCCTCACTCAAAACTCTCGGACGCACCTTTTGCAAAAACAAATCGTTGACCTCGAAAGTCATGAGTGAGGAAAAAACAATGAGGATTTTTGGAAGTACACTCCAAAATTGAACACTGTATTCGGAATAAAATTTTTTTGTTATGGAAGAGAATCGCAGTACTGAGAGCTCTTGACAGCGAACAGGATAAAAATCTTTTTTCAAATTTTGTGATAGCGAGCTGTCGACCACAAAATGCCCCGAAAAATTTTAGTTCACGGTCCTCAAAAAATCCTCAGGGGCTATGGCTGCCAAAATATTCAACGATCTTTGATGCCAAAAGACTATGGAAAGTGAGGAGAGACGGCTAGATTAAAAATACCTGTATGTTTTTTTACTTCCTCAAAAAAATGTACAATTGTTCGCATTGTTCAAGCTAGAAACCTTGATGAAATCTTGATGGATTTAGCTATTCGCGAGCTCAAAATTTGCCATATGCCCTAGCAAGACGTCGTTTTAATTATTCTCTGATTTCATAAAAATCTACCAAGTTTTTTTTATAAAAAACTTGGGAAATATAGCTTATTACTATGACTGTTTATGTCTTCAACTTGAACACAAAAGCCTCCAAAACTTACCAGAGATCTTCCTGAATAAGAACTCATTATTCAAGAAGAACCGGTTGTTATCCTCCAGCCCAAAATGTTTCAACAAGTTTGTGTCGTACTCTCCAAAGTCCGAGTACGTAATCAATGGCACAATATTCTTCTTCATCCAGTCTGGGAACAAGGACAACGTGAGGTGAAGATCATCATCGATTTGTGGGTTGATCGTATGCATGTACGATGGCAATATTAGACAGACCGCGTGGAAGCGCTCCTTGGAAGCGGCGGACAAATAATCGGAGACCAGCTTGGCCAGCTCTCGATCCGCCTTTAGACCACTATAATTCATTTGTTAGCCATAGTATAGCTTCAAAACAATAACCAAAGATTTGTCAAAGCACAAGACTTATTTTGAATCCGGTGTTACAACTTTTACTTACTGAGGATCGCCAATTCCAGGCGTATCAATGATAATCGGCCGATAAGTCAATTTTGTCGCGTTAAACACATATTTTGTGACTGCTTTGTCTGGAGTGGTACTGTCAAAGATTTCATCAGCGATTTTATAGCGAAATGCGGAATCAAATCTGGCACCATAAAAGTAGTTGCAAAGAAAATCGATAAACGATGATTTTCCGGCGCCAATTGGCCCGACTAGGATTATTGTCCTGTCAGGACGACGCTCCGTATCTGAAATCGTCAAAAGTGATAAGAACAAGAGTATAGGGCTTATGAGACAACAGTTGGCTAACTTGGAGAAGATTTTACCAAATGGATTCAATTTGACGGGCATTTTTATATTGTACTTGCCGCAAGTGATGGGACAAAGTTAAAGTACTATAATTTTTTTCAAAGCCGAGCTAAGATTTCATAGTCTAGAGGCGATTAAAGCTGGAGACTCTACTTTACAACAGCAGTAAATTTTGTTCTGCGCGGCGACATTTTATAGGAAAAAAAACTTATTTCAAAATTTTTGATGACTAAATGCCTCAAATAGTGTCAAAATGAAAAATTGCAGGTAAAATAATCATTTTAATCACCATAAGCCGGACTAATGGCATATTATGTTACTGGATAAGCGACATTCCAGCTTACCTTGAGCCTCTCCAGCATAGACTGTCCGAATATTGTCGGTTCCAAACGCTTCTCCCGCAAACTTGGAGATGACCTTGAGCTCCGACATGTTTTCAATCCAAAATCAAGGATTTACATTCCATATACTTCCATTTTGCTTAACAACACATATTTATAACTCGTTTCTCTCAAAAAAATGAGCTCATAATCTTTTTCGCGTTGAAAATCCTTCAAAACAACAATAGCATCGAATTTTTGAAAAAAACAAAATAAGTCAAGATACTAAACAAACAAATTCAGAGGAAAAAACAATAGTCCATGATTTTTCCAGCAGGTTATAGGGACTTCAAGCAGGTTATTCTATCCTTTGTAAGCCGAATTTCCCCCAAAAAAACTTGACCAGCTCTATTTTTTATTGAAATTTCGGTTTCAAACTGCGCACAAAAAAGTGGAGCGCGGATTTGAGTGGTGGGTAAAACGGGATTACCTCGGCTGTAAACTGGCCATGTAAACAAATGAAAAGGTTCGGAGAGAAGGGAGGAGATTGGAATGCAAGGAATTTATGGCCGAGATTTGAGTAGCCTGAGGGGTTGGAGAGATATGAGTGAAGGTAAGGTTCGTGATATACAGTGAAACAGGATCTAAACCCCAATATAGGCGGAGGGACTTTGATTTGACGTGACAAAAGAGCTAGTTATTATAAATCAATTTTTTTACTATAGAAGCAATGAATAATACTAGCGAAATTCTAAAGGTATGGTGTTCAGATTTAAGTGTAGGTTGTTACAACATGAGACTAGGACTTTTTTCTTACTTGTTAGACATATTTGAGACTTCTAGCTGCCGATTAGAAAGTACCATCAAGATTTTACGAGCAAAACTATTCTAAAAATAATCTTGGAGGCCATTGGGATGACAATTTTTCGCAATTTTTTTCCAGTTTCTATAAGTTACTCTGGCCTAGAGGGATTGATAAAACGGCCTGTAAAATCTACACGGTATGTTTTAAAAGCATAAAACATCTTTGTCTAACGTTTACAGCCACCATTAGTTGCCGCTTTTAAATTGGTCAACAATTTGCGTGCAACTGCCATAAAAAACACGAATCCACGCAGAACTTCTTCCCCGTCAAGAATCGAAATGCATATCCATAAAGTCGAATGTTGTCGATCCAAAAAATGGAAGTGAGAACTCCCGCAATCCGTAATTATAAGCGCTTATGAGGTAATAAGCTGGAAAAAGACTTGACTCCATCCCCCACAAACAAAATTGTTCCGGAGTCGATCGTCGCAAAAAAATACAAGGCGATTCGAAAAAGGAGAGAAAGTGAGGGAAAGGAGTAAACAAAAAATGATCATAAAATTCGTCAAGAGCGGGGAAAAAGGGCTTTGCCTTCAGGCTTGTGACAAAGATATGCTAAATAACATTGGGGGAAAAGGAAGATCAAAAATTGGAGGAGGTTTGTAGTTTTTGGAGTGCAGAAGAGAATATGGACTACGAATTTGAAAATGACAAAAAATTTGATGACTGAAAAAAATCATAACGTTAGCTTCTAACCGGCGCTTTGCAGAAACGGCCATGAGGTTTTGGCCAAAATAAGACAAAAAACAACTTCTTTTGGATTTCCAGGCAAACGCTTATTTCTGTTGGTCATCGTATTAGCAACAATAGTGCAAAAACTTTTTGCCTCCAGAATTTATCAACAAATCTGAGTAAAAAACATTCTTTCTATAAAAAAACTTTCTTGAACAAAAAATTTTTATCCTTTCTATACAAAATTATGCTTTAAAAGTCTCACAATGTCCCACAAAGGCTCTAAGATTAGTCAACAACATCAGAACATCTACAGAAAGCCGGATTATGCAACAAAAAATCCTAAAATCATCATTTTGGAAGCACCCCTTTCGATCGTCGTAAACATTTCCGTAAACCCGAAACAAGACCCTCAGGAAACGATTCCTTGTCAAGGCGCATTCTTCGTCTTTTTTAACTCCGTTATCAGTTATAAAATGAAATTTCTCTGGGCTTTTCGCTGAGAATTGTGCAAACAAAGATGTTGAGGATGGATTTTCCAGGCCAAAAGATTATCAGAGAAAAAAAACAAAAAAAAATGATGAAGCAGGATATAATCTTCAAGCTGTAACAGTTCTTCCAAAGGAGAAGTAGGCCAAGAATTACCGGAAAATTCAATAAATCAGATAAATTATGATATTATATACTATAAAACTGGATAAAAAGCGCTTAACATATCTTGTGATACCTCTTTTTTATTCAGAATACAAAATATTACGATTCCATTGATTTTGCACGTTTTCCCATCGAATTCCGACTTCAAATCCGGCTGAAACTAAAAAACCCATAATTTTTGTGACACTTCGTCAAAATCTTCAACGAAACGCAACAGCTGCGCGGAATCGGAGAAAACGAACGGGAATTGCCTCGAGAGATTCTCATTCAAATCATCGCTGGTGTGGAGTTCAGTGACTCCCATTTTTTTCGATTTTTTTGGGACTTCTAACGTAATTTCACCTCGCGGGTCATGGAGGTGACGGGACATGCTAATATATCACGAACGAAGGGAACCTGGACGCCAAATCGCCATCGTGTCAGGTAAGGATCGCAAATTTGAGGGGTTTAGAGGGATTTTTTGGCTTTTTTCGGTTTTATTGGATCTTATCCTTGTTTTTCTGGAAGTTTCACAGGTTGTATCAGGTGCGAGAAGGAGTCTGCGGACAACTTTTGCGGATTTAATCGAGTTTTCTGCGATTTCTTCCAGTTTTTGAATATGATCCTAGTTGATGTCTAGTTTAATATCGTCCTATGTGTAAGGAGTTGTTTTTTGCTTCGCAAAAATGTAAGAGACTTTTAGGTGATTTTAAGGATAACTTGGCCGAGATTTACAGTTATTTTTGAAATTGTATGTTATCTATGGCCGAAAAACAAAGGAAACAAAAATTGAAAGGTTATAGAAGGAATAAGATCGATATTTCTGCTCAGCGGCTATATTATACAATTTTGCACAAGAAACCAGCCGGACAGACCAAAATTTAGACGTATTCTCCATTTTTTTTAAATATTATACTTGCTCTGACACCTAAAATAATTTCAGGTTTCAAGATGAACAGCAAGAAGGAGGTTGTTGGGCCTGGTTTGTGGATAAGTGTGATGCCTTCCGTTCGGTGCTTTCTAACACATTCTGCGCCTGCTTTGAGGCCATCCCATCGATTGGGCTCATGATCTTGGCATTGATCCTGCTCTTCATTCTGCTTGGTTCCATTCCATTGGCAGTCTTTCTGACCTACATGGCACCAGAAGCGCAGTTGTCCGAACCTCCAACACAAAGTGTGCCCATGATTCGACCGACGAATTCGGTCTGGCCAGCCGAATTTGACAGTTTATTTGATGACGCGCAGATTATAAGGTCAAGTAGTCTGGTGCCGAAGAACATTTCCAGTTGCACTGGGTTTGGATTTGCTTGTACGAGCCATCCGGTGAGTATTTTTGATTTTCTTTGTTGGTTTTTAGATACTTCTTATATTCCACTTGAAATCCAAAGAAAATCTTCATGTTTCTTCTCTTTAGGACATGGTTATTGGCACGCATCAACGTTGTGATGGTTATACTGACTGCCCTGATGGTTCGGATGAATACGATTGCCGAGGTAAAGGGTTTATTTCCGTTTTTATCTGATTTTAGAATGCCACACCAGCTTCTCATGCGCTGTTTATGGATCATCTAACCGCAAAGTCTGTCTTCGAGGAGATGCATTGTGCGATGGGCATTACCAGTGTGCGAACAATGAGGATGAACACATGTTCTGCTGTAAGCTTACGTAATTTCTGTTTTTAATCATGGATAATATGAATTTTGCTGATTAAGGTCTCGAAAATAGGTATAATTCGATTTCTTTTGCAGCCCGAACTTGCGAAAACACAGAGTACGAGTGTGCCAGTAAAGATCGATGCATTCCGAACGAGTTCAAATGCGATGGAGATGCTCATTGCCCTGACGAAGACGATGAAAAGAGTTGTTCAGCATGCAACAATGGCGCCAAATTGTGTGCTCCCACGGGAGTGTGCCTTCCGAAATGGAAATTGTGCAACGGAGTCGTGGATTGCCCCGATTTCAGCGATGAACTGGCAAGTATAATATATTTTCTTTTTTGTTATTTAGGTGTTTTGCGTCTTCTTGAGGTATAATGGAAGATTGTTTGTAGGAATGCGACTGCAGAAGTTGCTCCGGATCCGACAAGGCACTTTGTAATGGCGAACAGAAGATGTGCATCAAGAAGTCCGAAGTTTGCGATAACATTCAACATTGTCCCAGAGGAGAAGATGAACAAAAGTGCCCTGGATCGTGCTCTGCCTCCAGGACCTTGGACGAGTTTGTTGATCGAGTTCGACGACAGACCGCGTCCAAAAAAGGTAATTTTTTATGTTATACTAGACATTTTTTTGAAATTTAGGTGGCTTTTGACCTGTTTATTCCTTCACAGAAGGATTAATGTATATTACTTTAGTCCGAAAGGTCCGAGATATCGAAGGAAGCGAAATCGAGTTCTCAGGAAGCGGATCGGGATCAGGGGAAGCAAGCGGAGAAGGAAATGAGTCGGCTGAAACGTCAGAAGAGTACAAACAAGCTCGATTCCGGGATACCGATGGCACCGAATTCCGCCAAGAAGATTTCGAACCAGCTCCGACGGAAGTGGTCGCTATGGAAATGATTACGTGCGCGGATAACAAAACCTATAACTGGAAGTACGCCTGCTCCGGACATTTCCCACAATGCGATGGAAAATGCAAAACGTGCAATGAGGAATTGGCTTTCACCTGTAAAACCGGCGACAGATGCATTCATCGAGGATATGTAAGATTTTTTATATTGTACTTGATGTTTAGGCAAGGAAGACCAATAACTTTGGATGTGACACATATTTGATGACGGAATGAAGCTAAATCTTTCTTATTTGGCTCGTTTCAGGTCTGTGACGGTACCTCGCAATGTGAAGACGGATCGGATGAAAAAGATTGCACTTGCCCACCGAATTCGTTGACTTGTCAAATGCCTTCCATGGACGGGAAAAAGAAGTGTCTCGCCGATTCACAACGCTGCGATGGCTTCAGAGACTGTCCGGATGGCGGGGATGAGAAGAACTGCGAAGAGTGCGCCGGATCCGCCATCCTTTGCAAAGCCGATAAGAAGTGCATTCCGTCGATTGCACGGTGCGACGGAGTTGAACAATGCACGGATGGACAAGATGAAGCCAATTGCACTTGTGCCGAATGCCAACTCCATCCCTACTCGATGTATATGTGCGAACGGGGAGAGCGCTGCTTCCGAACCGGTCAAGTTTGCGCTCCATACACGAGGTGCCCGGATCCGACCAAGATGGATAAATTATACTGTGCGACGAGGAATCGGCCTTACTTCTAGGCCACTTTTTTGTTGTTAGATTGTTCAATCGTTGTAGGTAGTTGATCTCGATCTCATCCATGATCTTTTTAGGCCCGAAAATTTAACTTTTATCTAGTCCGGTAGTCTTATACTCACATAATTTTGTATTATAATAGCAACTTTGTAAATTGTCATAGTTTTTTAGATTTCTTTGTATTTTTTCAAGTTAATTCTATTTCATTCCTAACATATTTGCCAAGTAAATACTAATTAAACACATTGGGATTGGAAGATTATTGAATTTTTAGTGATTCGGTGGTCAAGGTGAAAATAAATTCGAACTTTTGGAATAAAAATTTGCGTGATTTTGAAATTACAGTAGTTTGACAATTTACCCGCCGAATTTCGGCTCATTACTGACTCTCGACTGACTATGGATTGGTCGTTCAACCCCTCGGATCTGATCCTTTCCATCCTGATTGCTGGACTCGCCTCCATCGGAGTGCTCTGGAATTGTGCCCGCAGAGACAGAGGTGAGCCGGAAAATTCCGTGATTAGTCCCTCTAGGTCTTCAGCCTCAAGAAAAGAAGAAGAAAAATGCCAGTAAAGAGAAGAAACAATCCAAGAAAGGCTCCACGGAGCAAGCTTCCTCGCAAAGTATCGGTGAGAGGGTCCGATCGGAGGAAAGTAAGTGATTTTTGGGACGAAGATCGAATGTAAATTACTGTAGAATTCTTGGTAACCATAATTTTTTAAAAATTCCGAATTTTTAAGCCGAAAATTTGAAATTTTTATATTATCCATGAAACAAAGGGACAAATATTTTTTGCATTTCCTTGAAACATTATGATTGCATATCCATCGATATGTCCGACTAGTGTTGGAAGACCGATTTTACACTATACCGACCCCTTTTCAGAGCCTCACAAGGTCCCTCCTGCTCATGGTCATCCAAAAACTCACACCGATGGAGAGCTGAGCACAGCCAAAGAAATCGATTTCTTATATCCGGTCGACAGCAAAGATCATGTAAGCTAGACCTGCAAGATCTTATCAATCGCAATTTTAGTTGTACATGGACGAAAGCACCTTGCATCATGTGTCATCGCTGGAGCCGGACAATGAGACTTCGATGATGGTCCGATCGCATGCTCGCATAAGGGATACGGACATTCTGACTTCAACTTGACAAATTTTTGTTATAAATTTTTGACTGACTTTTCGTTCGTATTGTATTATAGAGTGCTTTATTTTTATTGACTTAATTTTTTTGACATTTAGCTCAATCTTTAAAAAATCAATAGCGAAAATTTAAAAAATCAATAGTGTATGTAAATAATAGGGCGCTCGCATCTTGGGCGCAGCTCGAAAACAAGATGAGCTGCGAAAATTTGTTTTTCGAGCTGCGCCCATCATTTTCAGCAAACTTTCAGTTAGCGCATTGGCAGTCCTGTTTAGGTATTTTTCTAATTAGTCGTTCCAAGAACATTCGTATTAGCCCACATTCATTAATTTTTCATTAGTCAGTTCATTTAAATTGGGCCTTAAATTTTGTGACATTTCGTTCAATTTACGAAAAATCAATATGGACACTTCGTTACATGCAGAATTTTTCTCGGAATTTCAAGAAAAATGCAAATCAGCCCACGCATTCGTAAGTCAAGGTGTTCCATAATGGACTTACGGTATCGAAAATTCCAGAACAAAGTCGACTTTCACGTCCCGCCGCGAAAATGTCTATCCCGCTTGGCGCCAACCCACTTCTTTTATTTATTTTTTGGGAACAAAATTTTGTTTTTTCATGCACCTCTAAAAATAGCCCTTTGGGTCATATGATTTATGGAGAAATAGTAATTAGTTTGTTTTTTAGATCCAGCCGCAAGTTTCCATTTGCTTTTTTTCTGCAAGATTTGGGTGCTTGTACCGAAAAGATTGTAAATTTCCGCTCTTTTCCACTTTACTCTGTCCCGCTCTTTTTGGTTTTTACGAGTTTTCAGCTGGAAAACAAATTTTAAAGCGAATAAATTAATTTATATTTAAGTAGGTGCGTTCAAACCCTTTTTTTTGATATTGAATTTCGAATTTTCCGCTTGAATAAAATACCAAATAAGGCGGGAATTTGACTGAAAAAGTAGAGGCATTGTTAATACGGCGTGTTTAGAAGAATAAAAAGGGTCTTTTACTTTTTTTATATTATTTTAGGTACAAAAATGACGGACTAAAAAATTTATTTTTTGCTGTTGTATTTATATTTATTTCGCTTATTTTCCAACTCCACTCTAATTTAATTTATCAATTGTTCAGAAAATACCGCTTTTATTATCGGTTAGTTTTTCATTTTGCACATGACATCTAATGGGTATTATTTTACAGACAGACCATGGCGAGTTTGGCCGCTCAGCGTCTGGCAGAAGAGAGGAAAATGTGGCGTCGTGATCATCCCTTCGGATTCATTGCAACGCCAGCAAAGAATGCGGATGGGACGTTAAATTTATTCCAATGGGATTGTGCTATTCCAGGCAAAACTGGAACGATCTGGGAGGGTGGACTATACACAGTAAGTTGGTTTTATCCTTTTTGTTTGGCTTTTAGATTCTTCAGAGGTCCTATTCGATTGATTACGAATCCTTTCAACGAATTTATCGCAAATTTTTATATTGTTTTAGGTATAAAACCCATTTCTTTTCTGATTTTAGCTAAGAATGACCTTCCGTGAGGAGTATCCAGCAACACCGCCGAAATGTCGGTTTGATCCTCCATTATTCCACCCCAACGTTTATCCATCGGGCACAGTTTGTCTATCATTGTTGGATGAAAACAAAGATTGGCGTCCATCGATCTCCGTGAAACAATTACTAGTAGGAATTCAGGAATTATTGGATAGTCCAAACCCCGAGGATCCCGCTCAAGCCGATGCTTATCAGACTTTCATCCAGAACAAGTAAGATTTCACCTTGTTTTCGATAAATAATACATTTTTTAACTGTAACTATGAAAATTAAAATTTTTAGAGAGGAGTACAAGAAACGAGTCCGCAAACAGGCCGCTACTTTCGCCGCAGACGTCGTCCTGCGTCAATTTGGAATGGCCTAGCTCCCCGATTGTCTTCCCCATAACTGAATTTCATTTCTTGAATACTTTTATATTCCTTATAACTGTAATTATTGTCTCTCCTACAATGACTTGGCCCTAAATAAAGTCCTGAATGAGCAATTTGTCTTCATAGCGCAGCGATTCTGTTCTCAAGTCTGTACTTCTTCCATGTTTCATCTTGATCATAATCTTTCCTCGTGAACAAGTATTTATACAATAAATTATCGAGATTTTGTGGTGTAAGTATTTCCACGACTAAATATGGATGTTGAGGATAAATTATAATTTTCCAAGACTTTCTGTCCAGTTATTTGGGCCAAGTTTGTTCGGTACCCAGGTGATGTACAATACTTCATACACGTCTAGAGCACAAAAACAACAATTAACCATGTTTACTATAATAATGTTTTCATAAGTGCACAGACTTTCTTCCCTGCTTACCGCTCACACATCGTGCGTTTTGTTGTTTTTCCCCTGTTTGTCGTCCATGTTTTCGTACAGTGAAAACTTGAAAGTGCGCTTCGACTTTTGGCGAAAAGTCTACGGACTTTATGAGAAAACTAGCCCTTCCGGAAAGTCGTTGGACTGTTTTTTGGCGTTTGCATTTTGCGGAAAAAGTCAGGGTGCGAGTGACACCCAAAAAAGTTATTGCACGGTGCAAAAAGCAAGGATTTGCATAGTGCAAAGAGAAGAAAGAAAAATTCTGTTGTTTTCTCGTGATTTCAGTCCGGCGACTTTCCGGAAGGGCTACTATTACATGCGCCATAAATTTTTTAGAATCTTTTCGCCGACGTTGCACAGTGCGCCGGGGAAAAAGTGCATGTCACTAGGGCAAAAACGGGAAGTCGCAAAAAAAGAAGCAACACACTGTGTTAAAATTCTACAGACGTGATGGCGCGAGTATATATAATGGTAAAAGCGATAAATGCAATTGAAAAGCCAAATCAAATTGAAACGTTCTGGAATCCAAATGATTTCCAGAACACTCATAAAATTGTTGCCCTACTTGCTGCAGGAAATTGACCAAGTTTGCCGTCTGAAGTACCCTGCACTTTTTGACCCAGTTATATTTCCTAACATGCCCAAAATGGACAAGGATTCCACTTTCAAACATACCGTTTCCGTATTCCTCTAATAACGTGTTTTGAGAGCAACCAAAAATTTTTTTAGGTTTATAAATCCTATTACCATTTACGTCTGGGCTGTTAGACTGTTTGGATGTAACACAAAATGGAAACTAGAACGTAAATTTTCGAATTGCCGCTAATCCACTTCCTCAATCACTCCTACTATAGGGTGTCCCATACGTCTTGAGTATTTTTTGGTCTGAAAATGAAAGTCTCATTAATTCTCAAACACCTAAATAAATGAACTCCTTAATGTTTGGTACTGTTAATATTGCCATCAATTACACTTATAAATAGCATAAAAGCCTTAATTAATTACATGAACTTCGGGAGAATACATGACATTCGTTAATGTCATCAGCTTCTAGGAAGGGCTAGGAAAGTAGTTTCGTTCTTTGGTAAGTGAGGGTGCACATTTGCAATTGCACTTTTTAATAAATATGCTAAGTACTCTGTTTTTAAATAAACCGTATTTCCTATAGAATTAAGGCTTAGGACGCTCTGCTGCAACCTTTTTGGATCAGACGCCATGTTGAATATCATGATTTACATACTTTTGCGTATATCATTTTTAGAGGGTGGTTGCTCAAGTCGCGCCGATATCAGACTGAAAGTAAAATAATATTCTTGCGTTCTGAATATAGATATAATGGCTACCATGTTCTGAATTACCATTAACCCAAGAAAACCTACAGCCAACACTTTCTAATATTCAAAAATAGGGTCTGAAAAACATGACTGCAGCAGCTTTCATGTTGGTAATCTAGGGCCCTTGTGCCTCCTATCTCCACGTTTAGTGAGTGTACACATCTAATATTTCAAGGCGTATAGTCATTTTAAAACCAGCAGGCAAAAATTTTTTAATGCCTAGTACAATATTGGGGCAATGTGGGTAGTAGAAAAATTTTGTGTAGCCTCGTTATAATATGCTTTAAAAGCGCAATTTCTGAGCTTCAAAACCGTATGTTCAATTTATCTCGAAACCCGTCCCAAAGCTCTCAAGAATTCACAAAAATCGACGACCAAAAAATACTCTAGACCTATGGGACACCCTGATATTTTCTGTTTGGGTTAATTGAAAACGATCCCATTTTTCAAATATAAGCCTTTTGGGAGTTAATGCTAGGCATTTAGGGAAAACTCGACGCTTGTCTGCATACTGTCGTAAACAAGTGCGTGAGTAATGCCCTCTCCTCCTCGTCTGGTATAATTTCCCAGAACATCAGCTTTATATTCCATATATTAAAAAAAGGGCTTCTGTAGTACTGGCGCACAAAACTTCCCATCTAGCCCGTCTGTCGGTCAGACATGTAGTTTTTTCCCATTAAGTAAAAGACGGTTCGATCCCATTGGTTTATTCATGCTGTGAATGAATGGTAACGATTTGACCATTTCTAAGTTTTAAGAACTGAATAATTAGCTGAATGAACTTGAATTTACAAAATTTTTAAGTTCAAAGATATGCCTTGCACCTTGATGACTTCGCGAACTTGTACTTTCTCGTACTTTTGTCGAGCCATTCCCTAATTTATTGTCATTTCAGCAACAATAGTTCATAATAACACAACTACGCCCAATACAGGGTATGCCTATTCAAGGGAGAGAAGTCCTGCAGGACGTTGAAAAGTTCTTCGAGAGCAGTGAAGTTGACACGTATTTTATGTGCGGATTGTATATACTGTTGGGTAAGCCGTGTTTCAGTCTGACAGAAGCAGTGCATGTCAAATAGAAAAAGCATTAGCTTTAGGCCCAGTCTCTTTTGACAAAGCTGAAAACTTCCCGACTGACTGATACAATGACGGGCCTGATTTAGTGGCAAAAAACGTACCATTTTGCATCCGGTTAGTATCAAAAAAAAAGTGGCCAAATGGCTCCCTCTTCAACAAAAAAACTCCATTTTGAAGGGCGCCCTTTCCCTCACAAAAAGAGCGGGTGCGCTTTTGAAATCGGAGTCTTTTCGCTTGGAGATGGAGGTATTTTGCCACATTTTTGATATTTCCCAGATGCAAAATGGTACGTTTTTTGCCACTGGTCAGGTCCGTCACATAGTATTTGTCACATATCGAGCACATCTCTTGCCAAAACTGTCTTCTATTCCAGGAGTTATCGCAATTTTCGCCAATCTTCTCAACGTTTTGTTCTACCTCTATCAGCCGGATATACGAAAAAGCCACGCTTATATAATCGCGGTCGACTTTGGCGAAATGATCAATGGACTTTCTTACATTCTCACTGGTATTGGTCGAGGCGCCGCCTTGATCCAAGGACGATATTTGCAGCCAATCTCCGTCAACGATTGCTTTTTTACCACCTATTGGCCGGCTTTTTTAATAATTGGCCCCGAAACCACAGCACTTCTGACAATTTTGGTGTCTTTTGAGCGGATTGTTGCTGTCAATTTACCTCATAAATACGACACTTTATTTCACGAAGAACGAAAATACCTATGGTTTATAGTGGTGGCTATGGTACAAATGGTAAGCAATTTTCTTGAGTAACCTTTTTATTCAAAAATTGCCAAAATAAGGATTTCCTTCGTTTTTAGGGTTTTCTAACCATGGCCGCATTTTCTGCATACCGCGACCAAACACTATTTTCTGATCGGCATTGCGCAATTATCAGCTCAACATCGGACTTTTTCTCAACGTTTCACTTTGCTTTTTTGGTTCTCTCCTATGTCGTCAGTTTTGTTTCACTTTTCATCGTTTATAACTTTCAAAACGTAAGTCCCTTCAAACCGATAAAAAGGAGATCCAAGTGAGTCCAGATTTGGTATCAAAAAGTGTAGCCGACATGTAAAAAGCATTGTTTGTATTTTCAAAGGACAGGTTATTATTTTTTGGTTATGGTTCTCTTCTCAAAATAAAATGCCCTTTCTGTCTCCACGATCCTTTCAGATACAGTGACGGGCATGATCCAGTGGCAGAAAACGTACCATTTTGCATCCGGGAAGCATCAAAAAATGTAGCAAAATACCTCCCTCTCCAAGTGAAAAACCTCCGATTTTTTGGTGAGGGAAAGGGCGCGCCTTCAAAACGGAGATTTCTTCGTTGAAGAGGGAGGCATTGTGCTACATTTTTCGATACTTCCCGGATGCATAATGGTACGTTTTTTGCTACTCGATCAGGTCCGTCACTCCACCCAATCTGGCCTAACTTTCGCCTCCTTTTTTGACAACGCCTATTGGCTTTAAAGATTTGCATGATCATCCCTTTCCAGAACAAAGTCGTCTCAATAGTAGACACCCGTACAAGTCGCGCCCCCAAAATCTACGTCTTTCTCCTGATGACTGGAGTCGACGTGATTGTTGTCTCATTCCCTAGTATTCTCATGCTGGGGACAAATTATAAGTACTGGTATCCGAACGACGTTGTCGTTGGACTAGCTACTTCAACTTTTGGGTAAGCCATTCTAGCTATGCCTTCTTATCTTCGAACTATACTCTTGATATTTACATTTTCTATTTTTTTCCATTTTCAGTCTCCTCTCGATAATCCACATAATTTTCAATATGATATACGACGCAAAGTTCCGCCAACGATTCGTCAGCTGCTACCACAAAGTCCGCCACAATTCGACGACGTCGAAACCAACCACTTCTTCAATCACCTGACGTACGAACCAAATAATCAACCAGCAAATATTATATTATTTATAAATATATACTTGGAAGTACATGTGTGCGGGCATGCCCTAAATTTGTGATTTAATTTGTGGTTCTTTTGCTAACCGAGTTATCGGACTCTCTTTGGTCGGAGAACTTCAACTTCGAAAGGTTTTGTTGTTAAATTGAGGGTACTTATGACATGAGAGTAACCGGTTCTATAGTAAACGTTATACTATGACTTTTACATTTCTGACGGAGTGCACTTCATAGTTATGTTCAAAATGCAATTCTTTTGTTCTACTTAGATTTAGACAAAACAATGACCTCTTATTCGTTTCAGTCGACAAAAAAGTCGCAAGAAGTCTCCGGCTTTGACATCTAGAAATACTAAAAGTCCATTGTTAATGAAGAAAGCCAGCCCTAATTCTCACGTCAAAAGTAGTTATCAGTTTCTTGTCTCCTTCATATCCTCTGATATCAAGGAGATTCGGGCATCTTGAATCCTTTTTTGGCCTAACTCTACTGTAAACCTCCTTGCCGTTTACTTCCACATGTATTCTAATTTTGGAATTACAAGTTTCTACGCCATTTTTGGTGCAGTAAACATTACATTTACCTTTGATATGACTTCAAAATTTCCCCGACATCAAACCGGTTCCTAAGTACTCATAGATCGCTGTCCTTGCTCATCTCAACCACCAAAACCCTACATTATCTGCACGTTTGTTCTCGAACTCTCTGAGTACATTCTCATAGATTTCTCATAGTGAATTAAAACTCCTAATGGTGCAAAGCTTTGTGGGAACACTTGCAAATTTTGACAGAGAACGTATCAAACGGCCTCTTGCTGTCGGAAATATATACATTTTAGTGTGTAGAACAAAAAAGCTGTGGGATAAATACAATTTTTGTTTTCGTAGTTCAGAAGGCATTTCTTGAGTTGTGATTACAAATTTATTGAATTACCAAAGTTGTTGTTTTTAGCGGTACAGGGCACTTTTTCAACTTCCAATTTGCAGGACATTTCTAATAGCTCCACGTCAGCCTAGCGTACTTGAACCTAGTCCCTTAGCAAGTTTTATTTTCAGTGTCACGTTTCGTCGCAAACAGAATTTTGGAGCAAATCTGTCCTTGTTCTTTTGCCGTGACAAAACCTCGCTTTCTATTCAGAAAATCACGCCATAAATTTTTCTTGATTTTTTGAGACCAATTTTGCATACCAAAAATTCTGCCGGCAGAATTTTGATCTCTAAAATCTTTTGGTCAACCGATATTGTGTGAACGAAGCGTCTGAACGGTTCAGGAAGGACCGTCGTCAATTGGAGAAAACGAAGATAGGGGGAAACTGTAAAGTATTATCTTTCTTCGATGTAAGTGTCGGAATTAGGGTAATCAATGGTGCTGACTTCGAAAATGACATCATTTTCGATCTTTTCTATTTTCCTTAAGAAAAGAATCATCAAAAAAAATGAATGTCATTTTCGAAGCCAGCACCACTGATTATCCTAATTTCGACACTTACATCGAAGAAAAATAATACTTTTCAGTTTCCCCAATTGTCTTTTTCCCCAATCGTCGTTCCCGGGTTCAGGGAATGCGTTAGATTGCCGTGGGTTCAGAAATACTGTGTAACCATAAACATAGGACATAAAATCTAAAAACTTTCGCAACAGATTAACGTTCATCCCACACCCTTAATTTCTTCCCTTTCCCTGTAAGAATGTATTTCATTGTTTGTTTATGACATAATCCTTTTACTCCAGTTAACTGTGTTCTGTACAACAACAAATTCCAGCGACTGTACGTCTACAGGGTGTCCCAAAAAAAATGCATGTTTTTTTCCATGGGTCCTGACGCGAAAATGTTTAGGTCAGGCCAAAAGATTTTTGTACTGCTAAAATCTCCGTGTTTTTCTACCCTAGTCATTTCAGTTTTGTGTTCATATCGATTAAGTAGCATGGTTTTTTAAAATGTCAAACAAAGGAACTGCGATTTTGTCACTATTTTTGAGCCGTTCAAGTTGTAAATTTGCCCAGCATAGAAAGGACGTTGTGTCAAAAGTAATCACGCGATGTAAGGAGCTTGATAACGATAGTAAGCGTCCAGGACGTAAAGGAAAACGCACCGCCAGCGGTTCTGTCAACCGGGAGAACACCAACAGCAAAACGCTATTTTCAAGAAAAAATTGCCTTGGAGATCGGCATCAGCGACCGATCGGTCACCCGAATAGTCTATGATGAGCTACGCCTCACGCTGTATAAGCTGTAAAAAGCTCAGATCTTTAAAGTAGACGGCAAGTGCGTGCGGCGCGAAAAATGTCGAAAACTCAAGGGCTGGGCCGCAACTCACAGACGTGAGCGCATTCGTTCGTGGTTCAATATTTGGCGGATGCACAACCACCAGAGCAATTGGATCTTCTTAGATGAGGCCCTCGGCATGTCGGCTAACGTCGAAAACCGTCAAAATCCGGGCCGTCATCGCCTAAGGCGGAATTTCTCCCAGCGGCAAGAATTCCATGGTTTTCTCGGATCAAGGGGGCAAAATTTTAGCGCCGCGTTAATCTTGATTTTCCCGTACTTCTGTTGACTCAGCAGAACCTCGGCAATGCAAATCTGGCGTTCCTGCTAGACTCAGCGCCGGCTCACAAGGCAAAATCGACTCAGGACCCGAAATGGGAACGATTTCCCCGATTTCACCCCGTCCGCAAAATGGCCGTCTGCTCGCCGGATCTGAATCCGATTGACTATATTTTTTTTCAATTGGAGGCCATTGCCTGTACTACACACCACAGAAGTTTGGAATGGCAAAGTAATCGTTGCGCCAAGAACGGGACCGATTTCCTCGAAAAAGGCTGCGGCCCCGAGCCCAAAATTTTAAGTTACGTTTGAAGCTCTATATCGCCACCAAGGGCAGCCACTGTGAAACTGGCTTGATATGTTATCAATAATCCTCTATGTTACTGATATCCATCGTTAGTTTGGCTAAATTTTGTTTGGTATATAAAATGTAGCCATAAAAATAACATGCATTTTTTTTGGGACACCCTGTAATCGTCAGACATACCACCTACTCATGTCTGAAGTAAACATTCCGAGAAAAAGTTAGCTACGGACGTTATGGATTGGCTTACGACAACGACCGTTGCGACCGCGTTTCATTCCACTTCTTCGCAGACCTACTTTATGTGCGCCCTTTATGTTGTTCTAGGTATGGTGGGAAGATGTAATCGAAAATTATGCAAAAAGTTTCTTTTCCACGACCAAAGTTTATTTCACATACTCTACAGTATTCCAACCGAAGAATAGAGCAAAAAGGTCTCAAGAAATAGAAAATTTTGTACAAAAAGTTTAGCAGAGACAGAAAACAAAGAATATAAAATAATTAAGTATTTTTCAGGATCAGTATCAATCTTGGCCAACGCACTAAACCTCAGTTTCTATCTCGTTAGATCCGACCTTCGTCGTCAATACCGCTATCTAATTGCCGTTGATTTTGGCGAAATTATTAACGGCGTTTCCTATATTGTCACTGGGATTGGTAGAGGACGTGCGTTAGTAGGGGGTTATTATCATAATCCAGCTTCAATCCACTACTGCTTTTTCCAGGCAAGTAATTTTTATTTATTTTTTTTTGAAACTTATTTCGCTCATTACAACCCCAAAAACTTTTAATGTAATCATAACATATTTTCAGACCTATTGGCCAATATTTCTAATCCTGGGAACAGAAATCACTGCATTATTAACACTTTTAATGTCAGTGGAGCGGATTTTTGCAGTTCAAGCACCAACTTATTACGAAAAGATATTTTTTGGTGAAAAACGGTACTTTTGGTTTGGTGGCACAGGAATTATTCAGTGTGTAAGTTCCTATTAAAGTTAGTGTTTGAACTTTTACAGTGACCTTTTTAATAGTACTCATTATATTCGCGCTGAAATCCCATTAGCTGAATAATTGCATAAAAATTTCAAAAACAAAATGCTGAACTTTAGACTCATAAGTTTAGCTCAAAAATAGCTGTAACTTTATCTAATAATACAGTGGTGGACCTAATCCAGTGGCAAAAAACGTACCATTTTGCATCGGGAAGTATAAAAAATGCAGGAGAATGCTCCCTTTCCAACTAAAAATAACTCCGTTTTGAAGGGCGCGTTTTTAAAAAAAATCGGAGTATTTAGAGGGAGGTATTTTGCAACATTTTGATACTTCCCGGATGAAAAATGGTACGTTTTTTGCCACTGGATCAGGTCCGCCACTGCAATTTCATCTAATCACAACCAATTTTTTTAGCTTCTAATCCTTTGGGCAGCCCTAACTGCTTACAACAACTACGAAGAAACCTCCGATCAGCACTGTGCAATCATCGGTTCAACCTCGAATGAATTTGCAATTTTCCATTTCCTTTTTCTAATCCTAGCCTATGTGGTTTCGTTCACCTCGCTGGTGGTTGTCTACTGCGTTCAACGACGAAACCGCAATATCAAAAAAGTCAAACGAAATTCGGGGCCGAGAATTCAAACCTACATTGTGCTTACCGGGCTTGATGTGATCTTGGTGACAATTCCCGGTGTTACAATGCTCGGGGCAAAATTTGGTTGGTGGACACCGAACGACATTATCATCAGCTTGACTTATTCTACTACGGGGTGAGTTGGATCAGATCCAGTGGCAGAAAAGGTATCATTTTGCATCCGAGAAGTGTCAAAAAATGTGGCAAAATACCTCCCTCTTTAAAAAAACTCCGCTTTCAAAAGCGCCCCTCTCAAAAGGGAGTTTTTTTAGTTGGACAGGGAGGCATTTTGCTACATTTTTTGATACTTCCCGGATGCAAAATGGTACGTTTTTTGCCACTGGATCAGGCCCGCCGCTGTACGTATAAGAAAATTTTTAATCAAAAATTCATTTTTTCTTCAAATATCTAGTGTAATATCGCAAAAAAGTTCTCTCTAAATTGCCCTTTACAACCAGCAAACTCTAGTATACCGAGGTAAACATCTCCAGTTATAAATAGAGCCTATTTCCCTCCATTTTCTTCAATATTTCGACTCTTTACACTATCGACTCTTTCAGTTTACTATCATTGGTTCATATTGGATTCAATTTGGTGTTCCAAAAGAATTTCAAATCCCGAGTGCTCGGCTGCTATCGCCGTGTGGTCATTTCCAAAGGCGACGAAACAACCCACGCCGTTGGAGCAGCGCCAGCAACAATTCTACAAGTCAGCAGAACAACCAGTAAAACAATATAAAAATATTCAATAAACGGGTAGTCGATGAAAATAACAACTTTCAGAGATAAAAGCAGGTATTTAAAAGCCTATCGAGTTAAAAAAACATAGTAAAAAGTCGCAATTATTATTAAACTTTATTAAAATTTCAATACTTGAGAGTTATTTGGAAAGTAATTTCAAAAAGTGATAACAAAACCCGAGATTATGCATGATACCCTCCTCAATAATGCTGCGAATAGCGGTTGTGCCGACGGGGTGAGCAACAACATGAGATGCAGGAGCAACAGCAACAGAGGCAGCAAATCAGCGAAGAGACGATGAAGATCACCGACGCCAAAACCACATATCCCTGCACATTCTGGCAACAATCAGCGTTCAAGGGGCCGCAGCAAGTGTAGTAATGGAGGATGCTGGGTGGAGGGCATTGGGACATCGGGGCAACCAGGTAAGGGCATGTCACTGCGGATTCTCTGAAATGAGGGCATGGATAAGATAAAAATTGTGATTTTTTAGGAAGAAAAATCGCTAGACCAGCTTCCAAATGGTAAGAAGTACTTTTTTGGACATTTCAGCTACAAATTCATACAAAAATTCGCCGAAATTTTTAATCAAACATCAAAAAAATATTACACTCATGGACAAGATAAAAATTCGAATTTTTTAGGTAAAACACTAATCGCACTTGACCGTAAGCCCACAAAAAATGTTTTACTAAAACAAAGCAACGTTTTAGCAAACCCATCACACAAAAAACTTGCGAAAACAATGTTGTACTAGACGGCTATGAATAATCTAAAAAACCAATGACGCATGGATAGAATACGAAAAGAATAGCCTCTAGGACAACTCATAAGGCCTTTTCCAATACCTAAATGTTATTTTTAACTCAAAAACTACATGAATTTCATCAATAAAATATATTATTATAGGCGACATCATATGTAACATGAAAAACGGCATTCACAAGCCAATTTTCCGGTTGAAATCAAGAGAAAAGTTCGAACCTCATCGTAAATGTCGTATTCTCCATTTCCCACAAAAAATAGAGGTTTTCAACAAAAAAATTATATTACACTAGACATCAATCAAAAGAATTACCTGACAGTGATGACGCCGTACTTGTCCAGGATTGAGAAGATGTCTCTGGCGACCTCCTCGGCCTCATCATGTCTGTGTTCGGGCTGTGCGACGGCGATTCCGGCCAAAAAACAAAGAAAAACGACATTGTTCATCGTGTCAAGTCGATCTAAAATAAACACACAAAATAGAGCCAGTTATAAACGGCGATTCGGTATCTATCATCTGACACGAGTTTACAAAAATTTTGCAGAACAAATGGGCGTTCGATCGATCAGAAATTGGCCAGAAAAAGCGGTGGGAAATTTGAACAGGAAGATCGGAGAGGAATGAGCGCCTTTCATAAAATTTGACGCTTTTCTCTTTTGATGATCAGGGAGAAAAAACGTGAGCTCGGGAGAATCGCGATTTTGCGGAAATTTGTGGGAAAATTTGGAAAAAAATTGATAAAAATAGATGCTTCGACTCTCTCACAACAATTATCATGACCATTTGGACTCAAAATTAACGATTTTTGACCAAAACAGCCGTTTTTATTAAATTTTACTCAAGAAATCTGCTATTTCGAGAGCAAGAGTAAATTGTGCGTACTTGAGGCTCGTTTTCAAGCCGTAATGGGAGTAATTTGAGGGCCACGCGACCTAATTTTTAATGTGAGTCCAATTTCAGGCGTCAAATTAGCGATTCTTTGCTCAAACTTTTTATAAACCTTCAAAGAATTTTTGAAAAATCGTTGCCAAAGAAGATTAGGGGTCTGTAGGGCAAAACTAAGAGATATCACGTTTTTCTTGAGGTCTGTGGATGTAAAAAATCAAAAATACTTACAATTTAAAAAACAAAAATGTTACAACTACCATTTTCTATCTGTTTACAAAACAAAAACGCCATAAATCATCGTATTTAACCCCGAAACCCCGGGATTCCCCTCGAAATTCAAAATCAGCCCCCTTTCCAATGTTTCGACCCAAAATTTCGCACCCAAAAACCCGCCAACCCGTGAGTAATAAGCGTCCCGAAAACCGTGTCTAATGTCGGAAATTAGGGGCTGCCACCGAAAACACATTAAAAATTCATCGGGGTGGTTCATTTGGCCGGGGCCATTGTGCTTTGTCTTCCCCCCTCTTGCAACACTTGTATTCCCAACGCTATGGCGGATTTCGGTGTGAAAAGTCGTCGTGTTTTTGACGGATTCGTTTTTCGCCTGTGCGTCAGAAGATCCCAGAAAAAAGAGGGCCGGAAAAACAAGTTTGTGGGCGAGTAGGTCAATGTGCGGACACAAAAAAGATGTAAATTCGAAGTGAGTTGGTGGGTTAGGAAGGGTTGAAAAGGTTCGGATGAGAAAAAAAAGATTCTCAGTTCCGGTTCGAGGGTGGGAGAAGAATGGGGGTTTCGGGGATGGTGAGCGTGCCATATAAGTGTCTGAAAATTTTTGAAAAAAACGTGATAAATAGGGTAGAAGACTATGTAGAACGAATTGAGGGAAATTTCTACCATCTGTGTACTAGTCGCGCCATAAAGTCCTGACACATTTTGTCGCGGGTGTCGCGTGAGAAAAGTGGCAAGTTCGCGCGAAAGTGCATGTCGCTAGTGAAACGGGGAATTGCCGCGACGGGTCCGACAGAAAAACAAAATGCACTGTGCAAATGTGTCAGGACTTTATGTCGCGACTAGTAGCTCAAGAAGTGGGATGGAAATCAAAAATTTTTGTACATCAGATTATGGTAGCTCAAAATGAAAATAAAACTGCTCGATATTCCATGCTCCGATCTTCTTCAAATTCTATATATATATGCATGATCTGTCTGAGGTGTAAATTCTGTAAGCTGTATAAATTCTTAAAAATTCCAGAAGCGTTGCAGGCGCTGTTCAATATATCCAACGAGATTCGCAGACGAGAGACTATGGAACATGAGGAGAGCTGGTTCTCTCACAGCAAAATGATTCTGTGATTCTGCTATGACCCTGAACGCGAGTAGAATTTTTTCATATCCCATGAAAAATTCTAGTTTATTTTGTGCTGAGTTTCATCAAGGCCCCAACTTTTTGTACTTCAAGCATCTTCCTTTGCTTTAAAGTTTTCTCAAAAATTCCATCTTTATCCACGAAGTACAAACGGAACATCAACAAGTTCCTCGAAATTCGGAACGGCTCTAATTGAAAAATTGGATGTGAAAGGTCCAAGAATCCATGAATTGCGAGCGAAAGGCCGAAAAAACTTCAAAATGCTTTTGCCTCTATAAATATCAAATAAACCTAAATTTACTCAGTAATATGAATCGGGAATCTCAAAGACTCCGACAATAAAACCGGTCCAAATTTACTTATATATAAAATTAATATATAGCACAAATCCTCTTCAAAACGGCCCCTCAATCCGCTCGTTGCATTTGCAGGCGCACAATAAGATACATAGGAGACAGAAGACAATCGACGTGATGAAGAATAAAAGCAAAAGATTCGATAAAATGATGTCATAGGCCTGTCGATTCTCTCGGCAAATCTCGTCGAAGCGGCCGGCGCAACTGTAAAACTTGGTCAGCGTCGGGCGGCCACATTCGGTCCGGTTGGCGGCGACTCGCGGCGGACAACGAGGGGCCGACTTCCTGAAGAAGGGACTAATTATAATTTGCGTGTTTGGGGAGGTTGTCCAGGCAACCGAGATTCGCATGCAAATGTCCCCAAGGTTTGTCTCTATTGTTTTGCAACGGATTAATGTTTTTGAAACATTTTGAAGGTACAATTTACAGTGTAAAATACAATTCTTTAGACATTAAAAATGCTCTGTTTACATCGCATGTTAGTTGCTGAAAATTTTAGCTTGCTGTTTGCAAGGGTAGCCGAGATTTTCAACGATCTTTGCAGACGAGAGATCACGGAAAATGAGGAGAAATGGTCACAGAGAAAACGTTTTTTGGCCGTATTCTTTTTTGTGTGGGAAAAAACCATCCACAAAGCGACTTATAGCGAAAAGCCAATCTTTCTCTGACCCATTCTCCTCATTTCCACATTCTCTCGCTTCCAAAGACCCTTGAATTTCTCGGCTTCTCTTTTAAAACTTGAGCCAAGATTTTTACCAAACGACAAGGCGTCTATGCACACACTATGCTCCAAATTTGAAAAGAATCCGAAGGTTGACACTCGAGAAATTTTCATTTCATTTCCATGCTTATTTTAGGCCCCACAATTACAAAAGATGACTTACTTTAAAATCAGGACGTTGTAACTCTCCAGGAAACTAATATAAGAGCTGAAGAAGTCATCAGATGCGTGACTAGAGATCAAGAGAAAGGCGGTGATTATGAAAAGTCGCATCCGATTACTAAGAATCGACCTGTCGATAAAATAAAAAAGTCGTAAAAATGGTAGAAAATTTTGAAAAGAATAAATTTTCGGACTTTATGGAAATTTTTATGGCATAATTTTTTGATAAAAATTTATTTGTGCATACTCCACCTAGGCAAATATCTACTTATCGGTAAGGTTAGTTACGGTGGTTGCGGCAGTGGTATTTGCGGTTAGGTTTGTCACCGCAGAAGTGTTGCTGGTTACGGTAGTTACGGCAGAAGCATTCGGAGCCGACAAAGTTTGATTTTCTTCGGCCAGTGGAAAGCCCAGACTAGCTCTAGCCTTCTTCAAAGCGATTCTCATCTCTTCAGTTTCCCTGTCAAATTCGGCCCGACTTCTTTCGGAGATGTCATTCTGTTGCAACGGCCGAAGAGTGCATTCTACCTGGAATTAAAAAAGAAATTATTATCCCATAAGGAAGGTGCCTCTGCTGGGGCACTCTTACTATTCGCCCTTTCTATCTTACTATCCGCAAATCCCAGAATCCGCAAATTCCTCACCTCCATGTGCATGATTTGCACCACCTTGGCCCTGATGACTTTCATTCTCCAGAAGTAGACTCCCGTCATTATGGCTCCGCCCACAATCAGACCAATCAACGTGCCAAATGCGGCAAGGGAAACTTCGAAATAGGGACTTGCAAATTGCTCAAAAATATCGGTCCACTCCCACCCGCAATCCTCCATTATTTGGTAACTGTTCAAGCTATGGGCATCTTCCTGAAAGAAACCGGAATTAAGCTTCCAAAATCCGAATTTTTTGACACTGTGCAGTTTCATAGTGGAAAAAAGCCTACAGTTTTGCACTGTGCAGTTGCGTAATGGAAAAAAGCCTACAGTTCTGCACTGTGCAGTTTTATAGTGAAAAAAAGCCTACAATTTTGCACCGTGCAGTCCGTAAAAATTTCAAATCCCATTTTTAGCCCCAAAAATTTATTTAAAAATCCACTTATATTATAAAAATCACATACGAAGCTCATGGTCACATTCTCATCCCGCTCTTCCGCAATCAGCTCCAATAACAATGTTTTGACAAAAGCATTTCCAGAATCCGATCTCGAAGTCAAAAACACTTTATCACAAGGAACGTCCCAGTTTCTCTGTCCATATTTGTTGATGTTGATGCGCTCGTCGTGGAATTCTATATTAAACGTTGGATCATTAAAGTAGATGGGCTTGTAATTGGTGTTAACCAGAGTAATGTGTTTATGGCCATCATGGACGATTACGACCTCAATTATGGCAGTGCAAGGGCCGGCGTGAATTGTGAGGCTGGAAAACAGTGGGTCAGGGCTATTTTTTTATTCAAAACTTACGTGTTGTTGGATGCTCCCACATTCAGCACTCCTTTCTGTGTCTCGTCCTCAACTGCCAGGGTAAGCGAGCTGTAGCCGGCGGCAGCGGTCATTGTTCTGGAAAAATGGTATTATTAAAAAGGAGATTCTGAGGATTTTGGGGAAAAAGAACCTTAAAATTTGGCCAAAAATTAAAAAAGTTACGACTAATTCAAATCGGGCCACAAACATGGAACACACTATACTTTTCCAGCCATCTAAAGACCTTATCAAACGGTGACAAATCTAGTTTCCTAGCACCGAAAAACTTACAAGGGACTGAACGACACGTTGACATCGTCATATGGTGCTTGAAATTTTTCCACAGTACAATCATCGGCTTTTACACTCCACAACAGTAGAAAGTTCGGAAAATAAAAGAGCATCCGACCGGTCGGTAAGAAAATTTTGGAGAATGTAAAATCGGAAACTTAAGAAAAAATTTCATTCTGAAAATAAAAAATGGTAATTTACACTTCAACGATCATTGGCCTTGAGAGAGAGTATGCAAAACGAAGAGAGCGGTCAGAGAGCGTCACTGTTTGAACACCTCTTCTTGAGCTTGTTTTCAGCAGATTTAGAGCTGATAATCAAACAACTCTCTGCTCAGCACGTGGGCTTATCGTTAAAAATTGTACCACAGCAAGTTGTCAACATGTTTCCTCGGCCTTCTCCGCAGTACAAGCAGTACAAGCTGAATGCTCGTTGAACAAAATCTGCAGATCACAAAACCCGAAACAAATTGGAATACCTAATAAATAGCCGGATGATGATAACAGGCAAAGAAAACCCTCTGATAAGCGATGGACAGGGTAAATAAATACGCTAAAAATCGCGATTCAATAGTCTCTCTTTTGTATCGTAAAGAGAATGGTCTACGGAATATTGGTTGTGATTTTGGTGACTTACGCCTTATACAGACTGGTACTGTCTTTTCTCGATGTAACTCCGGATGTGAGAGGAAAAACTGTTTTTATTAGTGGCTGTGACAGTGGGTTTGGACATGATCTGGCGTTGAAATGTCTTCAACATGGAATGACGGTCTTTGCTGGATGCTTAACTGATGAGGTTGGTAAAATTGGATGTCAAATGTAGTCAAAACACAACTATTTCTAACAAGTTATCAGATTTTCTTTCGGTTTTGGGAAGGTGGGACTCATTAGGGGCATATCAACATAAGGTTGTAAATAGTGGTTTCCTTAAAAACCTCAGGATCTTCTCGCTCTCCTAACACTTTTCCTGTTAAGTTTTGACTTATTTGTAGCATGCAAAAAATAAGTCAAAACAACTAAAATAACTAAAATCAAGATCGTCTATACATATTTTTGGGATAAAAATTTTATTGTCATATCTATGCAAAAACTGGGTTTTTAGCATACTTTTGGAGATTATGGTTGAATAGCTATATTTCACTTGTCTTTTCGTATCTCATATGGTTTACCACAAAAACACAGCTCTTGTTGTTTCAGGGCGCTCGCAACCTTCAAACAAAAGCTTCCGGAACTAATGAGAAGTCTGGTGAATCCTCGAGGTAACTCTAGACCTTTTTCAGGTCGCATTTTTTTGGTCAATATATTCCCCTTTGAGTTTCAGCTCCCGCCACGGTAAACTTCACACAATCATTGTTGACGTCGCGTCGGATGAGAGTGTTGAGAACGCCAGAAAAGAAGTCACCTCTCTGCTCAATGGCAATGGATTGGACGGGATTGTAAACAACGCCGGTGTTCCTGCTGGTGGCCTTGATGATTGGCTTACCGTAAAAGATTATCAAAAAGTTTTGGATGTAAATTTGCTGGGTGTCATTCGGACAACTCACGCCTTCAGGAAGCTGGTCAAGAAGAACAAGTAAGCAAAACCTGATAAAACATTTTATAAATTATTTTTAGAGGGCGAATTGTAAATGTCTCAAGCGCCTTGTCGATGGTGGCCTTGGGCACCCTGGCCCAATATTCTGTCAGCAAATTTGCCGTCAAAGCGTATACGGATGCTATTAGGTAAGTAATCTTAAAAGTATGCGTAAGATCACGCAATCTTTTAATCATCAAGTACCTCAATTTTTGCAGAACCGAATACGCGCAATTCGGAGTTACTGTCTCTGTTTTGGAGCCAGGGTTTTTCAGAACACCACTGGCTGCTCCAGCAGAAAACGTTCAGCGGTTAAAGAAGTTGGTCAGCAACTTACACAGCGAAGTGAGGGAAGAATACGGAGAGGAGTATTTTGAGAAGAGTAAGGACTTTGATTTACCATCTTCTCTGTGTGAAGAAACTATGGCAAAAATACATACTATTTGGGGAATTTTTAGGGGTCGCTAGGAGCTATACTTATGATTAGAAAAAAAATCAGTTAAAATTTTTGCCAAGTTTTTTCGCGCACCTCTGTTGCAAAGTAATCAGCAACCATTGCAATGGAGAGAATACAAAAAATCGGCGAATTAACATGTAAACGCATGTTACAGCAAAAAACCGTTTCACTTTTTCAGCCATTGGAAAAACGCAGGGTTTCCTTGATGGTCTTTGCTCTCCCAAAACCTACCTCGTTGTTGACGCCTACTTTCACGCTTTGACCAGCAAATATCCCCGGGTCAAATACCACGTTGGATGGGACTACTATCTTTTCTTCTTCTTATCTCTCTGGCCTGCGGTAGCTCGGGATTACCTTCAATATTTTGCAGCGTGGATCAGTGGAGTCCCCAAGCCAAAAGGAGCAAGATAAAAATTACAAATACTTGTTTCAATATACATATTGTACAATAAACCCAAAATTGGTTTTGTTTTGTAAATATAACATAAATGTACTTGTCTCGAGGCGTATCAAAAAACAAACCTAGCTTGAAATAAAAGTTAGCTCCATCGAAGAACTCGAAACGGTTCTTATCAGTTTGTCAGGAAAGTTATGAGCACTCGGACGCATCGAAAATCTCGAGAAAATAAATTGTGCCGCGTCAAAATGGAATTTCTTTTCACTTCAGCGACGCGATCGGCGCATCAACATTGTGCTCATTATTTTGCCGACAGACTGATATTCAAGACATGGCTTCTTGAGACGCGGCTACTCGATGGCGGTGAAAAAACACAGAATGCTGTGTAATTCTTCATAAATTCATGTTTTCACATCGCTGCTGCTGCAAATGATTGTTTATGTACATTGAGACATACACACATGAAGTGTAATCTCAAAATCTTTCAAAGCGTAAATCTGGGAGCCGTGTGTAATCTTCTTCGATATGAAAACTTTGCAGTGACTAGAGCTCGACTCTTCCCGTGATCACATTTTTCAAGCGTGGTTATTTATTAAAAAACCCCTATTTTTAACATGTACGCCAACCCCCCGCTAGACATTTTCGATTTTCCTGTCCATTTCTTTGGCGCGCTCCATGTTATGTCTCTACGGAAAGTGTGACTTGCGCCTTGTGCCTTGAACTTATTGCGTCCTGAATGTTCAATGAGTCAAATATGTGACTTACAAACGGCAAAACCGTCTTGAAAAAGGAACTACAAAGCGAACTTAAAAGTGTAAACAGAAAGCATTTGATAAGACGCACATTGGGTAAATAAATAGCCTCAAAAATGGCTTTCACTTCTTGCGACCGCGATGATCTGCGAGGCCGTGATTTTGATCTTGGTGACTTATGCTTTATATAGACTATTAATATCGTATCTCGATGTGACGCCGAATGTAAAGGGGAGAACGGTCTTTATAACTGGTTGCGACTATGGGTTTGGACATGATCTGGCGCTGAAATGTCTGCAGAATGGAATGACCGTGCTTGCTGGATGTTTCAGTGATGAGGTTTGCTAAATTACAATATTACGTGCATCTGAAAAATGGTGAAAATCTGATGTTAATTTTTTGATTTCAGGGAGCCACAAAACTTCGAGCGGAAGCTGCTGGGATTGGCGGCAAATCGGCTGGTTCTCAAAGGTATGATTTCTAAAAATTCCAGGACCTTTGCGACACCTATGCGGAATTCAAAGTGTCTCATAATCATTAACCCGGGTTAAACGAAATTTGTCATGCAATGGCAACTTGAAACTTAGTATCTGCAACAAAAACTAAATTTTTCCTGAATCTGCCATAGCGACTAACTGTTCATTAAAAAAGTGGTAAGCTCAGTAAGTTTCCAAGAGCCCAAAATTTGTCAAAACTGATAGCCTAACTCTATGAAAGTAGGTGCTTCTGGGCCACCCCAAATTCCGGCTAGCTAATCCTGCCGTATGGAATATTCCAAACGATGTTGTGCATCTTTGTAAATTCAGGTTCAAGTTTTTTCGATAGCCGTTTATAAAAACCTGAGCATCGCACTTGGGGCGACGCATGTACTCAAATTTAAGGCTCTTTAAACCTTTTAACTGGTGCCATTTCCAAGAGCTTGGCAACTTTCCAGATAGCCGTTGAGGCAATTTAGAAACCAATACACTTTCCTGTGAAACGTTTCCAAGCTTTTTGATATTTGCTTTTATACCGGCAACTTGGGTTGTCTCTGGCACGAGTTGTCCAGATTCATAACGCCTTGAAAATGAGTGTTTTGTGGAAAACAGATATATACAACACCCAAATTTTTACAACCGTTTAAGCTTTTATTTGCAGCTCACCTACCGGTAAACTCCACACGATAAGGGTGGATGTCACATCCGACGAGAGTGTAGAAAACGCCAGCAAAGAAGCCACCGCCCTTCTGAAAGGCAATGGATTGGATGCTCTTGTGAACAACGCCGGTATTGCTGCTATTGGGCTTGTGGATTGGATCACTGTAAAAGATTACCAGAAAGTTTTGGATGTCAACTTGTTTGGAGTCATTCGAACAACCCAAGCTTTTAGCAAGTTGGTCAAAAAGAATAAGTGAGTTTTAAAAATTGGAAAATGATTTTCAAAACTTTGTTTTCAGAGGACGAATTGTAAATGCCTCAAGTATCTTCTCATTCCTCTCCTTTGGAACGATCAGTCAATATTGCGTCAGCAAATTCGCCGTTAGAGCTTATACTGACGCTCTCAGGTATGTCATAATTTATTTTATATTATTATAATAAGGAAGCTTTAACCCGTCTTGGGGTCACTTTCAGGACCGAATACAAGCCATTTGGAGTTACTGTCTGCGCCTTGGAGCCCGGATTCTACCGGACACAATTCTCCTCACCGGAGCGAAATTTGCAGCAGCTGAAAAAGTTGGTCGATGGTTTGTCAAATGAAATAAAAGAAGAATATGGGAATGAGTACTTCGAAAAAAGTAAGGAATTGAATGTTTTGAGGTTTCTAAATTTTGAAAAATCAAAAAATTTCAACACGCGCTTTGCAAGAGTAGAAAGTTATTCCTGTGCCAAACTTCAATAAAAAGCGTCGCGTTTCGAGCGTTTACCCGGTTGGCTTTGAAACCACATGTTCAAAAACTCTATTTTTAGCCCTAAAGCAGAGCTATGACATTCTTGATGCTCTTGCGTCAACCAGAACTTACGAAGTCGTCGATGCCTACTTCCACGCAGTGACCAGCAACTTCCCACGGACCATATATCATCTGGGAAGAGACTACTATTTCTTCTTCTTCCTCTCTCTATGGCCATCAGTCGCCAGAGATTACCTCCAATATTTTGGGTCTTGGATGAAAGGAATTCCCAAGCCAAAAGGTGCAAGATGAAGGCTTCAAACATCCTCAAAAATAACTTTGTAAATTCAACATTGATTTATTGTACAAGTGGTTCAAAAATAACACGTTTTTCCAGTAATGTACAGACAAATTCTGTGCTCCAATTGCACTTAACATAGAATAAGCGTCGAAGACGAATAAAAGACGATTTGCAAGGGATTTTCCAACTTTTTGTCCACAAAAAGACAGAGGAAATTACTTGGACAACAAAGATCGAAAATCAACGAAAACGAGGAATAGGAAGTTTATGAATTGCAGCTTTGGAGAGGTGAAACCCTGAGGGGCTCTATGGGAACTTGCGCTTAAATGCGGAGTTAATAGCCGGGACCAGTGCGAGGCTGAGGACAATGGTCGCAGCTTCCTTCAATACCCTTGAGGCCGGGCATACCTCCTTCTCCCGGAGCACCGTCTTTGCCGGGCTCTCCTTCTGGTCCTGGTTCTCCTTGTTCTCCTGAAATGTGAGGGTTATCAGCTTGTATTTTAGAGTTTCTAGCCATATGTTTTTACACTACGCAAGCTGTTTAACAAACGCTAGTTTGGACTAGTAAATTGCTGTCAAACTGTTACTTACCAGCTTCTCCTTCCTTTCCTGGATTTCCATCCTGTCCCTCGGGACCTTGAGGTCCTTGAGGACCGGCAGGACCATGTGGGCCTGGAGGTCCAACCTTGACGGGCCCTTCAATAACTCTTCCTGGATGTCCATAATGACCCTCTTGTCCAGGTGGACCAGGTGGTCCTTCAGGTCCGGGCTCTCCAACTAGACCAAGAGGTCCGGGCAAGGGCTTTGGTCCAACTGGGCCTGGTCGACCCTTGTTTCCAAGAGCTCCTTTTGGTCCGGGTGGTCCTTGCGGTCCGGGATGGGCTTGAGGACAGTCAAAGCACCATTGAGGTTTAGGCGCTGGCTTTGGTGGTGGGCCTTCGGGTCCGGGGTTTCCACTCTTTCCTTGGCGTCCATCTTTTCCTGGAGGGCCTTCGGGGCCGGGAGGACCAGCTGGACCTCGTGGGCTGACGCCACATCCACAGCACTGCCCTCCGTGTGGGGCAGAAGCCGCATGATGAGCGTGCTCTACTGGATGATCCTCATGGCTGTCATAGCTATTATCTGGACCGCCATGAATGGGCTCCAAGGATGGTGGGTAGTTGTTTGGTCCATTCCCATCATAGTTCAACGAGGAGATGCCAACGTCTCTGCGCTGTCGGCGTTTTGGCATCACTTTGGCCAGGATCTGAGTCCTCACCACCTCGCGCCAGATGTTGCCTCCACGAGCGCGGCAGAACTCGAGGTCACTTTGCATGGCCGACTGCCAGTGTTGCATCTGAGTGTAGGCCAGCGGAATGGCGAAGGCGCTGCAAATCGTGGCCATGGTGGTTAGGGCCACAGAGAAGAAGACAAAATTGCGGAGCGAGTGAGCGGTCTGCTCCTGCTCTTTTAATGTCCTGTCCTCCGACATCCTAAAATACGACGATAAGCCATAAGGAATAAAAAATTTATAAATTTCACTAAAGTCCCAACGCAAATCTCGGCAAAAACCGTTGCAGAGTTGAGTGAAAATAACGTAAACCAGTAATAAAACTAGTAGTAAACAACAAAAAGTAAAATTCTGAACCCCGAACCACCAATATTAGTAACCTTTTGTCATCAAGACTCACTTTTAAATACCTCCATTGTCTGATCCGGCCAGCAGATCCACCCATTTCGTCGATCGAAATTCCTTTCCTTTGTTCAGTGCAAAAGCCAGTAAGGGGTTTTTTGTCTCCAACCACGACCTTATCCTTCAAAAAAGTCGGGCGCCCTGAGGTAAAATCGGAGTTTCTCCTTTCGCTTTTTATTTTTACTTTTTCGAAATTGCAATTAAACTCGGATAAGGACGATTAATCAATAAGACAAAGTGTTGATTTGAGGGGTAGGAAAAGGACACGGATGTGGGAGGTTTGGATTAGGCGCTTGAATTTGTATAATGGACACAAAGAAGGCATAGCAGGCAGTATATTTTTTACCGTGAGAATGTATGACAAAGAAAATTTTTCAGGTGCGCCTCAGAAATATTGCTGGACTTGGCACAAGTAGAGACTGCAATTTTCGGGGCTTCGGTAGTTCAGCCCCCCACGAAAGGTAGTTCAAACCCCCCACGGTTTTGCCCGTTTTACACCCCACATAATGAACAAATTAGAATAATACAAAAAATGTAAGTGGGGGTTTGATCTACTACGTTGGGGGTTTGATCTAAAACGTAGGGGGGCTTTTTCTAAAACGTAGGGGGCTTGTGCTGGACCATACACCTTGGATTAATTCTTTGAAATAAATTTTGAGGTTCAGAATGGACGAGGGGGGTGTACTGGGTCATGGGGGGCTAAACTGGACTGGGGGGCTGTACTACCTTAGCCCCCAATTTTCTAACCTATTTGCAAGATTATATACTTTCACTGTGATCTTTGGGCCCAAACCTGCCAATTCTTTTAATTTATCGACAATTTGAGATCATTAAATCTCCATTGACTTCAAGAACTTTCTTCAAAATCTTCTTTTCCGGATGCATTTTTATTTTTGCAACATTACCCTTACTTTTGGATCTACCCCTGTGAAATGACAATGATCGCAGACTTGACGATTTCTAACGTTATCTTTCGTAAAGCCTCAAACCTCACGTTCGACTTTGTTCCCTCGCTTTCTTATCCATTTCCTCCGCCGCTTTCAGTGAAAGTTTTGAAAAGGGAAATCTCGCGCGTCGGTCGCACCCTCAATCTCATTCTTTCTGACGAAGAAAAAGTTGGAATTGATGTCTTTGTGTTCCCGCGGGATAATCACTGATTATAAACAGAGGACGTCATGGTGTGACTGAAGGGTCCGAGGCAATTATTTCTCAAAACTAAACCGCTAAACTAATCATGGTTGAGCTGCAAACATTATGACAAGCACAATTCGAATGATGACCGATCTTTATTACAGTAATTACAAAACTCTGGCAGTGAAAGAGAAGCTTCCTGAGCCCGTCTAATAGCCGGGAGCGGTCCTTGGTGGCGGACAGTGGTCGCAACTGCCTTTGCCTCCCTGTTGACCTGGGGCTCCGTCGTTTCCTTTTCCTCCGGGCTGTCCTGGAGCACCGTTTCCTCCGGCTTCTCCGGGTGGTCCTTGTCCTCCGGGATGTCCGGGCTGTCCGTTGCCTCCGGGAGGTCCGTTGGGTCCTGGGCGTCCGGGTGGTCCGGCTGGGCCTGGTGGTCCAACTTGAGGTGGTCCTTGAGTAACTTTTCCTGGGGCTCCTGGTTGTCCGGCGTTTCCGGGATGTCCAGCCTGACCAGCAGGTCCGGGTGGTCCTGGTGGCCCGGGAGGTCCTTGGCCACCTCCGTGGGCGGGTTGTCCTGGAGCTCCGGCCTGACCAGGAGGTCCTTTGGGACCAGCCTGACCGGCGGGACCGGCTGGGCCAGGTGGGCAGTTGAAGCATGGGGCTTGTTGTTGGACTGGACGGGTTGGTCCTTGTCCTGGAGCTCCGGCTTGTCCGGGGGCTCCGGGCTGTCCGTCGTTTCCTGGCTGTCCGGGGGCTCCAGGTGGTCCTGGAGGTCCGGGTGGGGAGACACCGCAACCGCAGCATCCTCCGGATGGTGGGGCTTGTTGTGCGCCAGAAGAGAATCCTCCAATTCCGGCGGATCCAGAGAATCCTCCGGCCGAGGGTTGTGGGGCGGCACGGTATGGGGCGCCGGCTCCGGCTCCTTGAGCGGAATATCCGCCAACTGCGGCCGTGGGTCCGCCACGGACTCCGCCTGGAGAGGTTCCCGGGCCATAGGTGAGGTTTGGGGGGTCTTTGTAGATGTCGTAGAAGACTTGACGAGTAGCACGAGGATGGACGTTCGCGAGGACCTATATTATTCGGTAAAAATTCGGCTTCTTTTTGCCTTACCTGTGTCCTAACAACCTCATTCCACATGTTCCCGGTGCGGCTGCGGCAGTACTCCAACTCGTTGCGCATCAGGGTCTGGGCGTGCTGGACATGATTGTATACCATTGGCACGGTGACGATGGTCAACAAACACGCCACAGTCGAGAAGGCAACTCCACAGAAGGCGAGGGTCCGAAGACCGGCGACGTCTTCCTTGTGCTCAGACATGGTTGATACGGCGAATCAACGGGCTGAACGACCCTTCCTGGACGGTTTAATGGTTTATATAGTTGACGTGGGGGTTTCGGCCCTTTGCTTCGCATTGTAAAAGGCATTTGTGAACGCCTTAATGTGTGTGTGTATAGTTACCGTTGAAAGGAATGATTGGCGAAACAAAAGGGAAATGCAAAAACATTGACTACACAAATTATCAGGTTGTAAGGTTCTCAGAATGACCTCGAAAAGCCGCTTTTTATTTACCATGAAGTGCAAAAATTGTAGATTTTTTGGAAGCTCTTGATTTGGTTAATTGTTATAGGATTTTAAATTTTAGATTTGTAAATAGTCGTTGGCACTCAAAAATTTGTGTTTTTTTTGTAATAAGTTTTGGTATAAATTTTCTCACAATCGAACAAGAAAAAACTTAAGAGTTGAATTTGAAATCGGCAGACTATAGATAGACCATGCCCGAACTAATCTTAATTTTGGCATGCCCTTTAAAAAAGACCACTCAATTCCTCAAGTCATATCGACTCATGCTGATATTAGATGGGGTTTTTGATAAAATTTTGTCGTCAACAAGTGATAAAACATAGCTTTGAGCTGGGCTTTCAAACGTTATCCGGCTTGGCTTTAGCTTTGCGGTTTTGGCCAGGTCTTATTAAAACCCGATTTTTTGGAAACTTTTTTCTGCACAATTTTGCTTTCTTTTTCTTTGAGAACAATGCTGTCATTGTAGCAACATTAGGTGGGTTTATTCCTCAATTCCCCAAGCAAACAAACTTTCAAATCAATTAAACTTTTTTTTTCATTTTTTTGAGATTTCATGAGAAATAGGGATTACGGGAATCCGGGGTTTCAATATCTTCCTGGTCCTGGCCCAAGGTCAGGAATTTTGACTCGGTCCGGATTGCAGCCATGCTTTCTTGACCACACCTTTCTTTTGTTTTCAGATATTCTGTTTTTGCTCTTTTTTGTCCTGTCTCCGTTTCTTTTTTATTTGATACACTAAACTCGTTTCATTCAATCAGTATTTTTCAGTATCTGCTCTCCGTCGCAACCTTCTTGTACGCACCTCTTCATTTTTCTTACTTCCTATTTGAATTCCTTTAAATTTTAGCGTTCCCTTTCTTCCCCCTTTCTTCAGGGATGACAGTTCTGTTTACAAAAACCGAAAGTTTAAAACCATGTAGGGGTTATGGCGGCCCGCACCTTCGGGATGGGCTTTTTTCTCCACTAACCATTTTTGTAAATTGAAAAAAAGGACCGTTCGAAAACAACTTTTGCGTGGGCACTTCTTGGAATGGGCGAGCGGCGAACGGAGAACGTTTTGAACTTTTTGTGATGGATCGGGTTCAGAGACACAATTCACTTCCACAAAACAGTTCCGGACAGTCGGAAGGGGAGATAGTCAATTAAAAAAATGTGTTCAAAATCAAGGGAGATAAACATAAAGTACAAAAAGATTAAAAAAAACTTTGCGATTATAGATTACGTTTTTTGAGTGAAAATACGTTGAACGAGGACCTAAAGGAAATACATATCTTTGAAGAAAGGCTCTCAAGCTACAATACACAGACAATTTTCAAGGGTTTTTTTCATTTTGTAGGACACATTTAATTGCGAAACTTCTACTTTATGTCTTACAAGATGAGGTTGGGGCGATTTGAGAAAAAAGGCTGTAGCCACAAATGTATAATATATGAATTTATAGAGGCACTTACATAGATGACCTTTGAACTCTTTGTAGCAATTCTCTGTAGGTCATCTTTTACTTTTTCAAAGGCTGAGCCTATGCCTTGTGTACTTGCCATATTACGATACTTTTGTACGAGAAACTATTGCATTATAGAAAAAATATTTGTTCCCGGATATGTCTTACAAGGGAATGGTTTGAACTGTCCGTGAGCTTTCAACATGAGACCTAGAAATTCTGAAAGAGCGTACAAAATTTAGTAGGAATCCGTTTTCCATTTTTGCCGAATGGTCTTGGGAGACGAGAAATATCGACAGAAAGATCCGACAAAAAAATCGAGAGAGAGAAAAGACGAACCGAAAGGCCGAGAGAAGCGTTACCAAATAGTCTAGTGGAAAAAGTTCCACGCACGAAACTTTTAGCAGAGGGAAGCCTTGGAGGTTCGAGTCCACCCGGAGCGGATACCATCGCCTTGGATCTACGTGTCGTTAGTGTATTCGACAACTACGTAAAAATTCTTTTTTAATTTTTTTCGGGGGTTTTACAGATCTTGTTGCAAAATTATGCTTTTTCTATCGGCCGAATGGCCTTTGGAGAAGAGTTCCGGTCGTTTTTTATTGACCGGGTTACAATATGCTTACGTTACAGATATCTGTGAAAGTTAACTTTCAAAAAATTGAGTACGCAATGGCCACAAAGGTACATACGCAAAATTTTGGCTCATTATCCCTTTCTATGATGCCGTCAGACGCAAAATTTCAAAAAAGACAAATTTGTGAAAATTTATACCTTCGAGGCAGAATTTGGGAAAAATATTTGGGGCGTTTGTTAAACACATGCCCACGGTCATTTTAAACTAAAAACCTCAAAATCGATTTTTTTCGCAAATATGCCTTATTGGACCACACGCTGACGCAGGGCCCCAAAAATTTTCTTTTGAACTTTTCTTGCAAAGCTTTAAGGAAAAGTGAAAATTTGGCAAGATTTTTCCCTGGAAACTCGAAAAATTCCCCAAGACCTATACACCCTTTCAGAACCGAGTATAAATGTCTTGAAAACACCAGTATGTCGACATCTGGCATCATCGAAAATGCAGCCAAGTTGTCAACTCTTCTTGAAATATCGAAAAAATTTTGTAAAATACCCGAATAAATGAAAAAAGAATTTTTACGTAGTTGTCGAATACACTAACGACACGTAGATCCAAGCCGATGGTATCCGCTCCGGGTGGACTCGAACCTCCAAGGCTTCCCTCTGCTAAAAGTTTCGTGCGTGGAACTTTTTCCACTAGACTATTTGGTAACGCTTCTCTCGGCCTTTCGGTTCGTCTTTTCTCTCTCTCGATTTTTTTGTCGGATCTTTCTGTCGATATTTCTCGTCTCCCAAGACCATTCGGCAAAAATGGAAAACGGATTCCCACTAAACTTTGTACGCTCTTTCAGAATTTCTAGGTCTCATGTTGAAAGCTCACGGACAGTTCAAACCATTCCCTTGTTAGCTAGCGAAAAAATTCTGCAAAATTTTGCAAATAATTTTTATGTACCATTCATTAAGCAGCCCCATGGATTTGCCTCCAATATTCACCACTATTTAAATAAAACATTCCGAGTCCGCCTTATCGTACCATTCTTCTGTAGCAATATTTGTTACCGCGGGGTTAACAATCAACGGTTGTAACGTGAACACAAACCCGCTTGCAGAATCTCTGTTTACAGTTTGGAAACAAGATAAGAATTCGAAAACAAGTAGAAATTATTTAAACCCCGGAAGCCCCATTGAAAAATAAATAAATTTTATTTGTTTGTTTACCGTAACTGATATTAGTAAAGTTGTCGCACAAAGATATTATTGTTCTTTGGTCATGGTGAGCCGCTAACCGAAGGTTAATAACCTGGCGCGGTTCTTGGTGGAGGACAGTGTAAGCATGATCCACGGGGTCCGGTTTCTCCTTGAAAACCGCGTTGGCCGGGGAATCCTGGAGTTCCTGGACGGCCTGGTTGTCCTGGGTCTCCGGGAGGACCTGAAAATTTTTTCAAAATTAAGATTCACGATCTTGAAACAGTCTTTAAAGTGTAAGGTTCGTATTAGCCCATGTTTTGCACTGTCGAAATTGGATAAATATAGTAAAAGATCACCTCCAATTTAGTGTCGAAAAGTATCACAGGGCTGGAGGCATACTGTTCCTTTTGCGACTCAACATTTAACCTACCTCTTCTTGGCTCTTCTCCATTCTTTCCGGGTGTTCCCGCCCTTCCAGGATATCCCCGTGGGCCAGGAGGGCCTGGAGGCCCAGCAGGCCCAATTCTCTCCACAACGTATAGTTTTCCAGGCAGACCAGGCCGTCCGCCCGCTCCGCATGGTCCTTTCCCTCCGCTTGGCCCCACAGGCCCTGGAGGCCCCGGTGGGCCGGGTTCAGCATGAAGCAACGAGTCAAACCCTTGATATCCTCGCTGGCCAGGGGGTCCGGGAGGTCCCGGTTGACCAGGTCGACCGGGCACGGAGTTGGCGCATTCGTAGCACCAATCAATGTTGAGGTTTGGGCGAGGAGGAGGCGCACCTTCTGCTCCATTTCTTCCTGGTCGTCCGGGTTGTCCAGAGACCCCGGGCCATCCGGGATGACCTTTGCGACCAGGAGGGCCGGGTGGAGAGACACCGCATCCGCAGCAGCCTGAGGGTGAAGAACTGTCCTAAAAAATTTTTTTGGTGGGTTACTGGAATTAAACTTGTCATTTTTCCCTTTTACTAACATTCCGAATAAAAATGTCATGTTAATGCCATAGACAAAAAAGTCAAAAATCTTGCTTATGCTTTAGAAAACCATGACCTTAACTTCAGTCGAATAGCACGTAAAGTTCCGCATTTTCTCCCATATTTTGCTTACCACGCCATAACTTGAAACAGCCTCGCTGACTTGTCTCCTCAAATCCCGGTTTATCCTTTGAACCTCGCTCTCTCCATTCTGCCGCCTCAGCCGATCCTTGTAGAGCACATTGAACTGTTTTACCGCCTTTTCGACATCTCTAACATCTCTGTGCCGCCTTCCAATACCTCCCAATTTTGCGTTGACTTCTTGAAGAACAGTCGTTTTGGCCGTCTCCACCAAAATAGTGTTGGCTCGCGATTGACAGAAACGAAGCTCATCCAACATGAACGTATGCCTTTGTTGGACATAGCTGTAGATCATCGGCATGGAGATCATAATGAGGATGCAAGAAGTGGTGGCCATACAAACGCCAAAGAGGGCGACTTTGCGAAAAGAGTCGGCTTCATCCGCCCGATCTGGCGGAGTTGAGGAGGTTTTCATCTGGAAATGGGAGGATAGAGCTGTCCAGATCAAGCTAAAGGTCAGGCAAAAATCTTGAAAAATGGGTGTTAAGTTGTGTCAAATTTCATCAAAAAGTCAGAGTTGCATTTCAAGGATTTCAACTGTTATATAAACCTTTTTTGAACCTCATACGTTCAGCTTCAAAACGATGACATTATAGGCTACAGTAATCATGAATCAATACGCAACTTGACGAATCATATATCAAGCAATACATTTGCCCAATCACCCAACATCTCCTACCTTATCCATCTAATCCTTTGCCCACCGCTCTGTTTCCCTCCAGCCTTCGAGTCTACCCTACCGTTCGCCGCGCTTTTTCTTCCGTTATCCCGTGAATCCAGCGCCAATCTCATAAATGCTGTTCTTTTCGCTGATCCGCCCGCCGAAACATAATGTTTTCCCTTGTTTCAACATGATCTCGGGGCGGTGATCCTTCAATCGGAAAACTCGATTTCACTCGGATTTCCTTAATGTGAGAGGAAGGGAGTTTCAAACCCCCCATACGCCGGTTTTCCATTAATCTGTAGGCGTTGTAAAAGCGTCGTAGCTTCCGATTTATGGGATCTTCCTCGCCTTTAATGGCTAGCTCCTATTTGCAATGGAGTTGTAATTGGGCAGAGGAGTGGGAAACGAAGTGGTTTGAGTTGATTGGAAGGGTTCCAAGTGCTTTTTCCAAATAAAGAATTTCAATTAAAGATCAAGTTAAGTTTGAAAATTTTCTTGCAGCACCTTCGCTGAATACTTGGTAAAAAATAAATCTTTTATTTGTAATCAAATTTACTTCACTAACAGGGGAAGTACTGCAAGTGCGACGCGTGGATTTTGATGCAACTTGGCACAAATTTAGAATTATTTTTTTACAATATAACTGAGACACATAGCTCGCGCAGCAACGAACGAGATTTTTAAGTAGGGCGTTGGCAAAAATTATATACTTTTTTCATATTTTAGCATAAAAAATTTCATGCTTATTTCTGTCGAAGAGGGTAATGTTTCACAAAAAAATATTTTTTCTGACCGAAATTAGCAAAGTTCTGGCCAAAAAGTGTTTTTCTTTATGACCGCTGTCCACGCTTAGCGTATTCGCTCGGCTTCAAAGATCGTTCAATATCTCGGCTGTCCCTGCAAAACGCAAGCTAAAACTTTTGGAAATTGATATGTGGACCATACCCAAAAAGCATGCAAAATTTTTAAAAAGCCTGAGCGTCGCACCTGCGGTACTTTCCCCTGTCAATATACCTCAAAATTCAAATTAAAAATCGCCATCATTTTTCTCAATCTTGGTGATATTTCCGCTCTCGGCGTTTTCTTCCAGCACTTTCTCCTTTCTTTTAGCAAATTCCTCCAAGACGTCGTATGGAGTTATATCCACACTTCCAATATTATGATGGCCGTCATCTATTTCCTCAATGAACTCCCTGAATTCCCCGTCGGGGCCACAATTATGTCGAATTTTTAAATGGAGATCAACTTGACGATCAAAAAACCGACGTTTGATGAAGAACCAGTGGTGCTCGTTTATTGGGACTGTTCTGAAAACAGAAAAATGCTTTTTTATCTGTGTTCGTTCTCCGAGTTTCGCGAACTTTCTCGACAGCAAAAATCTTTGGATATCTCGGTTGTTTCTGGAAAGCGCGGGGTAATACTTATAGAAATTGATGTGTGGCCTATGTCCGAAATGTAAGCAAAATAAAAAAAATCTGAGGGTTGCTCTTGAAGTATTTCCCCCGGTTAATATTCTCAGTATTTAGAGGCTTATACGATCTTCAAAAATTCTCCAAAATTTGTACGATATCTCCAAAAAATACCATTGAATTTACAGCGTGCTCTAAAAACGTGGTAGCTAACTTTTAACCGATGACTTCAAACTTAAAATCCAACCGAAAAGACTTACACAAACTCTCTTGTAGCCCATTCTCCTTCATTCACCAGCGTGACTCTGGCTTGTTCCGGGTTCCAATGCGAGTAACATACCAACTTCCCTACTGTGTGCACCTTTGTCATTGCACAGTCCACAACGCCCACCAAGGCTGTCATCAAAAGCAGCGATAAAACGGATTCAAAAATAAATTTCATTTTGTGTCAGCTCCTTGAAGACATGTAAGCAAAAATACTAGTACAAGACGAACAGGATGTTATCCGGAGAACCAACCTGCCACTTAATAATCGTGTCTGCATGTTGGTCTTAGGAGAACAGAGACCTTCTTATCACACGTTTTATCAATCCGCCAAAAACACTTGAAATTTCTAGAGACCGTTCAAGCTGTCCATGAGGTCTTTCAGCGGGTTTATCAGGGCAGGCCTCGTACTTTTATGGAGCGATTGGCTTTCCCGAGCGAAGAGGTGTGCTGTGTGATATGGGAACTGTATCTAGAAGAAGGGATCTTTGACAACGGGGAAACTGATTTGACTAAAAAAGCATAGAGCATAAGATAATGACATGTAAAAAAAAGGTCATAAAATCGGTCGACTATGCCTTATAGTTACAATCAGGAAAAGTGCTAAAAATGCGAAGCAAATTTTGATGAAATTTACACAAATTTAAACTAATTTTTTCCAATATGTATGTATAAAAAAGGTGATTTATATTTGCCGGACTTACTGGCCGGCCAAACGAAAACCGTGGTAAACTTTGAATACCTCTCTTTTTACCTTAAACAAAGTAAGGACTGTTACAGACAGATTATCTTCAACATAACAGCCATGCAGCAGCTCCAAATGGATACACCCGACTTTCTTGTAAGTCAAACCGTAACAAAATAAGACTAGGTTATCACCCTTCGCTCTTGTGTACTCTCTCAACGGTCATTATTAAGCTTCTAATGTTCAGCATAAACCTTGCGATTTCTTGATCTCTTCGTTTTCCAAGTCTTTTTTACATACACATACGTTTAAAATGATTTTCAAGAGGCACCAAAACCTTGTTTTTCAACAAATTTGGGTTACCGCAGCCTTATAACAAGCTACCTCCTTTCTTTCTTGTTTTTATTTATTTACTAGAAGTGTTGTGGTTTTCGAACATTTTTATTCGACAAAGGAATTCAGCAAAAACAAGTTGTCACGCCATGTTTTGTCTATTATAATATTACTTGATGATTAAACTATTTTTGGGCGTTTCCAAGCTAACAATTAGTTGAGAATAAACACAGCCAAATATGATGAGATTTCATTTATTCAAATTTCCCCTGAAGAAGAAAAAAGAGAAGACAAAGAATGCTGGGACGCATTCTAATATCCGGGAGCGGTCCTTGGTGGCGGACAGTGGTCGCAACTGCCTTTGCCTCCCTGTTGACCTGGAGCTCCGTCGTTTCCTTTTCCTCCTGGCTGTCCTGGGGCTCCGTTGGGTCCGGCGCCACCTGGTGGTCCTTGTCCTCCGGGGTGTCCGGGCTGTCCGTTGCCTCCGGGAGGTCCGTTGGGTCCTGGGCGTCCGGGGGGTCCGGCTGGGCCTGGTGGTCCGACCTTTGGTGGGCCTTGAGTAACTTTTCCTGGGGCTCCTGGTGCTCCGGGGTGTCCTGGTTGTCCAGCGTGTCCGGCAGGTCCGGGAGGTCCTGGTGGGCCTGGGGGCCCGCGGCCACCTCCGTGAGCGGGCTGTCCTGGGGCTCCGGCGTGTCCGGGCTGTCCCTTGGGTCCGGCTTGACCGGCGGGTCCTGGTGGGCCGGGTGGGCAGTTGAAGCATGGGGCTTGGTGTTGGACTGGGCGGGTTGGTCCTTGTCCTGGGGCTCCGGCGGGTCCTGGGTGTCCTGGTTGACCGTCGTGTCCGGGCTGACCGGGCTGTCCGGGTGGTCCTGGGGGTCCTGGTGGGGAGACACCGCAACCACAGCAACCTCCTTGAGGTGGGGCTTGACGGTGGGCGACAAAGTGATGGGCGTTGGCTCCGCGGTGGCTCAAGTAGGCGCCACGAGCGGATCTGGGGTGGATGGAGGCAAGACCCTGAAAGAATGGGGAGATTAAGCCATCGTACAGATAATGCATGCCACTGGCATTGCTACGAAAGCAAATCAAAGCCAAAACTAATGTTCAAAGATAGTCAACAGCCTTACCTGAGTACGAGAGATCTCTTTCCAGATGTTGGTTCCGCGAGAGCGGCAGAACTCGAGTTCATTGTCCATGTGGCTGTGCACATGTTGGGCGTAGTTGTAGACCATCGGGACGGCGACCACGGCAACCAGCGCGGCCACAGTGCTCATGGCCACGCCGCAGAAGCAGAGGCGGCGCAGACCGTCGGCCTCCTCCTTCTGGACCAGCTTATTCGTTTCAGACATGGTTTGGGAGTTGTTTGCGAGCGGAAGACCCGAACAACTGACAGTTTGTGGGATGCCGGGCGCCCGGTTTTATACCGTTCGGGAAGAAACGAAGGGTTTCGGTTCCGGTTTCTTCTGCCGGGGGATGGCCCGAGGTGCGTGTGCCTTGCATGGGTTTGAAGGTCGAACCGCCGTTTTTTGGTTACTAACTGTAAATGGTGTCTTCTTTCTCAAACCTCCTTGTCTTTTTTTTTATTGTATTCTTGTTCCTTATTTGGGAAAAGTTTAGAGGTCAAATGGGTCTAGCTTCGAAAGTGGCCTGATCGATGACATTCTTAGGGGGTTTTGAAGTAAAAAATCGGTTAGTTTGTTATGCCAAAGCCAAAAATGACTTAAAAAATTTGAATATTTTTCTTCTAAAGTGCCTAAGTCATCATCAAAATTCATCTTTTCATGACATATAGGTAAATAAAAACTCAAAAAATCTCATTTTTTTCCCGTTTCAAATTCTACATTTCTCATCAATGTGCGCACATTCTCACTATGAAATCATCTTCTCTTATGCGCACTCTCGATTTTCATTTTTTGTTGTTACTTTTTTCGTGAAATTAGTTTCCAAACCGTTCTTTTTTTTACTGTTCTTTACAAGAGAAATGGGCAATCGGGCGGGGTGCCCGAAAAGAAATTGTTTTTTTTTCGATCAACGGCCTTGAGGCATGTAAACCGTTTTATTCTCTGTGGGTTTCGGTTTCTGGTTCTCATAAATCAAGAAACAGGGGAGTTTCAGATTTTGAAATGATAAGTTCAGAATGAAAAATTGGATTACACTGGACAGGGAATTGCAAGAACTGGAAATCGGGTGATGCATGGGCAAAAAAACACTGCGAGAATGGTGCTTGTCGGACACAAGTTTTTCGATTTGCAACCAAGATCTCAGCTTTGAGAGAAATAGTGAATGCAAGGGGCTAAAAGTTTGTCTAGGAGCCAATGGAGAATATGGTTAATATCTGAATCTTTGATACATTTTGGCCTGCACAGGCAGCATATAAATTCTTGAATACAAATTTTGCGACCTTGCAGATATGGCCGAAACTCAGCAATCTTCGCAGACAAGAAATTGTAAAGAACAAAGAGAAGTGGACATTAAACAATTTACAAAGGAACTACTCCAAGTGCAACGCTCAGATTTTCCTGAAATTTGGTCCATGCGTTGGGCATAGGCTACCTTTCAATGCCTGAAAATTTTAGCTCGCCCTTTGCCGAGAAACCAGAGATATTCACCCATCTTTGTTGACGAGAGAGTGCACGAAATGAGGAGAGCGGACACAAAAACATTTTCTGCCATATCTTTGCCATTTGCGAGGAAAAATTTGATTCTTTGTAGAGAAATCATACTCTAAAGCCGAAATAGCTACGAAACTTTTCATGGCAAAAAAAACGATGGACTACAACATATAGAAGCCTTTTAATTTTTTTACTGTTAATATTTTTTTTTAAAATTTTTGCCAAATTTCATCCAAATCTGAGCGTTGCACTTGGGCTACTTCCCCTGTTAGCCAAATTCATGTCATCTTTTTTTGCAATGAAATGTCGATTTAAATCAATTTCAACCGAATATCTCCTGTTCTTTTCCAGTGCTGAATTCAGTTGCAGCGATACTCTCGGAGAAATTTATTGCACTCTTCTTTGTGTTTTTGTGCATCTTGTTTAAAAGCAGAAATTCCGACTCCGACTGTATTCTTTGATGAATTTTTGTTGTGGTTTCGATGTTTTTCCTCCTGAATTCATTGTAAACTTTCTGGTGACGGGATGAAAAGTCAATTGTAAGGTCAACTACAGTTTTTATGACAGAACTCTCTGGAAAGAAGTGGTTGGCAACGTAGTGGCGGCAATTTCGGAAGCTAAACAAATTCTCTGACTGTCTCTCCTTATTTTCTGTAGTCTCTCGGCAACAAAGAATTTTAATAGTTATTAGGTTCTTGGTAGTAATTAAATATTGGGCGTTGTTCAAAGCAAAAAAACGCCTGTATTCCTTGAAAAATGACCCACACGAACTGTAAATGACTTGTTTGTTCTTTTGTAGTTCCCGGTCTTGCCGCCTACGTGAAGTCACTTTATTGGAAGGCCCTTTCTCTTCAACCACTATGTTATTCTTTCGAACAAAGTTTAATTACCAATGTAACATGGAAAGACGTTTCAGGAATTTATTCATCATTTTTCGGGAAGAGAGAGAGAGAGTTGTTTTGAGGGTTGCATTGTAAGTTATTTACAAGCAGTGTTGGTTGGAATCAATTTTGAACAATTCAGAGTATCAAAATTGGTGGCAGGTAAAAGTAATAGTAAAAACAGCAAAAAAATTTTAGCAATGCGATCGCGGAAAGTTGTAAGAAAAGTAAATATTTTTTGAAAATTTGCGGTCGATCAGGTCTGCCAATAAGCGAAGGTTTTGCGCCAAGGAAAACAATCCAATATTCCTCAAATTTTGTCAAACACCATCCAGGCTTCTATCTGGTTTGCGAAAATTTTTAGCTGACAAATTACCATTATCTCTACCTATAAGCTATGGATGAATAGCCGATGGAGTTGTAACGGATATGTGCAAAATTTTTCATCAGTCGTTGAAGACATTCGGTATTCAACAATTGTATAAAACAGAGTTTTTGAAGGAAGTTCCATACAGTTTGAAAAAAAAAATCCGAGCTATTTGCGACCGAACTTTGTACGGATAAATACATGTAACGCATGATTCGTGGTCTTTCTTACATAATGTTTTCAACATTAAAATCTCAATGGACCGCTGGAAAATTACGAACGCTTTACAGATCTTATGAACTCTGTAACGCGTAATACTTTGCTCTCATTGAACCAAGTGACATCAGCTTCAGTATGTCATCTTTTGAAAAATCGGTTGGTTATTCTAAGATTGCTTGGATCACCCAATGCTCACTATGAACCGAGATTCATTATTTTTATTCGTTAAAAATGAGCCTGCTCTGCAACAGGGCCTTAATTTCACTCTGCCGGTCACAAAAAACAAGTTGCAATCTCATTTGACCTTGCTCTCCAGTAAATATCTCCGAAGACATAATACTTGGAAACAAAAGCAAACAACACCCTCATCCAAAACCTAAACAACATGTTGATGTAATTTGTCAATCCCAAATCAGTTTTTTGATCACCTGCCCTTTCATTTTGCATGTTTGTCCAATCTATGTGGGTTAAAAACGTTTTTTGGGGTCTTAATTCATTTACTTTTACACGATCAGGTAGTTCAGCGTTCGGAATTTTAGAGAAAGGGAAAGGAATTTCCATCTGATTACAAGAACATAAAAAAAGTTGAAGGATTGTTATTGGAGGTGATGGAAGAAAACTTGAATGTATCAGCAGAGAAATCGTGTGCACAAATTTGCAAAGGACAACAACATTTTTTTTGGTTAAAAAGAGTTGTTCTTTAAATTCGACTTGACGGATATGCCTGTCTAATCGGTCAACTCCGGGGGATTTTATTATAGCTTATTTCTGAACAAAGCCGATGTAACCATTCGTGCCAACGAGAGAGCACACAAAGTGTGGAGAACGGATTTAAAGGAGAATATTTTCTAGCCATATCCCTGTCAATTTCTAGTAGAAAATATCACTTTTCCTGCAGCAAGAACACAGAACTCAGCACATTAAAAATAATGCCATCTTCAGGTCATTCAAAGATTTGGTATTTTTACCTACATCCAAAAGTTTCGCAAACGTCTTGGAATGCAATAAACAAGACTTGTCACAAGTTTCATCAAAATTACAGCGTCGCACAAGTTCCGTTCCAAACATGATTTTATTCAGGATTTTTACAACGATCTTTTGAAAGTGCATGCACTTTTTTCTGCACCGTTCAATCGAAATCGCGCAGTCTTTTTGCAGCTGTGTCACCGCTAAGCTTGCGCGCGCGACAGATAATTGCAGGGTTTGAAATTGCTCGAAATACTTGTCTGTCGGGGAAACAATGAGTACAGTGTTGTTGAGCCAATTGTATCACACGGCATTCTGTGCTTTTAGGACCCAACCGGCGTCCCCGATTTTTTTTTATTTTTTCAAAATGGACTTCCTTCTTTAATTCATTGCTCGCTAACCGTTGAAGCTAGAGACTTGACAATTGGCATGGATATAGAGCAAAGGCTCCGCATTCAGAATATATAAATATTGTAATGAAATACGCGTTGTAAGCTCCGCCATAAGATGCCAAAGTACTTTATTCTTAAAACTTCGCGCCGTCAAAGTGAAAAATTGATTTTGTCGTGACGCAATTCATTTTTTCCAGCTTGCGATGCGATTTTCGATGCAACAGAGTGCTCATTATTTTTCCGACAGACTGACAACACCATGCCGAGAATCCGCAAAATCCACCATGCGGCGCGACAGAAAGTCTATGAACTTTCAACTCATTTGTCTCATGTCTTCTCGGTAAGTGATTAAACCCGTCTACCATTCCATTTCTATTCAATTTTTCAAATTCGATCGCAATAAACTATCCACTGTAAACAATCATTCAGTCCGTCTTTGTGTCTATTTTTTCGGTCCAATTCTTAGAATCTCCCGCCGAAAGTTCTTTAAACCGTCAGCAGACGTTCCTTGTGATCATAATTCAAGGCGTTCCCCCGTTTATAACGGCGAAATATGAAGAGAAAACGAAAAAAAGACTTTGCGAGAGGAAGTAAGCGAACCGATTGTAAACAATTTCACGTCTTGGGCGTCCATCTTTGGTCATCGGCGAAGCCGAGATTAGAATCAAATTGATACATTTGGGGAATAATTGGAATTATAGCTGTTTAACGATGTTCGGAAAGGCTTATACGGGGTGGTACAAAAAAAATCGAAACTTTTGTCACAAGTTGCACGTTTCAGGGCCCTTATTCTAGGTTCATCTATGATCCCAAGCCCAAATACGGCTATCCCAACAGTAACAAACAAACAAATACAGTGAGAAACATGTTCTAGTGGCAAAAAACGTACCATTTTGCATCCGGGAAGTATCAAAAAATGTGCAAAATGCTTCCCTAGCCAAGTGAAAAAACTCCCATTTCAAAAGTGCGCTTGCCCTTTTTGGGAGGGAATGGGCGCGCCCCTCTAAATAGGGTTTTTTTTCACTTGAGAGGGAAGCATTTTGCCGCATTTTTGATACTTCCTGGATGCAAAATGGAACGTTTTTTGCCACTGAATCAGGTCCACTGTAGGGCCCAAGCGGCAAATTCAATGACCAACTCATAATATTAGACTCTGAATTCGACGCTATACGATGAATGCGCACCCTTTCCCTCACAAAAAGAGAGGGCGAATCCGAGTTTATTTCACTTGGAGTGGGAGGTATTTGCCGCATTTTTTGATATTTCCCGGACGCAATATGACACCGTTTTTATCAATTGATCAGGTCCGCCCCGTATTTAAAGCTAGATTTTACTCAACAATCCGAATTTAACCAAGGTAAGAATCAATATTAGTACCATGGAGCTCTTTTAAAATCATTTATGAGTGCTTCAAAATTTGAATAATCCAGATATGATTTGCTGCAAACAAATTATCATAAAAAGTTTATTTCTCATCTGTTGAAAGGCGACCTGTCGCTCAAACGCTCCCAGAGCGATGAAGGTTTCCTTGTGAGCGCTTGCGAAGAGGAGTTTGCTGACGATTTGGGCTCCACGATTAGCACTTCTCTCCTTCCAAATATCCGTTGATGAATTTGGGTTCGAAGATGACTAAAATGAAGGCCGTTGTAAAGACCATTTACAAAGGAAAGACTATAAAAACCTTTCTAAAATCCATACCTGTTTATCAGAACTATTAAATAAGGCGGTAAAGACACAACGGCGGCACCAAGAAGATTGCGAATGGCATAGCAATAGCGGCTCAGCACTTTGTTCGTCGGCGTTGTTTGCAACACAAACCTGATCATCTCACGGAGAAAGAGCAATGTGAATTCTATTGCGCCGGCGATGAACATTCGAATTTCTTGCGGCCCGAATGAGCGAGAGCCAAGACTTTTTTGCTTCTGTAAAAACATTGATTCTCAACGCATACTAATGGTCATACTATTGTATAATTTTAATCTCACATACCTGCCTCAACACACTCTCTATGATCACAGCCGATGCCAACATTCCGAGCACCATGATTCCGGTTTTCACATACAGCAACACCTGTTCTATCCAACCAAGTTTAGCATTTGACACCCATGCAACTTGCTTCAAGTTGTAGTAATAAAAAGAATCGGATGTTCGTGTGTGGTAAGCTAGTACAAAGAGTAGTCCGCCCATCCAGCTGCAGACAATTGGCGGCTAAAATGGGTCAAGATAATCGAAAAATACATAAGACTGGAGATGTAAAAACAAAAATATAAAGGCTTGGAAATGTGTCACAAGGTGTAATGTGTCTTGCTTACATCAAATCTCCCGTCATTTTCCTTGTATATATTCGACCGTTTTACCACTAGTATTCGGAAGAATGCTAAAAACGCGTGTTGAAGAATCATGGAGTACCAAAGAAAGTCAAAAATCAAGGAGGCCACCTGAAAGTAATAAAAATCTGTAATGATATGGGCAATACTGTAGTGAAGGTACATCAAGTGTAATGCTCAGATTTTTACAAAAATTGGAACAAATTTCGACAAATTTTTTCTATGACATGTGGTACTCCGAACTCGCGCTTTGCAGAAACAACCAAGCAAAAAAAGTGTTTTCCTCTCAGGCCACTCTCCGCATTTTGCGTGCTTTCTCGGCCGCAAAGATCGTTGAAAATGAAGGCTATCCATGCAAAACGAGAGCTAAAATCAACGATTTCTAAAACTGCTTTGCTTGATATTGTACATAATATTATACATAGCTATATCGTCAGACCGATCAGCGAATTACGAAACTTACATCGATCACTCTCCCTGCCATGCTGCATCCTAATAGTTGTTGGAAAGCACCGACGATATAAAACGGAATCTCCAGACCGGCGGCCAATGATAAAGAGAAATTTGTCCTCAACACCAAATGCTTTCGGTAATACGGCGATCTTCTTATTGCCTGAAGAAAGCATTTTACAAATTATGCAGTGAATGATTTATAATAACTATCTACAGTGACGGACCTGATCCAGTGGCAAAAAACGTGCCATATTGCATCCGGAAAGTATCAAAAAATGTGGCAAAATACCTCCCGCTCCAAGTGAAAAGACTCCGATTCAAAAGCGCGCCCGCTCCTGTGGGGAGAAGGGCGTGCCCTTCAAAGCGGAGTTTTTTAGTTGGAGATGGAGGCATTTGGCTACATTCTTTGATGCTTCCCAGATGCAAAATGGTACGTTTTTTGCCACTGGACCAGACCCGCCACTGTATCAGTCAGTCGGAAAAATAATGTAGTTTTCTTCGCTGCATAATATCTCGCCTTGTCGCAGTCAGCCGTGGTTATTTGTCAGCGCGATGAAGGGCGATTTCAGGGCGCGACGAATCCAATTTTTTATTGTTACTTTCCCGACAGACTGATATAACACAAAGCGATCCTTACATATCCTACCAAACCATGAAGAAAAATTGACGGAACACAAATCACCAAGGTAATAATAGCAAAAACATTCGCTCCGTATGGAATCTCCGACTGATTTACATGGGAAACTGTGATTGTAAATACCGACGCGACGAGTTCAGTGGCCATTGAAGAAAACGGTCTGGTTAATACGACAAACGCCAGAATATGGAGTTCAACCTTTTTTATTGGGTTCGATTTAAATACCAGATTAGGATGCAGAACGCAATTACCAGCACCTGCCTCACGGTCAAGTTCTAATTGGACGGCAGTCTATGCATGCCTATTTTTTGCCCGTAATTGTATTTCGCGCGACGGGAACAATATAAAAACAAATGTAAATAAGGCGGAATGATGAAAATAAATTTGCAAGGAAGTGTCCTAAGGGCAACGCGCGGATTCACGTTGCAATTTGCACGCGCATTGCGGATTTTTTTAAGAAAGTCACGTAGTAAGTCCTGAAATTTTGAGCTCGCGGTTTATAGTGACTGCCGGGATTTTAAAGAAGATTTTTTAGTGAGAGAATACAAAAAATGCGGAGATCGCCGAAGAGGGAAAATCGTCGGAGAGTTTTGGCTGCATCTCTGCCAATTTGTGGCGGAAATTTCTGATTTTTTGTTGCAATGTTTCACAGAGAAAAGTGAACTTAACATTCAGGTTTTCCCTTCAGAGAGCGCTCGATTTTTCCTGTCCATCCAATGCAGAACTTTGCCCAGGACCGTAGCCATGAGTCGTAATGGATTTCAAGTTCGTACAGTCAATGTTGATCAATTCGAAGCGAGGGGAACTTGGGGCAGTTTGAGAAATATTAGGCTTAGAAGTATGACCGTGCCGTGTTTTTAGTTGTGCCTTTCTTACAAGTAGAATTAAAGTTTTGGTGCATCTGTTGATATCATCTGAAAGAACCTTGAAAACGCTGTCTATTGATATGTGCTTCGTGCGGTTATAACAGTTGAGAAAGTGGTAAGGAAGCGGTTGGGGTGTGTACCGTCCCGTTCTGGTACATACTCCTCCTGATACAATACACACCGCCTGACACACGATGCCCCGGCCGTCCCAGGACGAGAAATGGCTCTGGGCTGAGCTTTGCAAAGTCTCGCGGGCGGGGCCCACCAACTTTGCCGCCCGACTCCGGGCTTTGGTTTTTAGACCCAGCCCGAACTGGCCCGATTTTCTTTCAATATTTTCCAGGCCCGGGCTTGGGCCGGGCCGCAAAGGTAAGCCCGGGCTCACGCCCCGCCGCACCGGCCTGGATTGCAGCTTCGAGGGTAGTGAAATAAGTTGAAGATGCAGTGAACCTTTGTTTTCTCACAAAACACCTTCCATGTGAGATGCAGGCGTTGTTGTACGGTGATGTAAGAAGCCGTGTAAAATACTGTCCTATCATTTCCCTATGATTTCAAACGATTTTACTCCCACCTCTCTTTGTACAAGCTTTTCGTATTGTTCCAGACGTGGTTGACTAACCAAACCTATTTTCGTAAATCTCGCCTCTATTACGACTTGTTTTTCCAGTGCGTCAATCAATTTGTCACCCTTGATTTAACGGCGAACGTCGGTAAATCAATCTGTCGCTCCTGGAACGTTGTTCTTTACAACGGTTTTTTTGAAAGGCTACCGTAAAAAGGTGTTCGTAAAAACGCGCGAAAAAACAGGTGGGTTTTGACAAATTTCGAGGTTTACAGCGCGCATTCAGCAAATTTCGTTCCACTGTCTCGGTCGTAATGCCGTAACTTTAAAACTAAAGCAAACTTAAAATTCTGTAATAACCAAAAAAAATTTGAACACAACTTTGTAGCTGTTAAAAAATGCAAAATTTTGAAATGTGGATTCCGATGCAACTTACAAGGGAAATGTTTCAAGTTCGACGCTCAGATTTTGAACGGACTTCTCGCAACTACATAATAACTTTTTCTAACAGTGTAAAATACATCGGGGACTCCTAGCTCGCGCTTTGCAGATGCGACCTTTAGATGTATAGGCATGTAAAGTCTCTTGCTTATTTCTAGCGCAGAGGGTAATGTTTCTAAAATAAGGCTGTTTTTTCCGAGCGAATCTGACAAAATTATGACCAAAAAGTGTTTCTTCTGTGACTGATTCTCTCGTTTGCGAAGATCGTTTTATATCTCGATTGATCTTGCAAAACGCGAGCTAAAATTTTCAGGAATTGATTTAATCTGTATATACGCGACTAAATAAAGGCTTCTCCAACAAAAAGGTATATCAGGGCGGGAGCAGCCTTCCTTAAAATTTTGTATCCTGATTCCAAGCTAGCGAATATCAATGACTAAAAGTTTCAGCTTTTGCTTTCCAGCAATAGCTGAGATATTCAACAAAATACTAGAGAGTAAACACAACTTAAGTCTGCTTCTCCTTCGCATATACCACAGATTTTGCTTTTTACAAGCTCAATTGCCGGGATTATTTCTACATTATGGGTTCCACATCATACCATCGATCAATTTTTTAACTTTTTTCGCTTAATAATCGTCTAAGTATTATTTTAAATTCCGGAATTCCTCAAATTCTCGCTCCGACCTTCGGAAAACCGTTTTTCTCTCAATTATTTTCTGTTGCCTGCAGTTCTTTTACAGTGCTAATTACAACGAAAAAAGCAATGCTTGTTTTTTGTCGTCGAGTGAAAGGAAAAAAAATTTGAAAAAAAACTCGCATGGATAATTTACTGTGGAAATTAAGCCAGCGGAAAACGGGTTCACGTCCGCTGCTATTGTACACACCTTCACATTGTGCGCAGATCTTTGAGATTGGAGGTTTTTTTTGGAAAAGGAGGCAGACTTTTCGGAAATTTTTTAGGAACGTGTTGTGCTTGGGTTCTAATCGAGTTCCAATTGATGAATCGCTTTGTTTCGCGGCCTGTTCTGGAAGAAAATACTGGATAGGCAGTCTGAAGTTTAGATTGGACTGTTTACTTGGCCTGGCAAAAAATGGGCGGGGCTTCTTGCCTGAGGGCTGCACAGTGCGCCCTTGAATTCTGCGTTGATCTAAAGACCTGTAGGTCGTCCAAGGCAACCCAGCGGGCCTGTGGACTTCAGTAAACAGTCTCCTTGGCCCAGCCAAGTCCTGGGCGGAGCCAGCAACACTTCCTTGCGCTGTGCGCCTTCTCATCCCACCTATTCTCCCGCTTTAACAGGCAAAACTAGGCGACAGATACCATGTCAACCCTCAACCTGACTCACCTTCGACCTAAACCGGCCTGACCTTCCACCACATAATCGCCCTATATAACCCGACCAACTCAACCGATCTAACATCAGTTCGAACATGGCTGAACCCTCAAAGGCCGTCCAGGCCGAGTTGGCCGACAGTTTGCGAACGTTCGCCTTTATCGGCACCACACTTTCGACGGTTTCGCTGATGATGGCGATTATTAGCGTGCCGATGGCGTACAATCATGTACAATACTACCAGACGATGATGCTGGAAGAGGTGGATTTTTGCAAGTACCGGTCCGCCAATATATGGAAAGAGGTGGTTAGAACGGAAGTGAGTTTATTTTGCTTTTTTCATGGGAATTTTGATAGTTTTTTTCGGGCTTAGCGAAGCTGCAAAGGTTATTTGTTATCTATCCAACATTTTTTTTGGCTTTTGATACCTTATTACGGTGACTAACTACCGTAGACCTTTTATACTGTAATTACTTGAGAAGCCTATACACTTCAATTTAATCCCTTTTACAGGCCTTTGCCATGTTTGTCCCTCGCCAAACCCGAGCAGTTCGAGGCCGAGTAACTCCAAATCATCGAGTCATGCATCGTCAAGTTGCGATGGGACCTAACCGTCGGCGGCAAGCCGGCTACAATCAAGGCGGAGGCGCTGCGGCCTACGGCGGTGGCGGTGGGGCAGCGGCACCTCGACGTGGCGGAGGCGGTGGTGGTGGTGGATATGGTGGCCAAGCAGCGAGTCCAGCGCCTAGCCATGGCGGTGGATATGGCGGGCAGACGGCCGCTCCAGCTCCCAGTAGTGGTGGATGTTGTGGATGCGGTGTCTCACCGCCAGGACCACCAGGACCTCCAGGACCGGATGGAAACCCCGGAAACGACGGAGCCCCAGGACCGGCGGGACATCCCGGACAAGATGGACCTCCACCAGTGCCAGCTGTTGACTACGGAGAACCTTGCTTCGACTGCCCACCCGGTAATCCAGGTCCTCCAGGAAATGCGGGTCAACCTGGTCAGCCAGGGCATGCTGGAGCTCCAGGAGAAGCCTTCTACGGTGATGTCCTTGGTACACCTGGTCCACCAGGACCTCCTGGCCCTCCTGGATTCCCCGGAGGAGATGGACAGCCCGGCCAGCCAGGACCACCGGGACAACTGCACGAGGGACCGCCAGTTTTGGGACCACCAGGACCACCTGGCCCACCAGGGCAACCCGGTCCTCTCGGACCTCCCGGAGACACTGGAATCGCTGAAAGTTATTCTAGCGGACCTCCAGGCCCACCCGGAGACGCAGGCCAACCGGGACGACCCGGACAGCCCGGCCCACCCGGAAATCCTGGTCCATTGGGACCAAATGGAAACCAAGGATCGTGCGACCACTGCCCTAACCCAAGAACACCTCCAGGATACTAATGTGGAATGTGGACTTGACGACAAAAAAATCTCAGAGAACGTTGTGGTAGAATGGACAGGATGCGAAGGATATTTCCAACTGCTCTGCCGTTTGCCCTCGTTTGCAATGTATACTTTAATTGTTCGGTGTGTGCCATTTGATTCAATAAATATCAATGACTAAAATATCAAAAAAGATGAACTGTATGGCGTATTTTACCTTCCAAATTCGCAGTTTATCTTTTGTACGTCAACAAAAAATATATTGCTCTAGTTCTATCCTCAAACTTCACATCATAGAACAAACTCAAGTCGTAAAAAACACTTTTCGTTTTTCCTCCCAATCGCTTTTTTTTATCTACAGCTGTGTTGACTCTTCGTTTCCCCAGGCAAATTAAAAGCAGAGAGTACATACATAAAACTGCTCTTCTTCAGTTTTTGCAAGAGAAAGAAAAGAAGAGATCCCTGTTCATTGGGATCTATCTCCTCGGGCTTTCTGCTAGCCCTTTGATTTTTTTCCAATCCTCCAAGACATCCGCTTTTTCCAGCAAAATGTCAGATATTTTTTGAGGATTTACAGGGAGAAATTTGTTTTATTCAAGTTTGCAAGGGTTTTTTCAATTCGATGGGCAATGTTTTTATACATATACTTGTACATAATACATATAAACTTTAAAAGCTACTATAAAAAAGATCTTTAAAAATTGGTTTGTCGGGAAAATAATGTGGATTTGTCGAGCCTTGAACTCTGCCATTGCCGCTTTGCAACGGTAACCCGCGGCTGGTGATTTGATGAACAGTAAAATGTCAGCTAGGGGAGACATTTTACTGCGACAAATCCACATTATTTTCCCGACAGACGGATATGAATAAGTCTTTCAACTTTTAAGCCAAAAATTTAGTGAAGCCAGTTTTAACTTTTTTATGTCAAAAATTTTAATCGGTCTTTACACCTGATTTTAAATATGTTTTTGGCAGTTCAGAAACATGTTCGTGTCCGTATTTTACAATTTTTGCTTATTTTTCCACCTTAGTCACTTATCTTAACGTCCTTTTGTTTCCAGGCCGCCTTAAATGTCCGAAAAATGTGAGGACCAAGGACTCATGATCATCGAGAATGGCAGTGTCGTGCAAGTGAGTTGTCGTGTCATTTGTATAATTAATTGTCGCGGATGTAAAGTTAAACAGGTACCGACAAATTTGTGCGCAAAACAATATAGTGGGAGAGCGAAGGTGAAAACGCAGACAAAGATTTGTCATTCTATTAAAAATATTTAGAGACCTTTCCCTGGCTTGAACTTTTTCCCATGAGAAAGGCGGACTCCGTACTTTAGAGAATTGTTGAAATGTCTGCGGCTTTGCAGCGGTTTGAAAGTTGAGTTGAAGGTGTGAGAATGGTTCAGTTGATGGGAATATGTCGTGGATTGAGACACAGATAATAAAAATTGTTACAGCAAGCGAGAAATAATTGAAAAAAATCAAGCTTGCTCATTTAGTAAAATGAATTTGAATTTAGCGCATGTGTCACATAAAAATTCCTTTAAACTTTATTTTACGCTTTGCAGAGACAGCGACGCGTTTAGAACTTTTCCAACGAAAGAGTATGGACATTCTGGATACCGGCTAGAGGGCAAAACTTGTTTGGCACTTTTGAAAAAATCGATTTTTTGTAGAAGCGTGACTTTCTTTGGCATAAATAAGACGAAAACTTTTCATGTGTAAATTCACAAAAAAGGTTTGAATTTTGCTCTATCTTCGATATAAAAAAGCTGGATTTCTTCGGCATAAGCATCGTATGCACATATATATATCTTAATGTTAGAAACATTTACCGTAAATTTTATAAAAATTTGCATAAAAATTTGAGCTTGACAAAAGACCTGAAAGGAACTATTCATTAAGATCAATTTTACCGTTCTGGATATCGAATTTTACACCTAAATTTAATAATAATAGTTATCATTCTTCAGGCAGTCGGCAGTCTAACTGGGATGGAAGGAAAATGCAAATTGTTTTGCCAAATCATCAATGCCGCAACAAAAGATGAGCTCGCCACAACGGATCAGCTGGAAACTGTAACCATTGCCTATCCCCATCATTACTTGGCGATTTCAAAAAAGGACACAAAGGTTTATGTCATCCGAATGGCACATGCGGCTGCCAGCGCCGAGATGTTTGTGAATTCGGAGCTGAACACGCTGGACACGACCAGTGTCTCGAAGATTATTGGATAGAAGCGACCAATAACTCTTGGTCAGATAGAAAAAATGATCTCATAAAAAGTTTAGACAAGCAATAAATCATGTTCATGGCGTTTCAAGTTTATTTCGTCAAATTTGTAAAAGAAAGTCAGCATGAAAATAGTTGGAATTTGAAAGTTCAATCGCAGGTTGATATCATTGCACTAGCCGGTTGAACTCTAAAAAAATGTTGATAACTTTGTTGGTATAATCCCATGGCAAGCGTATATTGCATATTTGGTAGATTATTAGAAATCCCCAGCTATCTTAAATATAATATAATAGGACATTTATGCAACAAGCGCTAAGACTTTGGAGGCTCAAATAGACAATTTAGCCCCAAGTTCCGTTCAAATCCCTTCTTTAATCAATAATTTTAGAGTCATTACTGACTGCGTTGAACCTTTGGCACTATCTTTGGGAACTCTTAATTCCAACAAAGTTAAAAATCCCACTATACCATAAAATGCGATAACTTTAGCCTAAAAATGTCCCTATTCCGGACAAGGTGCCAATAATGGTGTGGGTGGCTTTTTTGATTGGTTATTGCTTTTCTTAATTTGCTTATAAAGCAAGTTTTTCATTGAAAGTTCAAAAAAAAAATCCGTTTATTTACATGGTGCGCAAATTTCAAGCATTGCATCCTAAATTTTCCTCCAAAAAATCAGAATTTTACAAGAGAGAAAATAGAACAGTTTTGTGCGAAAATGATTTCAAAAGTTTCTAACATGACCTTCAAATACCTCGGCCGCTCCTGGAAAGCGCAAGCTAAAAATTTCAAGCATTGATGTGTGGCTTGCCTGAAAACCGTATGCAAAATTTTATAAAGGTCTAAGCACCTCATTTCAAAGGCTTCTTTTGTTAAAAGGGACCATTTTACGCGACTAGTAAGCGAAGGTACAATCAACTGCAACCCCAAGAGCTTCAACTTACGCTGTAACGTCATCCTTTTGTTTTTGGCGAGAGTTTCAAATTCTTTGTCAAAATTATCGATCTTCTTCGCTTTTTCGCCAAGCGCTTTATACGCATTTAGTGCTTCTTTGGGTCCCAACACTCCATCATTATCGACATCGTATTGGTCAAAAATCGCGCCTAAAAAATAAGTCGTGATGGCAATTTTGGGTAGGTAAAATACGATACATACACTGTAGTCACGCATTAAGATTTGGTATGGAAAACTTACGAAGCTCGGCGATTGTAATTTTGTTTGCCATTATGTGGTGCAAAGGCTTGCTAAAAGCAAAATTGAATAACTATACTTGCGCTATAACGCGATGAAACTATTTTACTCCACCCCCGGATATAAATGAAATTTGACACAAATTTTGAATAACTTCCACCATTATAAATATGGAATTTCTAGCTCACGATTTGCAAAAATTATCGATATTTTTTAGGTTGAAAGTTGGAAAAAAAGTCACAACTTTCGGCCAGCCTTGACATGAAAAGTTTCTAACCTACTTCTAATGTTGCCATAAAAAAATAATAGTTTTCCGCGCGAAAATGGCAAAGAAACGGCCAAAAAAATTTTCCCTCTGGCCGCTCTCCGTCTTTCGCGTACTTTCTTGGCCGCAAAAATTGTTCAAAATCTCGGTTTCTTTCAAACATTGATGTGTGCCCAAAGTATGCGCAAAATTAAAAAAAATGAGCATCCCACTTCTAGCACTTCCTCTGTAAGTCAAGGTTTTCGAAAATCGATCAATTCAATTTTTCGTCGTCAAATATTCGACTATATGTATTTACATAAGTCATCAAATCCCTCAAGTTTTAACAAGCAATCTGCCCTCAGCCATGTTCCCAATTTCCAGCACGCCTTAAATATTGTACCAATGCGTGTGGAGGGCGATTGTGAGGGCGGCCGGTGGGGTTTCTCACACACCGGTGTGCGTGTGGAAATTTCTGGACACGGCCGCTAACCTAATTTTTATGGCCGCAAAAATGTTATTTTGACTTGAGCACAATCAGGAAGTAACGGCATTGGATATTGATAATGGCACAAATTATAGGAACCAAGCGGATAGGAGGGGGAACCTCTGGTGTTTGGTGCGGTTTAAAGTGAGGGTGGAAGTTTTTGCAGGTATATTAAAATAAAAAAATAAATGTCTGGAAATATTGAACGAGACAGAATAAAAATTTCTGGTGAGGGAAAAATGAGAAAAATGAACTGCCATCCTCGACAATGTGGCTGTAGCGGTATGCAGATTAATGGAATAAGTACTGAAAGTGCGACGCTCAGATTTTGTTAATAATACGTTACAAGAACTCAGAGTAGTTTTATTGAAAATGTATCCGATATTCCGGACTTCTACTATGCACAAGCATAATGGGATTTTCAGTTAAAAAGTCGACCATTTGGAAATTTTTGTCAGTTTTTTCATAAAAAAATTCAGGCTTGCCTGATATGGCGACGTTTCTCTATTGAATCAATGTTTTCAAACACGAAATTTGCAGAGTTATGTGTACATTACCAAAAGCGCATTTCTCTCTGGCCAAACCTCAGGTCGTGATCTTTCGGTGGCAAAGAGGCGCTGAATACCACGACTATCTTTTAGCCAGCGCTTGCGAAATTCTGCAGCAAAATCATCATTTCCTTATGTCTTGATCGCTATTGATATGAGCTTTTTTTGCACGAATTTTCACAAGTTGGCAACGCCACTTATCGTCCACCAAACTTCCAGAAACACTATTTTACTCCAATAAACAACGGGTTAAATAAATGAATTGAGTATTTCACAGCAAAAAATTTGGGGTAGAGTCACGTTCCCCATTACACTCCGAGCTAATTTCAACTTGGGTACACGGAAATTTCCGAACATAATGTAAACATTATAAATGTTACGGTAAAAGGAGGCACAAGACCAAGGAATTTCCGAAACTTTCTAGCCGTGAAAGTTTTTTATGACCTTCATATTGCACCACCTGCACGGGCTGCCTTACAAATCAAAGATCCCTTTTGCAGTTTTCGTTACAGAACGTCTGAAGACAATTGTATAATATTCCATTTTAAGCGACAGAATCCCCGGCAGCTGATTTCTTTCAGCACTCAAAAAACATAGTGTTCATTGTATTAATTATGTTTGGGGGGAGCAGGTGGATGGGAAAAAATGACGAATTATGTATGGCCAGATGTAATTTGAAAGCACAAGCTTATGGATTGGGAAATCTAGGTAACGGAAAACAGTTTATTTCCAGGAAAAGTGCAGAAATTTAATTTGCAAAGCAATTACAAATGGGATAAGCAAAAATTTTATGAACGGCTCTGGAAATGACAAAATAGTATGTAAAATACGACAAGAGCAAGGATGATTTACTCATCTGTAATTTTTCACTGGATGCCGGATATGCGGATACGTCAAAAATTGCAAATTTTGTTATAGGTAAGTAATGGCGATAGCAAAATACAAACTAACTGGGGAAGTGCTCCAACTGCAAGGGTTCTATCTTGATACAGCTTGGAACATATGTATTTTGGCTAAATTTTTTGAAGACATATCCGAAATTCTCGGGTTTTGCAAAAGCAACCAAAATTTTTAGTTGCTTGAATTAGTCAACAATTGGGAAATACGTTCATTTATTAGAAATATTAGGGTTGCACTTGTACCATCGCTTTGTGAATTGACATCCGCAAAATTAATCAATCAATCTTGGAAACATTAGTATGTGAAGTTTTCTTTATGTCATTTTTTCAAAAAAATGTGCGTCGATAAAGGAAGACCGTTTCTTTTCAGTTTGCTAATCGCTGCAATTATATTGTCTGATTTATGTTTTCTTTTGTCTTGTTGTTTTTGTACGCTGACCTAAATTTTGTAATCAAAACCCTTTCGTAAACCTGTAACGATCGCCTTTTTTGTCTTGTTTGCTTTTGTTTTTCGCCTCTGAATCATTACGTAATTGGTTGAGCGATAAAAAGTGAGTTCCACGAAGTCGTACCAAGGTCACAAGAGCAACCAAAAATTCTGTTTTTATTCTTTTTATCATAATTTGAGCAGTATTTTTACTTACTTTATTAACAAAGAATTCATTACTTACAAATCACGCCTGTTAAACCGTTCGGCCGCTTCACGGATCGTGAAACTTTGATGAATTGCCTTCAACTCCCTTTGCAACCTTCACAAGATGACCGGTTTTCTCGCTACAATAGTTGCATTACAACACTTTTGTTTACCCATCGGAATCCAGAACGAGAATTCCAAATTGGCTAGGTTCGCTTTCATTTTTCGGATTCCTTTCCTTTTTTTGTAAGGAAAAAAACGGCGACACCTTTTGACCTCTTACTGAATAATGTTGTTTGCAAATGGAGTAGTTGACAATAAAGGGTGGTAAAAGTGCATGAAGGAGATCTAAAAGATAATTTTTTATTTTTTAAAAACAAGTTGCTGGAGTGATTTTGGCGACATGAAGAAAACAACAGTTTGCTTTGCATTTTGCAAATTCTTGTTTTTTGCACCGTGTAACAGGCCTTTTGGGCTGTTCCTCGTACCCTGCCTTTTTCTGCAAAATGCCAACGCCAGAAATCACCTAAGTGAGGCCAGCAACTTTATGAACGGACTAGTATATAAAAAACTAAAGAAGTTTTGGCAGAGATCAACGGCTATAATCTTATTGCGTTTTTCAGTGGCCCGGATCTTTACCGATCATTGAAAATGAGAGACAATGACAAACAAGGAGAGAAGGTCTGAGAAAAGAAGTTTTTTTGTCATTTCTTTGTGAATTTGGAATAAAAACGTTATTCTTCGTCGAAATAAAGCCATTTTTTCGACAAAAAAAATCTACGTATCTGCAAAAAGTGGCCTAAAAATCACGTGCTTACCTTAGAAAATTCTAACTTTAATGCGTGCCAAATCTTGCCAAGCCCTATTTACCCACTGATAAAAAATTTACGACCTAAAACATAGACAATTTCTTATTCAAACGTCCCAAAACACGGACTCAATTTACACCCTTTCTGTCCTTATGCCTCTTTTCCAGACCTTTAACCCTAACCGTTTCCGATTTTACCACCGATAAATTACTTGAAAATACGAAAAAACCCTTGTTCGCTGACCTTGAGAAGCGCGTAGAAACGGGAGAACAAAAAAAAAAAACGAAAATTCGTGAACTTTCAAAAAACGAAATTACTCACCGACATTGTGAAATTATCCGGCTGGTTTGTTGACTTACAATCTGTCAACGATCATGACGAACTTTGTTGAGGACGGGTTTCGGCCGAATAAAAAACCGGAAATTCAATCTTTAAATTTTTTTGGTCGGAGAGATTAAAATCTGGAGTTTGATCAATGAGCTGGGTTCAGGTCTAGCGGCAAGTACTATGGTCTTATCACAAGATCGAGCCGAGTGATAAAGGCAGGACCGACCTGGGCATCGTGTTACATTATATGTATGAGGACTTGTCAACAAGCAATGGAAGACTTCTGGAGTCACATGAAGTATCAAGATTGTGTATGACTGCTAGAATATCCGAGCTCCCTAACTTCTAAGCCGACCAAAAGCGCCAGGACATACGGCACAATACACCTGTTTAGGCCTGCAGGAGCTCGGCCGTTCACAAGAACCGCGCAAAAGGATGAACAGCCATAGCAGTCATGAACTCTTCAATAGACAAAGAAGGTTTAAGGTCCTGGAAGGCCAGCAAAACCACCCATGAGACCGAGAAAACCTCTACTCGGAAGTTCAGAGCTTTACAGAGCTCCAGGAACGGAAAAATCCGTCAGATCCCCAGAAGAGTTTCGAGGAGGTGCTTCAAAAAGTTTCTGACGGCAAGGAACGATCAAGGGCGGCTATCAACACTGCCCACCTCGTTATACTCTCCTAGCTACATATAAGAGTTGGTGAAAAGGAGTAACAAGGTTTCCTGAAGGCTCTCCAATTTTATTTAGCACTTTGATGGCGTACGTGCCCAAGAACTCCCATATTCAGTTGATTTTTCCACGCATACAGGTTGAAAACATTGCTAAATACTTCGCCGAACGTATTTTACATCTTCTTCAATCATTTTAAAATAAATTTTCAACCGTTCTCATCGTCGTCGGCAATATATTCCTCATCTCAATTAAGGAAACTTGATGTTTCGTCTCCAATTTCTTCAAACTTCTTTTCCATTTCCGTTTCCTTTTTTCGTAATGTCGTAATACAAGTGAAAAACTCTCCCTTTCCATTCTTCTGTATTATTATAACAAAAACCAATTAGGTTGGGGTGGGTTTTTTCGTCAGGCTGGGCTGTAAAAATGATATTTCTGTCTTACTGCCCAAGCGATCGTCTTTTTTCTTTTGTTTTTTTATGAACCGTTTGGATGACAAATGGCGAGAAACCCAAGGGGAGTTGGAGCTCGCGGTTAAACGATCGTAATGTTTCTCCGTTACAAAGAAAAAAACGAGACTCCCGGATAATTAAGCGATCAATTGAGGGTACACCAAACAAATCAATTTTTTGGGAGATCAAAAAGATCAATAACATTATTGGAATTGTTCTAGAAATGATGGAAAATTAAAGCGCTTATTTTTGAAGAAGTTTGAGAGATTTTTCGCTAGCGCTTTGCAAAAACTCTCGGGGTTTGTCAGTCCACATTTTCCTAAAATTTGACATTTTTGGCCGTCCAAGGTGACATACCGGTATTCTGCTGGCTATGTCACGTTGCAATTTTCCTAAAAAAGACATTTTTGCTGCAGGATCCTCAACAATCAATCTTAGGCGTTCTCTCCTCACCTCTCATAGCTTTTCGCTGTATCTTTCCTTGCAACAAAAGGGAGATTTTTGGTATCAAATGAAAGAAGAACACCTCCTCTTGCTAATGATCACTTACATGTCTATTATTTATCCCATCCTCATGTAGAAATATGCTGCAAAATATCGCAAAACAAAAAAAAAAAAAAATTTTTTGGGAGAGAAAAAGTTGACACAAGAGGAAAAGACTTGGCGCAATCTGCAGTGTTTCGTAAGTAGAGCGTTTGGCAGCGTTGTGCAGGACCGCCTTGGATTTTGGGGCTTGAAATGTGATCTGTAGAGACTTGTTTATGAAAGTGTACCCGTTACAGTAACAGTTACGACGATTTTTGAGCTCAAAAAGGTGAAACCTTTGGCGAGTTGAAAACATTTCAAAGGCATTCCTCTTTTGTTGTCTCTGTTCACGCCTTACATCCAGTATTACTCATTTCCTCCTCTTAATCTCATTGCAAAGTTCTCAATCACAAAGTTTACTATGTTAAAACGACCCGCCAAACGTTACAAACTCTCGACGGTTTGTAAACCCCGCAACCGTTAGTTCACCCTTCCTCCAGTGTACATTTACTCGGCGAAGAGTAGGCAGTAAGAATTTTACACTATCATAATTAGTCATTTCAACTTTTCGTACAATTCCCGTAACCTTTCCCTTTCGTTTTTCGTCTATGTTTACCGTCGATGAAAAAAGTCGTCCATCAATGAGCGCGGCGATCAAATTGGTCGCTGTTGAGCTTTTGGGTGGTCCGCTGAAAGCGAAAGTGAAATATAGGCGAAATGAGAGGCGAGAGAAGTTGGAAGATCAAAGAGGAAGTGAAGGAGCAGTAGAGATGGACTACTGGAAGTGAGAAAAAGCGACTACACTAAACAGTGAGAGAGATTTTGAGAGGTTACGGTAGCATTGATAAGAAAAAAGGCGACAATTTGTATAGCATTTTTTAAGGCAATTAATGAAGCAGCGCAAAAAGCTCTTGTTTTTAACAGCAGCCTTTCAATTCAACTACAAGTTGTCTGCAATTCAAAAAACACTTCAAATGGTATCCCTGGCATGTTTTCTTTTAAAAAACAATCGTCTTTGGATTTTGCGATTCTTTCTTGCACCAAATTTGGGATTATCAGTCTGTCGGAAAAATAATGAGTAGTCGCTGAAGTAAAAAGCAACTTGATTTTGCGTCGATACAATCGATTTCCTCGGCGGCGATGCCATTTTCATGTGACATTGTGCTCATTATTTTCCCGACAGACTGATAGCTCTTTTGATCTTTTCGATTACTCAAATCAACTCCCCTTAACTTGGCGTCAATAAAAGCTATGTATTTTTCGGTTTTGAGCCCTCTTGGGGACAATTGAGGCTAACCGTTTCATTACTGTACCCGCTAAATTTTGCATACAACCCGTTTCCACTCAAAAGTCATCATTTTCCAATTCCTCAAATTCCTGAAATACGTTTCAATTACACGTCCACAGTTAGGAGAAGGTCATAATTTTCCGCTTTCTCGGAATTGTTGTTTTGTATTGCGTATTTCCGCGTTGCAACAGAGAAGAAGAAAAAAAAGAAGGGAAGACGACAAGCGAAAGCGCGGGGGGAACCGCTTAAACCCGCTCCGGCCACGCCCGGCTAAAAATGGGTGCGAGGTGGGGGGAGAATAATTACTATATAAAGCAAAGTCGGTTTGTTGGGGAAAGTCAAGTGTTGTCGGTTACCCGACGTCGCCTGTAACCTATTTGAGTCATCCGTTTTTTTAAGACTGACTAAAAACTTTACGCTGCGGTTGTGCTATAATATTTTTGTGGATTCTACTGGAACAACTCTAAATTTTTTGATTTTAGAAGATGGAGGACAAACAGCGACAAGCGCAAGCCGAAGGGCTTCGTACTATCGCCTTTGTGGGCGTTTGTCTGAGTACGGTCGCCACCTTGGCTTGTGTTATTGCCGTCCCAATGGTCTACAACCACGTCCAACATGTGCAGTCGGTCATGCAGAGCGAAATCGACTTCTGCAAGGCGCGTTCAGGCAACATCTTCAGAGAAGTGACTCGAGCTCAAGTATGTTTTTCATAGCCTACAATTTTGATGACAATTTTTTGATTTAACCAAAATGCGTCTTCAGGTCCTCTCAAACGTCCATCCTCGTCTGGCTCGTCAAGCTGGCTATGATGCCGCCGTCTCATCAGGACCAGTAACCGCCAAGCCAGCTGCTGCTCCAACCGGAGGCTGCTGTGGTTGCGGCGTCTCTCCAGCTGGACCACCAGGCCCACCTGGACCAGACGGAAACCCAGGACAAGACGGAACTCCCGGTGCTCCAGGAAAGGAAGGCCCACCAGGCCCACCACCCCCACCAGCTCCAAAATACGAGCCCTGTTTCGACTGTCCAGCTGGCCCAGCCGGTCCAGCCGGAACTCCCGGACCAAAGGGACCCAACGGAAACGCCGGCGCGCCAGGACAGCCAGGACAACCCGCCTCTCCAGGCCCAGCGGGACCCCCAGGCCCAGGCGGACCACCAGGAACCCCAGGAAACGATGGAAAGCCAGGAGAGCCAGGCGCCCCAGGACAACTCAAGGAAGTTCCAGGCGCCCCAGGACCAGCCGGACCACCTGGCCCAGCTGGACCACCAGGAGAGACCGGACCAGGCGGCAACGACGGCCAACCCGGAGACGCCGGAACCCAAGGACCACCTGGAGACGCCGGATCCGACGGAACCCCAGGACAGCCCGGAGGTCCCGGACAAAAGGGTCCTGACGGTGAGGCCGGACCAAAGGGCGGCTGTGAACACTGCCCACCTCCTCGTACTGCTCCAGGCTATTAGAGCGGCCGCGACGCGGGATGGTGTAATCCGAACCTACTGTAATTTTATTGGTTGACATATGAAAAAAAACGGGAAAATAAACTGTTTAATATCTGAATTATCGGTCTCCATACTATTCTGAATACTCTATTTTTTAATCTGCCAATCATTTAGGACTACAAACCATTCGTATTATGGACATACGCATTACTTGCATCTTCGGTTTCGTTTGAGATGTCGGCAATTTTCGGATTACACCTTCAAGAAATGGGCTCTAATATGCTCGTGACGTACAACGAATAATTATACCTTACTCTACAACAAAGGAGTACATTCAGTCGGTGGTTTATAAACTATATTTTGAATAACTCCGCGTATTACAGGGTGGAGATAAACACGAGTTTGTAGGAGCTGGGGTTGCGTTTTGATTAAACTGTCTTTCTGGACCGTCTGTATCGCTAATTATATCATAGTAAAAGTTCCAAGTGCAGGTCAGGAAACAGCGTACTGTCTGATCGTTCTTCTCAATTTTTGCAGTCCCTTTGCTACAGATATTCCTGAAATCGGGCATTTCAAAGGCGTAAAAATACAGATTTCAGAATTTACAAGGTTATGGCCTAGGTATAAACGCAAGTAAAACTATGAAACTTTGAGCATCGCGTTTTTAGCTCTCCCTCATGATTTCTTTACTAAAGCCACGCTTAAATTTTCTAGGCCCTTTATCACCCTAGCAACTCCAGAATGCCGTGAATATGTCTACTGCTACTGACGATGAGCATAATCCAAACTTTTTTCTGGAACAGCGGGCGACTTATGGTATTCAAGTTGTAGAATGGACACTAGTGCCTCCTTTTTGGATTTTATCAATATATTTCTTTATTAAAATTAGGACCAGAAGCACTATTCACCCCAACATGAAAGTTCTTCTAGTAAGTTTTCCTCGCATAAATATTGAATAAATAATTTGCATATTCAAAACATGTTTATTATGTTTTCTTTCAGACCGTATTTCCAGTTGCGTGTCTAATGTTTCAACTGTCCCATAACTTGTGCTTATTAATCGTGCTGGACAAAAACTTCCGGTTCATGCGACCGGCCATGCTACACCTGGGTGTTCTGTACATGGTCGGCAATATTTTGATGGCATCTAATCTGCAATTCTTTGTTGTGGAAAGGTATTGCGCTTATAAATATATGCGAACATACGAGAGTTGGGGAAGTCGGTTGGCTTGGACGTTGTTTACACTTACCGTAAGTCTACCATCTTTTTTGGCAACAAAAAGGTCAAATTTCCATTCCGCATTTAAAAAAATCTTTTAGACGACTATTGCGACACTAACCTGCTATTTGGTGATGATTTATGGCTATCGATTAGTAGCAATAAACATGGAAAATGGACCGTTGTCAATTTTTGAATATATGTTGGAGAGCATGCCCGTTTTGCCGATCATTACTCTTCCACCGTGCGCTTTCGGAGCTGTGTTCTTAGCTGTGGTAAGTCTACATGATCGACATCAAGACGAGCCATCGCAGTATTACAAATAAGAAATTTTAGGTTTATAAATTCTCTGTTGAACAAACCCCTTTCATAACAACAATTTTTTGGTCCTATTCGATTTTTTCACAGACCCTTTGGCTTACTGTATACCGTTTCGTTCATGAAAAGGTTTTTTTGTTTTTTTGGTAGCTTGCGGTGTCAAACTATGGCTCGGAATACCCTCATGTTTAACCTCATCTTGTTGAATATCAGTTCGAAGTCATTTCAGAAAGTTCGAGCTCTACATAAGCAGAATCAAGCCATTCATTCGAATCGTTTTGACTTCTCTTTATCGACTAAGGCAACCGTCAGCGAAACTTATCAATTCTTGCCGGGCCTTCTTTTTTTGGGATATCTACATTCAAGCATTGCGATGAGTTATTACGTTCTGTGTGGTTATCGGGTTTACCGGATCCGGGCTTACGGAGAGGCGGACGTCTTGCAGTTTTTGATTCAACAGGTAAATGGTTATATATTCAGCGCCAAAAAAGTCACGGTATATCACTGTCCCGTCGGCGATATTGGTCTGTCGCAGCTCATCGGTGCAGCGACATTGTGCTCATTATTTCCCCAACAGACTAATAATTATTTTTGGCTCGTGACTTTATATCACAGGCACCTTTCTAAAACCTGGCATGAAAATTTCGCAAGCCTCAAGCTAAAGTACAGCCTCAATTTTCTGCGCCCTTTACCGACAATTTTTTTAACATAGCTACATTTTTTTGCTATCTTATTGCCTTTAACCCGCCACTTTTTTCAGTTCCAATACATTGTCGTTGAAGCCTATGGTTTCTTTTTTATGATCTACAGCTTCCGCACCATGCCAGCGCTTCGGCGCGCCCTCTACGAAGACTTCTATTGGCTGTTCGGCAGGGAAGAAGATGTCGGCAAAACCTTGGGCCCAGGGCGGGTTGTTAACGACGAAGACGGCGACGAAAGATTCAAGCATTTGGTGAATATGTGGGACCAAAACTTTGTCCAAAGCAATAAATGAACGCAGAGATTTGATCGGTTTTATTTGTTCTTAAATTTAAGTAAACTACCGGTAACAAACTAATTGGGAATTAAGAGAAATCGAAACTTTTCCCGGACAGCAAACCGGGCTTTCCTCCGCCGGTGCGGCATTTGCGAAGGGCCGAAGAAGGCGAGGTTGGCAAAGACGCATTATTAGTCTTCAGTTCGCCTTCCGATGTAGTTTTGTGAACTTTCCCGGGCTGTTCTTCGATTGGGTTCTTTTGCTAAAAAATCGAAAGTAAAAAGTAAAAAAAAAATAAAAAAAAACTCCTCATGAGTTCAAAACTCACCTCAAATTTATCCCGATTTCTCGTAATCAACGTTGTCTTGAACGCCAGCGAATATGTCTCCGGAGTGATCTCCAAATAAGTGCAGTGATCCTTGATGACCACTGTGTAATCCGGAACAAAAGTTAGTCGTTTCGTCTCGGCCGCTAAGATCTTCGGACTGGCTGGGCACTCCTCTGCCAGCCTCGATTTGTTGATATCGTCCAAGATTACGTCCAATAACTCCTTTCCAAAGCAATGCCAAGGCCCCGCTTGGAAGGTCATGTTGGTCTCTCCAATGGTTACGGTAGCACGTCCCTCCAGGATCAGGATAAACTTATCGGAAGGCGTCTTGTTGTGATACAGACGGGCGTGGGATGGAATTGTGTTGGATGCGTCCTTCACGTGGAACAGTTCGATCTGAAATTGCAGTTGTAAGGGGAGGAGATGACTCAATTCTTCGTATTTTAAAATACAATACAATTAAAAATAGAGCTGCAAGAGTCAGCAAGTCATTTACAAGAGGATACTCCGTGTCATAAGGAGCACAGCAAGTTTGACGCTAAGATTTCCTTTAGATTACGCATATAATTCGGGCATATCCCACATGCACAATTGCCCACTTTGCTCTTGTACTGTTACAGCCCGTACGGCAAGTAAAAATATCTGCCTAGGTATTATTGACGCACCCTATCTCAATTCTTGAAAGTCTTATCTCGGGCTTTGCAGGGGCAGATGAGATATTCAACGATCTTTGCGGCCGAGAGAGTACGCGAAACGCGGAGCTCGGTCGCAGAGAAAATTGCAACGCAAACTTGAAGTCTCAAACACATATATCTAAAAATATTCAAAGTAGTGACAATTTTCATCAAAAGATTTGAGCTTCGCAATCATATCAGTCCCCCCTGTACCGAATCGACGATACTTTAACCTTTGATGACTTACCTTATGAACATTCTGTCGCACAACCCTCTCCAAAATATTCTTTTCAATGAAACAATCACTGAATACTTTGTGATTAGTCGAGAGCCATTGCATTGTGACCACTTGCATTTGAATCGAAATTATACAAGTTTCAGGGTCTGTGTCAGTGAAGAAACTTGTGTGCATCTGGAACAGATAAAATATAAAACGAAGCTTTACTCATGCTTACAATTGCTCTTCTCCTTCTTGTTTTATTGACATTGTCCAGGATAACATCTGTTTCGTCGACAATCTCGGCTTGTAAAATTTCTTCAACAATATCCTCAAGTGTTACAAGTCCAACCAGTTCGTAGCTAGGGTCAAGGCCGTCATTCTGAAGAGAAAAATGCACATATATAGTATTGCTACTGCAACAGCTGTCAACTTACCTGCACCACTCTCTGAACCATGGCCAAATGATAATCGCCTTTTTTGAACTCCTCCAGCATCACCCGCAAAGGCGTGTCTTCCATGACAAATCTCAGCGCATGCTCATGATAAGAGCAGACTGTTTTGATGGTAAAACTGTCATCCGGATTCAGCAGGGCCAAGTCTTTGACAAAAAGAAGGGCGCTGACATTGTTTCGGTCACCACTATAGACAGGAATTCGATTGTAGCCCATTCGAATAACTTCAGTAACGGTTTTTGTGTTGAGGACGGTGGTGTCTGGGAGCATAAAGACATCCTGAAAATAATTTGTCAATTTGAGAGCTTATTGTGTACATTGGTGCCATAAAAATTACGAACTCAAAATTGATGAAGCTCGAAAAAAAGTTATACACTTTTCTGGACATGAGTCGACTCACACTAAAAAAATAACCTTTTTGGTCAGAACCATCCATAATATGGCTTATCGGTCTGCCGGAAAAATATTGTGGATTTGTGGAGAAATTTCTTGCTTTGCCGCAAGTTGCCAGCCGCTTATAGCGATTTTGGACGACGATTACAAGGTTTGACAAACCCATATTATTTTCCCGACAGAGTGATAAATTGGGTTTTGCCCTAATTTTGAATTTTTTCGAATCGCTAAAACTTATCTACCAAAAACAAAAATTCAACTCACATCAATCCTCGTCATCACTTCGCCAACAGTTTTATCCGAGATCTCCATGGCACCAACGGCAATCTTCAGCTCCTCGTCGAGACCCTCTTCGTATCTGGTGGTCATCTTTATCATCTCCATGAGTCTTCTCCGATCGTACGAAACAACTTCGAATCCGGCAATTTTATCGAGAATTTTTCCAATTGGATATGCTAACGGGAAAGTCAACCACATAAAAAATTTGGTAAGATAGATTGTTCTAGCACCAACTTCAAGGCCTTTCTTTACACAAGCTGCCTAAAGTGTTCAAAATAAATATATTTTTTTTCTGTCAGCAACTTTTTTCTGAAATTCTTGGAAAAAACCTTGCCTGAGGCGCGATTTCGCCGAAGATTACAATTCCAGCGGATGAGATAGCCAGCGCCAAGTAACCACTGGCAATATCTTCGAATAAAATTGAAATGGCAGAGTTGACGCAGACATTTCCCAATAATAATGAGCAAAGTAGTTGAGTTCCAGTCATCCTGATCGGCAACACGACCTCGGCGTACTTTCGCTCTTTTGGTGAACCTGAAAATGTTTTGGGTCGTCCAGGAAGTTCGTTCGTTTTTTCATTGCTTTGTTTTACAAGGATTGTTTGTTGTTTGGCAAAGGTAATACATTTTTTCGATACAGATTTTTCTCCTCTACAAAATGGCGCTTTCAGTTTTTCTTGAAAATTTACTTTTTCATTACTTTGCGGGCTCAGAAATGAACCATCCTTGAGGAAAAAATTTGCGTTTGCGGCATCAGCGTTTTTCGCCGAGCAACACAGGGATATTACAGTAGATTAAAGAAACTCTGGACGTACCCGATTTCGAGATGAGCATTAATTCCTGAGGCGTTAGAGTCATCAAGCCCAAGTTTAGACCCGAAAAGAGCGCCGACAACACCAAACAGACGATGATAATACTGATTTGAATTGGGAGTGGGAAGTAATACTGTCGCTCCGGCAAACTGGTCGACACCGCACTTTGAAGGTCATTCACCTGGAAAGTTACGGTAACCGGGCCGTTAAAATTTGGCTTACCAACAAATACGGCAGTTTAATTTCATCCCCATTCTCGTTTTGATGATTTCTTTGTTTCCAACAGAACCAGTAAACATCTTCTTTGCCTTTCAGCGGCGGGAAGTTGTATTGAAAAATGACTCTTTTCTCGGTTTGGACAAAGAAGTCGGCTTGCGTCACGTTGACGACGACTGAATTACAATCGGGGCCAGATGTGAAGCCAACAAGATCAATCTCTTCCATCCACCAGCCAAAAAGCACCACTCGGACAAGAGTGTTCGGAAAGACAATGCTCACTCCACGTGGACTGAAAATGAATATGTAGGGTTGTAATATACAACAGAAAGCATGTACAGCAACTCTGCAAAGGGAACAGAAAATTTATTCTTTACTTATAAAGGGCTTCGCTTTGGTACAGAGGGGCTCATCTTGCAAGGAAAGGCTTCAAAGCCGTTCAGGGTTTCTTCAAATTTCGTATACATATACGTGTTACAGATAGGTCATATATCAATTGCTGAAAGTTTTAGCTCGACTTCTGCAGAAAGAGCCGAGATATTCAATTTTTGGCCATAACTTTGCTAGTTTCGCGAGGAAAAAATGATTTTTTTTCAAACATTACCCCCTACGGTAGAAACAGTTATGAAACTTTTCGTGCCAAAATACGCCAAAAGACGTGCCACAAGTTTCATCAAAATCTGAGCACCTATGCTCTTTTCCCAGCAAAAAATAAATAAATTCTTACGTGTAGCCCAAGAATTCCTCGCCGAACGGTTTGTCGCTTTCCACCCGCAATCCAGAAAGATATGGCTTCTTTTCCGTCGTTATAAAGCTTTTCGAATGTAGCACCGCCTCCTGAAAATTGCGTTAGAACATTTTTCAATTTAAATCATCATAGTCAGATGTCGGAAAATCATCTCACCTTCAAGTCGTTTTCAGTCGGAATATAGTTTCTCCTAAACGAAAATACTGAAGGAGAAAAGCAGATGGAGAGGAGAACAACAAAGAGGAATTTGAGGCCGAGCTCCAGCTTGATGAGGTTGCGGTTCCATACGTTTCCACCGCATTGCGATTTCTTCATAAATAAGGCTGCAAAAATAAATTTCCTTTCGAAAATACTTATTTTCAGAGAATCTCAGCCTCTGCTCCACGAAAATTACGGTAAAATACGTTAAGCGCAAAGCGATAACCAAGATTTTTAATAAAGGCCGTAATAAGTCAGTAACCTGCCTTTTCGGCCATACGTACATGCAAATTTCGTTTCAAAAAGGGCTCAATTTACACAGCTCACTGATGTTGCAAAGGGATGACCGCGCAAAGAGAAAAAGAGCGCTTAAACCTCACTCGAAAATTTTTTTCCTGTGTGCCCGGGGGAATTCGCGAAACCGGAGAAAAAATTTCGAAAAGAGCTCACGTACTCTTTTTGTTGGGAAGAAGAGCAAGGGAGATGCTGTGTAGGGACATTTTTTGTAAGCTGAATTTCAGGTATTGTCATAGCAGGAGCTCTAGGAGTGACGTTTTCAGACGTCTTTTATTTGAAGAAATTTTTGGAACAGTTGAAATTTTATCGTATAAATGATGAGACTGACACGGAAAGTGTTTAAATTCGCGTAAAAATTTGCATAGACTTTGACTTTAGGTAACTTAAATAATTCATGAAGTTTTTGCTCGCGCTTTGCAGGTGCCGCCGGGATATTGAAAGGTATTTGTGGCCGAGAGAGTATGCAAAACGCGGAGAGCGGTCAGAGAGAAGAACGCCTTAACTTTACAAGTTTCGCACAGAGAAAATACACTTTTTGTGGCGAGATTACCCTTTACGGTAGAAATAGTATAGAAATGGAACTTTTTATGCCAATATTCACCAAAAAATTTTCCCATTTCCGCTGATTCTCGATCTAAAAATCTCGGTCGCTCCTGGAAAACACGTCATCACCGCAATTATCACAATTATAGCTAGGAGCTTCGGATATACCTTAGAAAAAAGTTATTCAAAATTTGAGCCAAGCTTTATCAAAATCTGAGCGCCGCACTTGGAGCACTTCCCCTTTGAGCTCTAAATGAAAGAGAATAAAATCCAGCTTGATATTTTTTATGGGACTTCTTTCTTCCAAAAGTCGTTATTCTTTCTTTCGCCTTAAAAACCTGTGTTGACTCTGAAAATCATGGCCAAAAACATTGTAAACCCTTTACTAATCTTCAGATCTCAAGTTGCAAAAAGTTTCATAAAAATCTATGAAATTCTCTTCAAAAGAGCTTCATTCGTGTCTAAAATAACATAAAACTTGCAAGATTTCCAAATGAGCTCATTTGTAAGCTCTCAAATTTGGTAAAAATACAATTCCTCGGCTTTAACACGCATTCGCAACATTTATAAATCCCTAAATCCCCTAATAAACATCTTCATTTCCCAATTCCGTAAGGCCGAAATGCAACTGTTTTTTCGCGGGCCACTTGGCCGACGTTTAAGCATTCAATTTTTGATCGGAAAGAAATCTGAGCGGTTATCTGGGGCTCATATTCATTTGACCGCATCATTGCCTCCAATTTACCGTACAAATGACTCAAAGCAAGGTGTTCATCCCAAAAATAAACACCAAAACGTTAAAAGGACTTGTTTTGAAATCTCGAAAACTACGTAAAAAAAATTTCGGGACCCGACGCAAAACTGGCCTCGGAAATACATTTGGCCGCGAATAAACGGCAGGGGGAATTTTTCGAGCGAAAGGAAGCGGACTTTTTATTCTCGGATTAGTCGAGTGCGAATGACCGTTCATGAGTGGTCATAACGCTCATTTCCGCCGGTTTTAAATGTTTTTATAGGGAACGAAGTAATTACAATAAATTTATATTGGTCAAAAAGTGGTTTATGGTCATGGGTTTTCTTTTGCTGAAGATTTATGGCCGATATGGCCATAAATTTAAGACAAGAAAGTTTTGTTTGATTTGCGACCAATTTGAAAGTCGTTTTTTTGGAATTTATTGAAGAATGAGGTATACATTCATAGAATAATAATTAAGAAATAAATCATCATAATATGAAACTTAAGTGCGAATCAAGAGCAATAGTGGCCAAGTTTTTAGCAAAAGTTCAGGTTAAAAATATCAAATTTCAAAATTTTCCATGCGAATACACACTGTCAGCGGGCTAGCTGACTACAAATTCTGGAGAGGAGGGATGGTTATAATGTAAGAAATGTACATGCAAAAAATTTGTTACCTTGGTCCCCCCTTACCATTTTTTTTTCTTCGACCCCTAGAAGGGGGTACCCCCTGCCCACTGCCATCAAATTTTATTTGCGTCCGAATAGCAAAAGGACAAAGAGGCAAACAAAACCCCTTTTCGACCCTCAAGATGATCCGCCTACCGTAATATGACCAGCGGGTTACTGTAGAGTGATCAACGAGTTCTTTTTGACCCTAGAGATTAATTAAGGCCAAATGTTTCGAATTTATAATTTTATTTTTATAACTAGAAGTCTTGTGAGATCTATACAGTAAGTACAAAATGATAATGTAATGTATGTATATGTCTATTACACTATTTCAATCCATCAAAGCTTTTCTCAGTTGATAAACTAATTTTAGCGCCGGTTCCGCACTTCCGAAGTATGGAAGACGGGGTCGCTGGTGTTGAATTGTTATTGCATGCATGTTTTAAGATGCTCTCTGATGTGGTCTTGCGTATTTGACCGTCATCCTCGATCGGATTTTTCTCCTGAAATTATGAAAATGAAATTTGACCCAAATTCCAAGGAATTGCATTAAAAAAATTATAATTTTTACGCCTTTTGAGCTCACATCTTCTAATGTAAGGCCCTTGGGGATATTGCAAGCAAGAGAATATGTAAAAATTTTTATTCCGTCCACTTTCTCTTACCAAAAACTCATTCCGATTCCTCGTTATCAGCGTTGACTTGAATGCCAACAAATAAGTCTGTGGAGTGATCTCCAAATAAGTACACTGATCCTTGATAACCACAGTGTAGTCCGGAGAAAAGGTCAGCTTTTTCATATCCATTTCGTTGAATACAGTTGAGGGCTTTGGACTATGAGATTCTTCAGTCAGCTTGTTTTTGCCAATATCATCAAGCAAGGAGTCCAACAACTCCTTGCCGAAACAATGCCAAGGCCCCGCTTCGAATGTCATGTTGGTCTCGCCGATGGTGACCGCAACTCGCCCTTCGAGGATCAGGATAAACTTGTCGGAGGGCTCCTTCTTCAGATAGAGCCGAGCATTCGGCGGCAGGATGTTCGAGGAGTCTTTGAGATGGACCAGCTCGATCTGCAATGGTTCGTAATCGTCGCAGGACTAGGCAAACAAGTGTTAAAAGGTTAAAATCGGGTCAGAAGACAAAAAATTTGAATAGCATGATCTCAAAGATAATATCGAGAAGGAATAGCTATCCTAAAGGGATTTTTTTCTGGATTTTTTTTGTCTAATCGACTGTTCACCGTCGCGTACGACAATGGGGGTCCTGATCCCGTGGCAAAAAAGGTACCACTTTGCATCCAGGAAGTATCAAAAAGTGTGGCAAAATACTAGTCCTTCCGGAAAGTCGCCGGACGGAAATCGGCGACATGCACTGTGCGAAAAAAGTCAGGGTGCGAGCGACAGCCGAAAAAAGCCTATTGCACTGTGCAAAAGGCACGAAATTGCACAGTGCAAAGTGAACTTTTGTTTTCGCGGAGTGCGTGTCGCTGATTTCAGTCCGGCGACTTTCCGGAAGGACTAGTACCTCCCCCTACAAGTGAAAAAACTCCGACTTTAAAAGCGCGCCCGCTCTTTTTGTGAGGAAAAAGGACGCGCCCTTCAAAACGAAGTTTCTTCACTTGGGAAGCATCTTACTGCATTTTTGATACATCCCGGATGCAAAATGATACGTTTTTTGTCACTGGATCAGGTCCCCCACTGTAACTTACAAAAAATGGGCAATATGTCAGTTGCCGGCAAATATCACAGGCTAAAAATTACAATAATTGAAAAGTGGCCCAGTTTGGGCTTCCAAATAAAATTTCCGGCAAATTCGCCCATAAAAATTTGAGCATATACTGCTCGTAAAAGGATGTGTATGTATATGTTCACTGTTCACATGGTGTTTCTATTTTCTCCCCGTTCCTTTCTCACCTTGTGGACATTCTGCCGTATGACCTTCTCCAAAACATTCGTCCCAATAAAGCATTCACTGAAGACTTTATGATTCGTCGAAAGCCATTGAACAGTCACCACTTGCATTTGAATCGAAATTAGACAGGCATCAGCGTCCGCATCCATAAAGCAATTGGCGTAGTCGTGCATCTAAAATTACAGATATTTTACTCGTATTTACCTCCTTACAATCGCTTTTCTTCTTCGAGTTTTGTTGACATTGTCGGTGATGACGTCAGTTTCATCGACAATTTCGGCTTGTAAAATTTCCTCGACAATATCTTCAAGAGTTACAACTCCAACCAGTTCGTAGGTGGGGTCTTGCGCATCAATCTGAAAGTTGCAATTACTACTATACATATACAGTGGGGGCCCTGATCCAGTGGCAAAAAAACGTATCATTTTGTCTCCAGGAGGCATCAAAAGATGTGGCAAAATACCGCCCTCTTCAAGTGAAAAACTCAGACTTCAAAAGCGCCCCGCACGTCAAGAAAAAATAAAAGAAAAACGGGCGTCCAATGAAAAAGCCTAGAATTTTTTTTGGCATTCTGCCCGGTGCAAATCCGTTTTAGTCCAAATGGTTTGCAATATTTAGACATAAAGATTAATAGTAAATCACAAGATATTGATATCAATAGAAAGCTCGAGAGCTGCTTAAGCTAATAGAACCAAAATATACCCGTAATCGTAGTATTTGACAGTTTTCCATGGCGAAGAATACAACGTCTAAATAAAAGTTTGTATCGACGATACCGACTCAGAGAGCACTGGAAGGAGGTATAGGCTCCACGTCAAAAAAATCCTTAAACTGTTCTTCGAGTATCTACACCGGTCCCGTCCCGCTTGATGGGACAGTTTTTTTGATATTCGGCCTTGAAATTTGCACTATTTTTAGCCTAGCTCGAACCGTGTTCAAAAAATGCGTCACGATGACACCCATTCAGAATGTGTCAGTGGTATAAAAGACAGCTGTATACGACTAGTAGTACTCCCTAGAGCTCCCATAAAAAAAATTAAGTTAAACATTGTTGTTATGTGCAATTTGGATGACAGATTTTATGAATTTTTTTTCGCTGTGAGAACCTTTGCAATGCCCGAAATTTCTTGACGTGCCCCGCTCTGTTTGTGAGGAAAAAGGGCGCGCCATTGACACGCAGTTTTTTCACTTAGAGAGGGTAGTATTTTGCCACATTTTGGATACCTTCCGGATGCAAAATGATACGTTTTTTACCACTGGATCAGGTCCCTCATTGTACTCCGCCAACTTGCCTGAACAACCCTCTGAACCATGGCCAAATGATAATCGCCTTTTTTGAACTCCTCCAGCATCACCCGCAACGGCGTGTCTTCCATGACGAATCTCAGTGCATGATCATGATAAGAGCAGACTGTTTTGATCGTAAAATTGTCGTCTGGATTTAGTAGTGCCAAATCTTTGACGAAAAGCAAGGCTTCCACATTGTTCCGGTCGCCATGATAGACGGGAATTCGTGTGTAACCCATTCGCAACACTTCGGCAACGGTCTTTGTATTCAAAACAGTGGTGTCTGGGAGCATGAAGACGTCCTGAAATTTCTCTCATCGTCTTTGTTAATCCTGTTACTTACATCGACTTTAGTCATCACTTCTTTCACAGTCTTATCCGAGATTTCCATCGCTCCAACGGCAATCTTGAACTCCTCAGCAAGACCTTCTTCATTCCTTGTGGTCATTTTGATCATCTCCATGAGTCTTCGTCGATCGTAGGAGACTCCTTCTAGACCCAGAACCCTGTCTAACAACCAACCAATCGGATAAGATAATGGGAAAGTCAGAAGCATGAAGAGTTTGGTCAACCATATTGTTCGAGCACCAACTTCGAGGCCTTTTTTGACACAGACGGCCTAGAAATCATATAAGATTTATAATGTAACATTGTAGCTTCTTTAAAAGCTCTGTAAATCCAATTTTACCTGAGGACAGATCTCGCCGAAGATAACAATCCCGGCAGATGCGGCAATCAGCGCGATATATCCGCTGGTCAGGTCGTCGAACAGAATCGATATCGCCGAATTCACACAGACGTTGCCGATCAACAATGAGCAAAGGAGTTGATTGCCGGTTAGCCTTACTGGAAGAACAGTCTCGGCAAACTTTCTTTCGCGCTCGGAGCCTGAAAGAATATGAGATAATTTTCAAAAAACAACAAAAAATTTAGATCAAAAATGTCGGAAAGCGCTTTACAATTAGGGAGATCAGAAATCACACAAATCTGATATAGTTACGGTTATACGTATTCTGCAACTACTGAAGAAGACCTTGAAGTATAAAGAAACTCTAACGGGCAACGAAAGCCCCGGGGTAAAGCCACTGTATCTTTATATAAAATTTAATAATTAGGCTTTGTCATTTTTCTTTTATACAGTGAGGGACCTGATCCAGTGGCAAAAAGCTTATCATTTTGCATCCGGGAAGAATCCAAAATGTGGCAAAATATCTCCTTCTCCAACTAAAGAAACTCCGTTTTGAACTGCGCGCCCTTTCTCTTACAAACAGAGCGGGCGCGCTTTTGAAATTGTAGTTTTTATCACTACGAAACGGAGGCATTTTGCCACGTTTTTTAATACAGATCCACCACTGTAACTTTTGCAATAAAACCTAGGATTTCCTGAAATTTTTTTTCTTGGGGTCTGCCGAAGAATGTCCTTACCCGACTTGGAAATGAGCATCAATTCCTGAGGCGTCAATGTCATCAGGCCAAGGTTGAGGCCGGAAAAAAGCGCTGACAATGTCAGCAAGAAGAATAATAAAAATATTTGAAAGGGCAATGGAAAGTAGTACTCTCGCATTGGGGTGCTGGTTGATATTGATGTCTGGAGGTCGTTAACCTAAAAAAATCATATTCTAAACCGTGATAAAAGGCAGTAATCAAATTCCTATTACTGCGTATCATAAAATTACTATTACTAGTGCATGCTTACGATCAAGAAAGGCAGTTTAACCTCCGCTCCATCCGCGTTTTGCCGATCCCTTTGTTTCCAACAGAGTCGATAAGTATCTTCTCGTTTGCCCAATGGTGGAAACGAATATTCAAATATCACTCGTTTCTCGGTCTGCACAAAGAAGTCGGTCTGTGTGACATTCACAACAGCTTCTCGACAACTGGAAGTAGCCGTGAACCCGGCGAGATCAATTTCGTCTAACCACCAGCCAAACAAAACGATGCGGACGACAGCATTGGGTTGGACGACGCTGATGCCACGAGGACTGGAAATATTTCGCAATAACTCTGATTAGACGTTTTTTTCCCTTACGTATAGCCCAAGAACTCCTCACCAAAAGGTTTGTCGCTTTCTACTCGAAGTCCAGAAAGATATGGCTTCTTTTCGGTCGTGATAAAGCTTTTCGAGGCCAAAGCGTTGTTCAAGATGACTTCCTGAAAAGTTGAAATCGTCTTCAGCTTGAAAGTCTTTGATTTTTGAGTATTTTCATTTGCTAGTATTTTCATAAAGTGCGTAGACTTTTCTCGCATTTACTGTAGACCGTTCGCAAAGTCGCTGGAGTGATTTCGGAGCATATGGGTACTTCCGTTGTATAATTTTAGCACTTTTGTGGTTTGAGCAAAGTTACAGTGAAAAAATACCTTGTCTGGCCATTTCTTTCACCTTTTTTCGCCTTCGGTTCGAAAATCAAAAATCGGTCAGGTTCAAACGATGTCATGGTAAATCCACATACCAAATTTCAAATACCTTTGAAAGAAGCCGTCTCAAGAGGCAGCGCAATATCGCTACTCCAAAGGTATGTATTGCACAGTGCAAGAAACTTTGGGCAAAGCCTCTAAATTTTGCACTGTGCATTTTAAATTTTTTTGCGACGAAGAAAATACAGTGCGCGACAAAATTATAACCGCACTTTAGAAATTGCTGTAACTTTTTTGGTTTCCAATAGAAATGTGTCATATTCGGCACCAATATGCACTAGTATGCTACAAATCATGTGCCAAAATATTATTTCGGTAAATTTTCCCATTTGGAAAAAAGTTGAAAAAACCAAAATTTTGGTGATTTTCTTTGCGACAAAATTATAACCGCACTTACGGATTTGGCTAATTGGCCTGATTAAACCACTGAATAGCAATAACTAATGTTTAGGTACGTTTCCTGAGGCTTCAATAACGTCATTTAAATAACCGGGAACACTCTGGGCTAGCTTTTTTTAACCTCTTATGGCTAATAATGCTCCATAATATTGTTGCCGAATATGACACATTTCTATTGGCAACCAAAAAAGTTACAGCAATTCGGTTATAATTTTGTCGCTCACTTTATGAAAACACTATTAGGATAGTAATAAAATCCTAAAGTAAGCAAATTCCTGCAAAACAGTTCCTCAAATCCAAAAAACTACCTTCAAGTGTTGATTTGTCGGTGTGTGGTTGCTTTTATCTGACGACACCAAACTTGAGGTTATTATCGACAATGTCACAATGAGAGAAAGTTTCAGCACCAGTTCGGTCCTCATAAAATTTTGATTTGACATCGGCCCATGACATTGCGGTGTCCTCATGCGACCTGAACGTAAACGAGTTCATATACAAATTTATGCACAACGAAAACGCAAACGCGAAAAAATTAAAATAAGGAATTAGATTTAAAGTCACACACACACACACATTTTGCTCTCTGGTCCTGAAAGTAATACACGTAAGAGCGAGCCGAAAAGAGAAAGAACATAAAAGCGGATATAAAAAAATGGCCTGGTTAATTTCAAACACACCAATGCCGTGGAAAAGGCACATGGACTCAGTTTATGCAGGGAGGAATAATAGAGCGGGCAGAGAGGAAGAGAATTGCACTTTAATTGTATTTTATAATATGTCGTCTTGGAGCTAATTTGCAAGGGTAAATAGATCCGCCACTGAAGTAGTTAAGCGTGCCAGATCCGCGTTTCGAACTTGTGTGCTTGGCGAGCCAAAAAAGTTGACATGTCTGCACAGTCCGTCGTTGTGCAAATAGCTTGTCCCGCGGCGACAAGTAAAATTTGTACTGCGACCCCGCACAGTGCAAAAACTGTTTTGAAAAGGGCAATCGAGAATGTACAGTGCGGCCTTTTTTCACACTTCACCGATTTTTTTCGCGCGACTTCTTGTCGCAACGCCGATTTCATGGGACCGCACCGTGCGAAGACATGTCAAGACAAAAAAAGATCGAAATTGCGAAAATATGGCAACTTTGTGTCTCGGCTGCAAAATCTACGTATCTCATAAAGAAATCCTAAAAAATAGAAATTGAAAGTGGGTAGTTGAGTCCAGTTTGCCAGAAAATCATCGTGTTTTGCTCATATGTTATGACTGATTGAATCCTGCAGGAAAAAAGACTGTTTTCGCATAATTACAAGGTATACAAAAAATATTTAAAACCCCGGGGTTTTTAGCGAAACAAAAAAGTTTTTGGATAGAAAAATCTACTCTAAATTTGCGGCCAGTGACGTCAAAGATCTAAGAACTCATCTGGAACACCTCCATTTTGTCGATTAATTTTTATCTTACCATTCCGGTAATGGTATAATTAAGTGCCTCACCATCGAATATAAATCCATTCTCCTAAACTACATGAACACACGTCTATTACTCGTATGTTAAATATGCACAAAAGACTCAAATAAAACTTAATCCAGAGACGGATTAAGCGATCTCTCAAACGGATATGTAAAAATTTAATCAAGCTTTTTATGGAATACGAGAAATTAATACAGTCAGCTTTTAATAAAGATGGCATCGCATACATAAGGATTATTGTGTTTCCTGAATCTTCATTTCCATGGCAACCCATTTATCTTCAGTTTAATGGACAACACTTTTTTATCTGTTTCTTATATGTAACTTTGTAATTTTACGGCCACAATGATAAAGATTTATCGAACACAAAAAATATACAATATATAACCGTATACTTTGTCAATGGCAAACGTGACATGGTCAAAAGATAAAACATTACTCAAGTTGATATGAAAAGTTGAATAAATTAATATTGCTCCGCGTAGACGACATTTTCATTTTGGGGATATTCCACGTTGTATTTGATATGAAGCTCGGATTGTCCGCCGGCTGGAACCTCCACAGTCCACTCCAGAATATTTTGTTCAGTGAGGATGGTGCCAATTTCCTGTTTTCTGTGACCAGCCTTCTTCTCAATGCGTTTGACATCAGGCATTCCAAGTTTGACCTAAAAAAGAAATTGGGGATCACAGTCAACAAATCGTAAGAAAAGGAAACCTTATTAAAAACGAGAATTCACCTTGATCCTTTCGTCATTGCTCTTTGGCACTTGATCAAACACAGTGACCACCACGTTCTCCTGATTATTATTCTTCAACACGATCTTCTGCTCGTTCGCGGTGACATTGCTCTTCTGAATCATCCCCGATTGTTGTTGGAACGTGTCCCTTGGCTTGTATTCCACCTTCACATTGGGATCCTTCCCAAGTTCAACTTGGAACCGCTCATTCGGCGAGATCTGCTTCAAGTTCAGCGTGTTCGCATAACAGTTGTCAACGTAGACCTTCGCTGGTCCTTCAATCAGATGCAGATCGGTCGAGTTCAGAACACTGGCAACCAAGAAGACAGTCTTTGATTTTGATGGTACCACTTGACGTTCCACATCATAATCAAGTGTTTTCACGGCTATTGTGAGCTTGGTCTCCTCGTGTCTTGTCAGGATGGTCCTCTCCAGTGGGAGATTATAAGTGGTTGCCACCAAGCTGCTGCTTACGGTGGCTACATGTTTCTTCAAGTTTTGACTTGAGCTATCCCCGTAGTGAGTTTCGGACTGTTCGTAAATCAAGCTTTCACTATGTTGAGTCTGAGGCACATCCCCGAATAAACAAGACGTTTTAAACTTCTCCTCAAACTTCGCGATCAAAGTGTTCAACTGTGGCAGCTGCCCCGCATCTTCTGGCTCATTCGTACTCAAAGATATGAGGACATCATTCCAGTCCTCTCCAGTCATCTGACGAATGCTGGCCAAATAGTGAAGCGACAATTTTTTCGTCTTCGTATCAACTCTAAGATCGTATGAGGTGTCCCAACTCGCACCATAAACATTATATTGCAGCTTCAAATTTATTGTCACATCTTCCTCAGCATCAAGCGAAATATGGACCGATCTCTTGAAGTTGTCGATATTTTTCAGCTCGTGGACGCGTTTTTCCAAATTGGAGATCTTCTTGTACAAAGCTTTCTTCTCAACCTGCACAGCTCTCAAAGAGGCTTTAGACTCGGCTTGCTTCGTCTCGTAATAGTTAAAGGTCCGATTGAAACTGTCGACAACTTCGTCAGTGACCATTACTGTGCAGTCTCGAGGCGTCTGACAGGTCAAGTTTTCGACGAGACGATCCAAGGCTTTAGAGCGAGTTTCGAGAAGAGCCTCCTGGTCATTGAGCTTGTCTTGTTCTTCTTTTAGGTCTTCCAAATCTTTGATCACAGCCTTGAGTTGGTCGGAGTAATTGTCTTCTTCTGGAGTGAAGGACTCTTTGTATTGGACATCTCGGAGGGTTGCATGTTCATTGGAGGATTCACCGTCAACTCGGATCGAGTTGGAAATGATAGAAGCGGGGAGACGCTAAAAAGTGGGTCTAGTTTATGACATCGACGTTAAATTTATACTTCTATTGGTACTGCCCAAAATACAAGTTAAAGAATTTGCTGTTGATTGGCAAGAATAGAATTGATGTTTTCCTCTTATGTATTTTCAACTGTTCTGTGTAGAAAAGAAGTTATCCTCCCTTCTTTTCTTCAGCCCGATCTAACAAAAATTCCTCACTTTTTGATGACAAATATTGTTTTACCGAAACTACAAATTTCTGATCACTTCTACTGCCATAAATATTATATCGCCCTTTGACACTCCTTTCTTTTTTAAAAGGCCCAGTGAAAGTTTCATTTGCAAAACCCTTCAAGGCAAACATCAAACTAACTCACCTCAACAATAACGGTGTTCAACCCCTTCTCCAAAGGAACTTCGAATTCTCGGTGGATTTCGGCGCGACTTCTGAAGCAAAGAACCGATTTTATTGGGAGATTTGGCGCAACGAAGGTTTTGGTCGACATTTTTCTAAAAAGTAAGGGTAAATCCGAGGGTTAACGTTGAAATCACAAAAAAATTTACAAAACGCCAATGTCGACATAAATAAAAGTTCTCATAAAAACGCAAAAAAGCGTGATTTCCAATATTTCGACATTGACTATACCACCAATTTTGGTTTTAGAATTACAAAAAATCTTGAAAAAAGCCTGCAACTCCCCCATAAACCACAACTGAAATTTCATGGGGATTCTCTACCTTTTTTATACTCCGCAGCAGATAGCAAGAAACAAACAAGTGCAAGAGAGAAAAGCAAAAAAAGAGCGTTCCCGGGAAACAAATAAAGTTTATTTTGAAATAAACAACAAAGAAAGGGCAAAACCAGGAAGTGTGATGCATGGAAAGAGATGTAAATACTCCCAGATGCTTGGAAAATGAGAATTTGATAGACAAGACGGGCAAAAAGTTTTTTTTTGGTATTGATTCTAACATTTATATACACTTTAGTAAAAGTTATGTGTAAAAAAGGCAAAAATAACAGGAAAAGTAACCGTTTTCTGAGTATTTTATACTAGTTTGAAGGTGGTGTAAATAATATATTTGATAAATTAATATTGCTCCGCGTAGACGACGTTTTCATTTTGGGGATATTCCACGTTGTATTTGATATGAAGCTCGGATTGTCCGCCGGCTGGAACCTCCACAGTCCACTCCAGAATATTCTGTTCAGTGAGGAAGGTGCCGATTTCGTTTTTTCTGTGACCAGCCTTCTTCTCGACGCGTTTGATATCAGGCATTCCAAGTTTGACCTGAAAAAATAAATTGGAGATTACAGTGAAACTTCAACAAAGGCTTCAAAAAACCAACATATAATTTTGAACACATTGGAAGAAAAGACAATCTCAATGAAAACAAGAACTTACCTTGATCCTCTCGTCATTGCTCTTTGGCACTTGATCAAACACAGTGACCACCACGTTCTCCTGATTATTATTCTTCAACACGATCTTCTGCTCATTCGCGGTGACATTGCTCTTCTGAATCATCCCCGATTGTTGTTGGAACGTGTCCCTTGGCTTGTATTCCACCTTCACATTGGGATCCTTTCCAAGTTCAACTTGGAACCGCTCATTCGGCGAGATTTGCTTCAAATTCAGCGTGTTGGCATAACAGTTGTCAACGTAGACCTTCGCTGGTCCTTCAATCAGATGCAGATCGGTCGAGTTCAGAACACTGGCAACCAAGAAGACAGTCTTTGATTTTGATGGTACCACTTGACGTTCCACATCGTAATCGAGAGTCTTCACGGCTATTGTGAGCTTGGTCTCGTCGTGTCTGGTGAGAATGGTCCTCTCCAGTGGGAGATTATAAGTGGTTGCCACCAAACTGCTGCTCACGGTGGCTGCATGTTTCCTCAAGGTCCGCCTCAAGCTATTCTCATCGCTACTAACTTCTCGACTTTTGAACATTGCAACTGCAGCCTGAGGCGCAGCCCCGAAACCACCATATCCAGACGCTTGAAACTTCTCCTCAAACTTTGCGATCAAAGTGTTCAACTGTGGCAACTGCCCCGCATCTTCGGGCTCATTGGTACTCAAAGATATGAGGACATCGTTCCAATCCTCTCCAGTCATCTGACGAATGCTTGCCAAATAATGAAGCGACAATTTTTTGGTCTTCGTATCAACCCTCAAATCATAAGACGTCTCCCAACTCGCTCCATGGACATTATATTGCAGCTTCAAAGTTATTGTCGTATCTTCCTCAGCATCAAGTGAGATATGGACCGATCTCTTGAAGTTGTCGATATTTTTCAGCTCATGGACGCGTTTTTCCAAATTGGAGATCTTCTTGTCTAAAGCTTTCTTCTCAACCTGCACAGCTCTCAAAGAGGCTTTAGACTCGGCTTGCTTCGTCTCGTAATAGTTAAAGGTCCGATTGAAACTGTCGACAACTTCGTCAGTGACCATTACTGTGCAATCTCGAGGCGTCTGACAGATCAAGTTTTCGACGAGACGATCCAAGGCTTTTGAGCGAGTTTCGAGGAGAGCCTCCTGGTCATTGAGCTTGGCTTGTTCTTCTTTGAGGTCTTCCAAGTCTTTGATCAGAGCCTTGAGTTCGTCGGAGTAGTTGTCTTCTTCTGGAGTGAAGGACTCTTTGTATTGGACATCTCGGAGGGTAGCATGTTCATTGGAGGATTCACCGTCAACTCGGATCGAGTTGGAAATGAGGGAAGCGGGGAGACGCTGAAAAAAAGGTTTTTAATCTATGAAATCTACCACAAATTTAAATTTATTTGCAAGTTGTCTCTAACAGAATCCTTTAAAAAACCATATTTTCTCTTTGCTTTCTTCAGCCGATCTAACGAAAATTTCTCACTAAAACTCCAAATTTCCGATCACTCTCCTGCCATAAATTTCATATCACCCTTTGACGCTCCTCTCTTCTTTTTTAAATGCTTATTCAAAGTTTCATTTGCAAAGCCCTTCAAGATAAATATCAAGCTGACTCACCTCAACAATGACAGTGTTCAAGCCCTTCTCCAGGGAAACTTCGAATTCCCGGCGGATTTCAGCACGATTTCTGAAGCAAAGAACCGATTTTATTGGGAGATTTGGCGCAACAAAAGTTTTGGTCGACATTTTTCTGGAAGTAAAGGGTAAATTTGAGGGGAAATCGAAAATTACAGTGGAAATCGCGAAAAAAATATAAAAATTGAATAACACCTCAAATTGAATAGTTATACAAAATAAATTTTCAAATCTCTCAATTATCAACCAAAAACAAAATTTAATTCAAAAAAATCAGGAAGAAATTTAAAAATCGTCATTTTCCTGCTGAAAAACAAGGCAAATACTATAAACTCTTTTTCTCCAATTTCAACATAAACCGAACAAAAAAGCTCTCACAAAAAACGCAAAAAAAGCACAATTTCCACTATTTCGAAACAAACTACTTATATCACCTTTTTTGGCCTCAAGACTACAAAAAAACTCGAAAAAACCAGCAAGACCTTCCAAAAACCACAACTAAAACTGCACGGGGATTCTCTCCCTCTTTTATACTCCGACAGCAAGAAACAAACAAGTGCAAGAGAGAAAAGCAAAAAAAGAGCGTTCCCGGGAAACAAATAAAGTTTATTTTGAAATAAACAACAAAGAAAGGGCAAACCGGGAAGTGTGATTCATGGAAAGGGTTGTAAATTCTCCCAGATACTGGGGTAATAAGAATTTGATAGGCAAGACGGGCGAAAAAATTTTTTTGATATTGATTTGACCTTTACAGTTTTGTAAGAATGTGTAAAAAAGGTCAAAAAAACGAGAAAAGGAACGGGTTTCTAGGTGTAGTTTCAATGTGGAGTGGACAAAAAAAGCAAGCCTGGGATTGTGAAAGCCCAATTTTAAAGGGCTATTTTCGCCAAGCGACTACACTGAACGAACGGTTAGAGAGATAAAATGAATTTGTCAGCATGCATTTTCTCCATAAAAATTATTATCTTCGGCAAAGTACTACCAATAGAATGGATTGAAAGAAACAGGTTTCTTGGGCAAGATTTTTTTGTTTCATCTGTTTGACAAAAACAAATATGTTAAGATACGTAACTATATCAGCACCTTCATTTGTTAAAAGTTTATACACAGCAGCGCAATTAAGCTTTCTTTTTATTATTTTTCTTTGGCTTCTCAGGAGCGTCGTAGCATTTCTCTCCTTTTCCAAACAGTTCCAAGCCATCGGTCACATTCTGATAACTTCTCATGATCAGACAATCGCCTCCGCAGTTGTGATGACTAAAGTAATGTGTCTTACGAAAAATGCAACTTACATTTCAATATATGGCTCAATGTTTCCGACCTCTTCTGTCTGACCAGACACAGAGTATGTTCCGTTCCTTTGAGCAACAGTTTCGGCCAGCAAGTCATCAGGGTTGATCGTGGCGTTCTGGCCTCCATCCTCTTCCCAGAGAAGAACTTTCTGAAAAATTATGGTTTTTGTTTTACATATAAAGTGGAGGGCTGATTTTTTAAAAGACGATTTCTGAGTCAGTGTGTCAGCCGTAGACATAGGAAATTTCGAAAAATCCTATCTGTAGCTTGCTTGCAGCCGGCAGCGAAGTTATCGAAATAAGAACTTTTTTCTGCTTTGAGTTCGCAAAGATACGGCCAGAAAACATTTTTCCTGCGACTGATCGACAAAATCTTTTGTCCACCCTAAACTGGAATAGCCGCTTAACTTCGGGCCTTGCAATTCGGCATGAGAAGTTTCTGGGACACCCTAACAGCATCATTCAAAGATCATTTCAAGTATATTTTCCTCATAGTAGTCCCTTCTTTGTAAGATTTATCGTTAGAAAATAGTATTTGCTATTCAAGAGCCAATGAAATCTCCTCTTTTTGAAGACGTTTAGGTGCTTTTTTGACGATAACTATCAGCTCTTACCACAGGCCTCAACGTGCGTAATCCACCTCCATCACAGAGCAATCGCCCTTTGAAGGTTACATTGTAATGTGTCCCAATAGATTGGACGACTGCAGCTACAGTAACCAAGGGGACAATGCAGAACAAAGAAAAATCTGACTTCATATTCGATTATGATTTGATTTATGATTGGGAAATCAGAGAAGACAAAGATTTATATAGCCTCAAGAAATAATTCAATAAAAATCGAATTTAGCTGAACACTCCAATTTGCATTCTGAATTTTGACGGGACCTCGATTCTTTATTTTATTGGTTTATTGTTCAGTTACAAAATCGCATGATAGAGCTACAGACTTTGATCACGGTTTCAATATTCGATCTTTTGGGCACATTCTTCCATTTTCGAAAAGTTCAATTACAGGAGTGGGGGTGTATTGGCGGACAATTCGGCAGGGACCTCCGCAAGTGTGGATTCTGAAATCATTTTCGTCAAGTTGCATGATAAAAGAAACGGAAAAATATACACGTTGTAAATGCTTGGGCGCGTAGAGCTCGCAAAGGTTTCAAAATATCTTTGTCAGCCTGCAAGGCAAGGCCTGGCCTCTATTTGCAAGCATTATACCTTCTTCAACAATTTTTTATCTTGTAGCTGCAAAAAACCGCTGTTAATTTAGCTTCATAGGCAAAACCTTTTTGCTGTCTTAGTTCACGAACTTACATCTCAATGTACGGCTCGATCTCGCCAATCTCCGAGGATGTTCCGTTGATAAAGTAATATCCACCAGGGTCTGCATAAGTAGCACCGAGGAAGTCGTCAGGGTCGAACCAATGCTGTTGTCCCAAATCTTGTTCGTACAGTTCAACTCTCTGGAAAATTCGTTGACATTGAGAGGTTTGTTTCTTACCACTCGCTTCTTCAGATTGCGTAGGCCACCGCCATCACATTTTAAACGGCCTTCAAAGGTCGGATGAAACTCTGTTTCCCACCAAGCCCTGCAAACAGCTTAAAATTTGGGGTAATACGGCCTACTTCAGGTCTAGGTCCTCCATTTTCAAATCATCTTGCTTGGCAAGTATCCCGCAAATCGCTACTGCAATTGCAACCACCTTTAACATCTCGCAGCTCATTTAGAAATGCCTGACAGACAAAAAATTTATAGGTTTAGTCTACTCTATTTTATAAATACTTTATTCCGATCGTTGAATATTTTATAATATTTATTACAAATAAATGTAAATCAATGTAGTTGATTCCGTCGCTCTTTTAATGAAATTTTACTGTTGTAAATTAATAGATAAATTGTTAACATGGCGTTCCTTGGTGGAGAAGGTTGATTACGTCATCTCCGATCTCGACTGGTCGATATTTACGACAGATCCCGCCGCATGAATGGATTCTAAAAAAAGTAAAATATGAACTAAAAGCAAGAGTTATAGGCATAACTTTTTCTCAGTAATAATTCATTACATTTCAAAAAACGGCTTGCGCCTTCCCAAACCAAGAACATTCTCCATGATTGTAAAGTTGCCAGATTCGTCTGGGAAAACCACCCCCAACAAGTCATCCGAGTTCAAAGAGTTATTCTGCCCGTTGTTGCCTTTCCACAACGTTATTTTCTGAAATCAAAACGAACAAAAGTATGGCAAAAATCTCTCGTCGGCAAAGACCATTGAATATCTCGGCTGCTACTGCAAAGCGCGACCTGAAGCTTACACAAATTGTAATATATATTTCCGTGACAAATTGTAAAGAAATTTAAGCGCCGCATTTATTATGTATGCACAGTAAACTTACAACGTCATGGGCGCCGCTTTTCCCACCATCTTCACAAACAACTTGTCCGTTGTACATGAGTTCTCGAGAATTTATGAGCAAGAAAAAAGCGAAGAGTAGTGGTAATTGAATAAACAGTCTTCCTAATAACATGAACACCAACTACTCAAAAAATGACAAATATGCGACCGAAAATTTCGTTGATACAAAAGGAGAATGAAAGTATTTTTGGTGATAATCAAGACTGATATTGTGAAAATGGCTAGATTTTTGATGCGCAAAGATTGGTGGGAAACTGGAGAGAAATTTGTTAACTTTCGATTGAGTTTGAGGACATTGGACGATGCGAACGGAGTCAGTTCCTCCGAAAAGCGCGCTTAACACAAGGATTGATGCGGGTGATTTGCAAGGCTGTGTACGATTGATAAAATAATAACTTTCGCTGACGTCGTTTGCCGTTGAAAGTCTGGCTGGAAACAACTCGGAATACCTACATGAAACCAAATAAACAAATATCAAAATGGATCAGCTAGCCAAAGGTTGAAAAGGACACGTCCTCCCTGAAAGTTCGGATAGACCGAAACTCGAAGACAACACAACATCATGGCAAGTCGTTTAAGGCATCTCTAAGCCAACCCAATGTCTTGGCAAGCCGTTTGAGTCAAATTCCGTGGCTAACACAAGTTTTTCTTATCAAACGGTAGATGTTACTGAAATAATGTGGCACGGATTCTTCCTCGCATAATTTTTTTCTTATTGGATTCAAAGGAAAAGTTCTTAACATAGAAACGGAATCTTGCAGTAAAGTTTATATTTCATGGCCTTTATTTAATGCTAATCAGGGAAACGTTTGGTCTTTTGACTTCAACGGAGGGCATAATCTAACAGTACAATTTGCACTCCTGTACTCTAGCTTTGTCCAACTTCCTTCTGTCGTTGAAACCTGGCCGTTCTTCATATTTGACATGAACCGGCGGGAGATTTCCGGACAAAAAGAATTGAAAGATGACTTAATCGCCGGCGGAAGTACTCGCTCTTGACGTTCGGCTTTGAAATTTTATGGGTTCGCGTTATGCTGCCGAAAAATGAAGTCATATATACATATGTATGTACAAGCGTTTTGTTGTTGTTAGATTTGAAATTTGATAAGAAAACGCTTGCAGAAATTTGTTGGGTATTGTGAAGATTTCCGTGTCGGGTGAAAAAGCGGTAAGCATAGGAGTGATGGTGAGACAGTATGGAGGATTAGCGTTAGTTTGAATGTTTGCAAGAATTTATGGTGATGGGTTGGACGATAATAAAAATTTTTGACGGTAAGGATGATAAGATTTTTTGACGGTAAGGATGATAAGATTTTACTGTACTGTAGTTTACAATTTTTAGAAAATAAGAGTTCAATTTTACAAGGCATGCGCTCAATTTTAAGCGTCTGTATGGGTTAGACATGGCTCCAGGGCCGGGCCGGCCCGGGCCGGCCTGGGCCGGGCCGTGGGCCGGGCCGAAATTTCGGCCCGTCGGCCCGATTTCAGATCGGCCGGGCCGGCCGGACCATCTCCGGCCCGTCGGCCGGGCCGGCGTTTCGGCCCGGCCCGGCCCGGAGTATTTAAAATCCAGAATCTCGGAGCAAAAATTGGGTTTGATAATGAAAATAAACGCAATGTCAAGGCACAATTGGTTTTTTTAAAGGTATTTTTGTTTTTAGATAGCTATGGAACACAGTATATATCCATTTACATGATGATAGAAAAAAATTTGGACATAAGGAGTTAGAATTGGGGAGACTTTCGTTTCAATGGGCCGGCCCGGGCCGGCCCAGGCCGGGCCGAAGCAAATTTAAAACGGGCCGGGCCGGGCCGACGGAAAATTTGAAACGGGCCGGGCCGGCCGGAACCCTTCAGGCCGACGGGCCGGGCCGAGATTTTCGGCCCGGGCCGGCCGACGAGCCATGTCTAGTATGGGTTATTACATGAAATTGAAAAATGCAACTTCTTTTTTTGGTTTTTGTGGCTGTGCGTTGTGTTTGGTCGGGGGAGTGGATACCCTGTTTCAATATACAAGAAACTTTAATATTCAATTTAAACCCACCATAAGCAAAAGCACGGTTCAAATTTTTTTCTCTGGCCGCCTCTTCTCATTTTGCATTGACTCTCGTCCGCGGTTGCTGTTTAGTGTCTAGGTTCGTTATGACAAATGCAGGCTTGACTTTTCAATTTGGGTACGGTCAGGGAAAACGAACATAATTTTTCGAGAATGTTTTTTAATTAAAATTAAAAAAATTGCTATTTTCAAAATTTTGCAACATTTTTTTTTTTTGCTGTTTGATTCCCAATAAATTTACTTTTTGCCTTCCTGCAAAACTATCGTCGCGAACAAGTTTTTTCGTCTTTCTTCAGACTTATTTATTCTTAGCAACCAGCCTTGTAAACAGCACTTTTCTTTGTTCCAAAGACCAGAAGTCTAAAAAGTATTGGAATTTTTAATCTCCTAAATTTTGTTCTTTTGTTCCTGCAAAGGAATGCACTCTTTTGGGTAACAAAAGTCGTCGAATTCAGCGGACGGTCGTCTCCGCATTTTTCGCAATGATAACACGTCACTTTTATTTGAATAACCATTTGCGAATTAGAAAAATAAAATGATGCAAAACGGATCAAACAGGAACTGATAAGGCGGATTACAATCGCGACCAAACAGAAAATGGGAGGAAATAGAATTCTTATTGACTTTTGGATTATTTTCGATTCTTTTTTTGGTCGCTTTTGATATGTGGATTAGCTAGTTGTAAGAGAGAGACAAAAAAAAATTATTTTGCGACTTTTTGAGCTACCACACTTGTAAGAACTTCGCATGAAATTTGTGTAAAATTTTTACACAATTTTTTTTTCTATAGGAATAAACATACCACTTACAATTAGTTAGTAAGTATTGTGAAAATTCGCCTCCGAAAAAAATCCAAATGAAGCCCAAGTTCATCGGCTTAAAAACCCACAATCACGATGACTATGTCAAGCCCATTTTTAGGCGTGGACCAAATGTTTTTGGGAATGAATTACCACACGGCGACCTGATGTCTTTCTTGGCTTTTTTCGACTATCCTAAAAGTTCATTTGTCAGAGGTCGAAAAACAAAACATCGTTGGTTCATAACGTCATGGCGTGCCTATACAAAAATCATGTAATATTTTTGAGCTTTAAGAAAATTGCTCATTAAGCAAATGAAAATGAAAAAAACGACATTTTTTTACCCTGGCTTCTCTCAGCCCATGTCGGTAAATGTATGTATATACCAGCACTCGATTCTGCCTTAAACACTGATTTTTTGCAGCAGCACCAATACTTTCCACTAACCCAACTTATAGGTAAAGCTAAATACTATATTAGCAAACATTAGGGAATTACGCATAAGGCGACAAAAGTCATCTTTGCCCTAACCAAGGCGGTCATTTCTAGCTTGTTTCTTGCCCAGCAGACTTCTTGGCGTCTTTTCGTTCAGCGTGAGATTTTTTCCTTTTTACTTTCCCATTATTTCATTATTTCATGCACTTCTAACCATGGCTACTGCTCTTTGCTTTGTATTGTAAATGTATTTCACAATTCCTTTCATCTCCAAACGCACTGCAATCCTATTCTTTTCACTGTTTTTGTAAGTGACGACATTTAATGTATATAGCACAGTAAAGTCTAACAAAAGACGCCGATTCACGTTGAATCAGTTTCCGCGATAATTTTGGGCCGATTTAATAATCGAAAGAAAACATTATGAGACGATATGAAGCACGAGCAGAGGAGATTATGCACAGGTTTCGATTAAATGATGTGATTCCTATGTTTTTGTATTGTCTTCTGCACTGTCATCATTTTGACCTTTATGGGAATATGTTTCCAGATTTTTCTTCCTGAGAGGTGTTGGGAGATCAGGCTATTTTTAGAACAAATATTACAGTTAAGATTGCTAATGATAGATTTGAAAATAAAAATACTCTGATCAGAGTTGCAAGTGAGATCAAAAAAGATCTTTAAACATTGGGGATTAGCCGGAGAAGAATCTTTTTATCAACAAACAAATTGCTCAGGATGATTACGCTCTGGTTTTTGTCACGTTTTGCGTATATGATCCATCTATTTAAATAGTCTGAAAATATGTGACACGTTACTTCCAGAAGTTGTTGACGGCATTTTTACTAGCGTTTTTCTAACCAAGAGACTGTACTACGATTTTTCAGAAGTGTGTAGAGTTTTCGCCGCAAAAAAATTTTGCATCGCGCACATCGAAAATTGTCGTGATGTAAGCTTTTTTCAACTGCAAAGGAAGCTATTTGAACACGCGTATTAAGAAATTAGGAAATGCAGTTTGTTTTCAGTTATGTTTTAAAACATGTTTTCGGTAATTCCCGCCGGAAAAAACTATTTTTGCTTTGATTTTTTTCGTGCAGGAAACAAGGGAGATGAGGGCGTTTCCGATCTAAAAATGTACCTTTGTTAAAACACGATTTTTGAGTCAGGGCACCAGCGGTGGTCTTAGGAAAAAATTGATTTTGAGATTTTTGGCTTAAAATAGTCGGTAGCACTTGTGGAAGAAAAGCTAAAAATAGTGTTGCCTAATTATGCCCGGAAGGCATATTTTTTTACAAAATACGTTTTTACACTTCAAAGCCTCTGCAGGCCGATATGATCCGAACACAGAGATTAAACCGGGCATACAGGGGTTTTTGACACCCAGGAATCTGAAAATCGTAGCATTTTTACCGTCAGATTACTGTAAAATGGTCATACTGTAATTCGGTCGATAAAAATCGACGATAACTTCTTTAGATCAAAAATGCCACAGGATTTATTGCAGATTCGGAATCAGCATAAAATTCTGCTTCGGAAACATGTAAAATATGTTCAAAATTCCGTGGCCCAACCTCTGTAGTATAGTGGTTGTGCGCCAGGATTATCATTCTGGCGACCCAGGTTCGATTCCCGGTGGCTGCAAATGGCAGAAAATGGACTATAAAAGGGCGGAAACTTGGAAAAAAGGGAAAATAAATTACAAAAAATTAATTTTATGCCACTTAGGAGCAGTTTAAAACTTTTTGC